TTTTTTATAATAACCATTAGTTTTTATAGTTTTCAAACTATAAACATATTTATGCCATTTCAGACAGCTTGAAAATACATCAGCTTATAAGGCAACATTCATTGAAGTTAATTGTAGTATAATTTATAAAAATATTTATAATAACTATACTATAGTAGAGTATACACGCAAGACGTGGTGTCCTAGTAGTTAAAGGCCCGCCTCTCATGCATGAAGGCGCGGGTTCGAAGCCTGGCAAGTACCAATGTGATTTTTCCGAGTCATATGTACTTTATAAGAGTATTTAGATACCACTGACAGATGAAGGAAAACATCCTGAGGAGACCTGGACTTATAATCAAATTATAAGTTTGAAATCACCAACCAGTCTTGAGCAAGCGTGGTGATTAATGCTCAAACCTTCTCCATGTGAGAAGAGGCTCAGCAGTGGGCTCTGATAGGCTGATGATGATGATACAAATTATATTATCATTAATTGTATACAAGTTAATTTAATAAAATTTGCTTTAATATTTAAATCATATTTCAAATGAAGGTTAAATTTAATTTCATTGAAGATTTTTCGTTAATATTTATTAAATTGTTTAAAGAATCATTTCCTGTGTAAAGTCGCTCGCATAACATTTGTTTCATTTTAATATTTTATCATTTATTTGACTAGACTCAATTTAAAAACAGTTAGTAAAGCAGGTATTAGTCACAATTTATTTAGGTTGCCTTGTCTAGCGTTTACGTCCGTGGCCGTATTAGTTAAAATTTTACTTAAAAAACTTATTTAAAAAGATTGTAACTTCAATTTAAACTATACCAATTGCCACTACTTTCCCCGTATAGATGAGACTAAAAGAAATTAACCTTAATTTAATTAGATAAATAAATAGCAAGAAGTACTTTTTCAACTTCTACTTCTTCGCACAATATTAAGTTATTAAACGGAATATGCAATTTATTTGGGAATTATACTAACTATATTTAAGTATAAAACTACCTGTTTATTAGTTATTATGTAACAAACACACATTCATACTTCATTCCCAAAAAGAGTTGATGTCAGGCAAGCGGCCCGTAAAGACAATTAGCCAAAACTATTCACAACATGTAGGCAGACCCTGGCTAAAGCTGGGAAATTGCCAGGTGGAAGAAGAAACACACAATTATACTTATTAATATAAGTAGTACAATCTATTAGACTATTTAGTTATTTAGAAGTTCGTTGTTTATACAATGTATCAAGCCAGCCAACCTCGAACCCACGACCTAGAAAATTATAAAACGAATTATATAATGTTAGCAGAGCAATTTATGACGAAATTTGTGGCGAGGTCGTTGATACAATTATTATTTAATATTTTTTAATATTAAACCAATATTTATGTAAAATTTAATTCATTTTTTGGGTTTTCTTGGATGAAATATTATGTGTATGGGCAAAGCTTAAATTAATTTTTGTTTCATATTAAATTTTGAGTTATGATAGTTTTAGGCAAATGTTATCTTTTATAAATGCTTCTTATAAAGTTATACCAAATCAGGTTTTAAAGAAACGAATCTCATCATTCCATGTATTCACAGTGCGTGTGTCGGGTCCGTCGTTGTAGTGAGAGGAGCTTCAACAGTGACTGGATTTTATACCTAGAATATTTATAGAGCACTGAGGAATAATTAATTATAATATTTAAACATTTTCGTTTAATATCAAAATATCCATTTTAGCAATTTCGTATTTACTTGAATTCTTAATCTACAGTCATCTTAAATGTTCTGACAGTCATTTACTCTTACAAAAATTTATAATAGACTAGCTTTCCGCCCGCAGCTTCGCCCGCGTGGTGTTCGGTTATATCGCGTTTTCAAGAGAACTTTCAAAAGTCTGGAATAAAAACTATCCTATGTTCTTTCTCAAGGTCAACTCTATGTCTGTACCAAATTTCATTAAAATCACTGGCTTAGGCGTGAAAGCGTAACAGACAGATAGAATTACTTTCGCATTTATAATATTATCTAGTAGGGATTTATTTTTTTTAATTCAATAGTTATGTTTTATATAATTATTTTGCTTATGTTTCTCTAGTTTTAATGAACATTTCATATTCTTTATAGTAATTAATTACGTATGTGTACTCCATAATAATCTTGGGTTCGTACAAATAGTTGCTTTGTCTTGATTCAAGTCTGTTTTAAATCAAGGATCTTATGTGTAATAAGAAATAAATATATAATATCAGTTTATAGAAATAAAGCTACAAGGAATTATTTAGTATATAGGTGTATTTAAAACATATTTTTTAAGAGTTAGGCTTACTAAATCCTCACTAATATTTTCACATAGCATACTGTAATGAGATTTAAGACTTTCACCAGTCTTATTCACTTAAATGAAACTAATATTTTTCGGATATACTACGCGTGCTTTCACATCTCGTCTTAATGATCATGGTTGATGAAAAGTAGCCGAAACGTCGGGAGTATTTAGTTTTTTACAAAAATAAACTGCGCAGTATAATGAAAAAAATTAATTTCATTTAAATTAATAAAACTCGCAAAAGTCTTCGATCTCATAAAATTTTTAAGAGTTAATCCTGACTAAATAGTTAATATATTTCCAATCAATATTTTCCGCATAACAAACTATTGATACGTAAAAATCACATCAAAATCCATATATCAGAGGACAGAAATGCAAATAATGTACATACATTGTTATTCTATATGTATATAGCAAACCAAATGACTATTTTAATTTGCTAAACAATAATTACTGGGCCTAGCGTCTAAGGCCGGAATGACAGTGACGCAAGAGCACCTTGAATGTTGAATAGTTTGTGCGTGTCGGGGAAAAAACAATCAAAAATTTTATAACAGATACACGTAACAATTAGATTTTTAACTCCTTGTATAGAATATAGATTTCTATACAATTCTTGAGATTATCTAGAAGTCTTTAAATTAAAATAATAGATAAAGTCGTAAAGATATACTTCATTTGTTGCAATAATATATGTATATTAAAATTTATTAAGATGTCACAATAGTTAAATTTGAAAAAAATCATTTAAATTAGTTTTTAAATTATCAGCTGTTAAAATATTATTATATAACAAAGAGTTTTAGAACTAAAAGATACTTAAAAATCAATTCAAACAATGAAGTTACTTAAAATATTAAAATTAGGTAATTTTTATTATTTATATTTACTATAAATAAAAATAAATAGCCTTCTAGGCATACAAGATTTACATAATAATTTTACTGACCAAGAAAGGAAAAAATGTTTAAAATAATCCACTTAGTTTTAAAACAATTATTTAATAATAAATTTTAATTATACCATTACTGACTTACTTAAAAATTTTACGCAACTCAATGGATATATGAGTATTGTAACAATAAAGATTACGTATACGTACAGACTGTCAGTTAAGACGACAGTAATTTATAACTCAGATATATTAGTATGAGTCAGTGGTGACTTAGTGGTTAAAAGGCCCGCGTCTCATGCACGAGGGCGCTGGTTCGATCCTGGCAAGTACCAATGTGATTTCCGAGTCATATGTACTTTATAAGAGTTTCCAAAAGAGGGTTGATGTCACTCAGGCGGCCGTTCGTAAAAACAAGTAGCCAAAACTATTCACAACATATAAGGCAGACCCTGGCTATAGCTGGGAAATTGACAGGTAGAAGAAGAAGATATATTAGTTTGAAAGCAATGGGACAAGTTCAATATTTAATAATAATGTTAATTCATTTAATCTAAACTATATAAGTAAAGACAGGTAGTAATGTAGAACATTATCGTCAGGGCTTTGTTTGTCAAATGATTATATATATATGCAATATTTCTTCAAGGTTGTCTAACATTATGTAAAATAACTTAATAATTTTGAACTAACAAACACTTATCTTACAATCTTAGGTTTTATATATATATATATATATATATATATATATATATATACAGGGTGACTGGTGAATTACTATCGATATTTGAGGACGTGATATTTGACGATCATATATGACAAAATAAAAATTAATATAACATAAATATTAATAAACTTCTAAGTAAAGTTAACCAAAAGTTATGTAATTAATTACGCATCGTATGAACACCCTACAGATTAGGTATACACACACACTCACACAGACGCGGCGGCGGCGTGTTGTTGTATCAGCACGCCGCCGCACGCGTCCACACTTGGAACACTTGGAACGTGTACACACTTTATTTATTTATACGGAAATTTGGTCAAAAATTAAGTACCTATTTTTTTTTACATAATTCGAATGAGAATCATGTACCAAGTATGCTCCTGCTGTATAAGTATATATATATATATATTACCGTAGTTAGTCTATAAACTAAATGTTTTGTTAAGCTAATTCGTAATTAAAATTCTATAAGTGTTCTTATACATATATATCTACATATAACAACTTGTACCGACCTCGCTATAAAAAATTCATCAAAATTTTCAAGTTTCATCAAAAACATATATGTAATCTTTTCGAAAATAATATATAATATGACCTTTATTTTATTTTTTGTGTGATTTTTTTATTAAAACTTATTTTTGCATATTAAGTCTTCCTGTATATAAATCTAGATTAATATAATATAAGGAAGGTACTAATTAAATATTTTGACTGGAGCCAAGTTTGCGTAATAGACATATGTACATAGATTTTCCTCTCTAAAACATTGACAAAAACGTTTAAGACATTGACCCCGTTGGTCGTAGCTTGAACTAGACGCAAGATTATCTAAATCAGTGTTACGCAAACGTTTTTACGTGATACACTATTTGATCTGGCAGAAACTGGCTAAAGCTGGGAAATTGCCAGCAAGAAGACGACACTATTACTGTGTAAGAAAAGTAATTTGTTCCACAACGAAAAGCTCTCATAATTTTTCCTCATTAATATGTATTATAACATAAATCATTTTAATTCTTTCTTGTTACAGATATCAAACATATATATAGTATGTGCATATAAACAACGAGATGGCGCCACAAGAACGTACAACTTGCTGCGAAGGTTCCCGCCAAGAAGATAATCTGGCGAACATTGATCTAAATAATGGATTCATTAACAAAGCTTTCACAAATGACGTTACTGATAATGTAAATACAAAAAATAATGCAGAAGGGCCCAAAGATGCAAAAAAAGTCAAAGATTTTGACGATCTATTGCCATATATCGGTGAATTTGGGTGGTATCAAAAGATTCTCTTCCTACTAATGATACCGTTCGCATTTTTCGTATCTATAGTATATTTTTCACAAATATTCATGACGATTGTACCTGAACAACATTGGTGCTGGATACCTGAGCTCGCGAATTTAACGGCAGAAGAAAGGTCAGTTACTTATCACTATACAGAGTGACTGGTGAATTACTATCATTATTTAAGGAGAATACTCGGTACATGATTCTCATTCGAATTACGTAAAAAAATAGGTATTTAATTTTTGACCAAATTTCCGTATAAATAAATAAAGTGTGGACACGTTCCAAGTGTTCCAAGTGTGGAAGTGGTGTTGTATCAGCACGCCGCCGCACGCGTGTGTGTGTGTGTGTGTGTGTATACCTAATCTGTAGGGTGTTCACACGATGCGTAAATAATTACATAACTTTTGGTTAACTTTACTTAGAAGTTTATTAATATTTATGTTATATTAATTTTTATTTTGTCATATATGATCGTCAAATATCACGTCCTCAAGTATCGATAATAATTCACCAGTCACCCTGTATATTCTTAATATAAATTATATTCTATACAAAACTGCTCTAAATCAAAGGTAATCAAGATAAATAATATAAAGGTCAATTTAATATCAAAAACGTGAGCCAACTTATATTATTTTACTTTAGACATTAGTTATAAGAACTATGATAAAAATATGTGATCATTTTGATAAAATTGAAAATTTTTTGCTTAGCGAAATAATAATTAAGGAACTTAAAAAAGAAGAACATAATTATTTTATATATTGAAGTCGGAAATCAAAAATTTTGCTTTATTTCCCGCGAAAAATTGAACATAGTTTTGACACTTATAGTAAATAAAAAATTACCTTAACGATTTTTTCGAGTAAAAGCTATACTTGTGAACATTCTCAATACAATTCTTTGTCATTAAAAGATCTCAAAAGTCCTTACAAAATGTATTACAGATCAATTAAATACGGAAGTACAAAACATAGCTAAATTATTCTATGGCATTGAAAATGTATAATAACATATAGAGGTTGATATAAATGGGAGGCACTTGTTGTATAATATTTAAAAATTACATTTGTTCACTGTAATAATGAAACTTATGAGAATGATGAGAATTATGAGAATGATGAGAGTGATGAAAATGATGAGATTAATGAAGTGGTATCAATTACTTACCAGATTTTTTTTACTTATGAACACAACAGTATTTATTAATAATATTCAATTAACAGTAATTGTAAAATACTAATAAGATCACATCCGTATATAAATATGCAAATATTAGCGATAAATCCTCGTATTGCAAATGTATTTTAGATTCAGGATATAATAAATTACATTACTTAGCTTTACAATATTATAGTATACTTTTCATACTATATTTTGTTCTAAAAATAGTTTATAAAATTATATGTTATACGATTTTTAAAGACCATTTATAATTTGTTAAAATATTTTAAATTTCTTACCAAATAACACTCGTACTATCCTTATTACTTGTTCCCATGAAACTCATTACTGTCAGTTTTGTCGTTTTTTCAATTAATATATTGACTATAATCAAAATAAGAAAAGATAATAATATTCAATATGAAGTGGTTTAAATATAATCATTTTAGGTTAATAATTTTTTCAATATTTTCATTTAAATATGACAATATTTTGCTAGTTTTATAATAACAAAGAGAATTAATATAACATATATATTTACCTTATTTTAAATAATCACATTATAATGATGGCACTCTTAAATTTAGCTTTAAAACTCATTCATGATGACAGATTGACAAATGTCTATGGATATATAATAATATTGTTGAAAAATATTGATGATTTCGTAATTTAAGAATTGTATGAAGGAAAGTTTTGATATTATACCCGAATTTTATAAATGTTCAAAAATAAATTTATGTATACAATGTATATATACATATTATTATGTATCTAAACGTTCTTTCATACCTTTTTCACACTCACTATATACCTACTAATATTATAAATGCGAAAGTAACTGTGTCTGTCTGTCTGTTAAGCTTTCACGCCTAAACCACTGAACTGATTTTAATGAAATTTGGTACAGACATAAAGTTAACCTTGAGAAAGAATATAGGATAGTTTTTATCCAAGACTTTTGAAAGGTTCTCTTGGTAACGCGATTTAACCGAACTCCACGCGGGCGAAGCTGCGGGCGGAAAGCTAGTCTTTTATAATTAAAGAAAACTCTTCCGTAGTCTCACTTTATCATCGATTTATGGCAACAAAATTAAAATTCTGACATCTGAGATTCAATGCATTTAAGATAATTAAATTAAGTTTTGACAAAGTTTAGCAAAACAGAAACACATTAGATACTGATTTTCAAAAAAATTCTCATCATCCAATATATTCACGGTGCGTGTGTCGGGTCCATCGTTGTAGTGAGAGGAGCTTCAACAGTGACTGGGACTTGTGACCCAGGTGTAGGTTTAATATATATAGAGAGACGAAACCTCTCATCATTCAATGTATTCACGGTGCGTGTGTCGGGTCCATCGTTGTAGTGAGAGGAGCTTCAACAGTGACTGGGACTTGTGACCCAGGTGTAGGTTTAAGGCCTCGGCCTCGAATTTTGCGGGCAGCGGAGCGGCGGCGGCGGCGGCACGGGCAACGCATACCTGTTCTCCAAACTAGCGGGCAGCGGGCACCGCTGTATTCGAGGGTCGGTCCATTTGATTATACGCGTAAGATCCTGCCGCTCCCGCTGCCGCTCCGCTGACCGCAAAATTCGAGGCCGAGGCCTAAGGGACCCCTATCTAACGCGTTAAACGCTCACCTCCACCGTACAAGCTCCTCTCTCTACCTAACACAATTTGAAACGAACATATAATCTAATCATAAGTCTCCAAATTAAATACTCTACCATTAAGGATTTACGTTTACAGGTTCAATTCCGCCTTATTATGATATTATTATCTATTTCTTTTTAAAATTAAATTCCAATGAATTTGATTGATCAAGTATTGCGGTTTAGCAAGAACAAGATCAAAATCTCCCAACAACAATGGCGTACAAGTTAATAAGTTTTTAAGAACTCATTATTCTATTTATTTCTATAGTAAATTAATCATCATTTTCTAAAGTATTAATAATTTATACGAATGTCAATTAAGTTGAATTTCAATATTTTTCACTTCTCATTATAATCTTGATATGCAAGTTACATGAAACAAAGAAATTAAGACATAAAGTAACTTGCAGTTAAATCGTATATATTACCTATTTTACTTTAAGCATTTATTTTAATTCAAAATGACTACGGAACCATAAGTACGTGAATCAGTTTCAAACTTAATGCTTATAATTTTTCCTCCTAAATAAAAACAATATGTATGTTTTAACCAAGCATTCGCGGTTCCCAAAATGTAATCCGGATTTAAATAGTGATGGCATTCTCAACAAAAGAAGCACAAAAAATGTAACGCTTCTTAAGAACTTATAAATTTGAAGACATTAAAATACGTATTATGGGACTCGGGGATTTTCTTGAATCAAAATAATTCTATTGTATTAAAATCAATATAAGCATTTCAAACTTTTAAGTTTCTTGACTTGTAATTTTTAATAAAATGAACAATGACATAGTTAGCTGTCATTAATGCCTGATGCCTACAACAATTATATGTTTTTATATGCTTGACCCGTCATACATGTAGCTAGATTGAGCAGCTTATGTTTTGATAGTAGAAGTTTTTGATTGGAGAGAATACGTTAAACGATTAAAGCAACTAGGTTGGATGAGTAGAGAGTCAGCAAGACCTATTGTATCATTTAATATATTGGATATAGAATAAAGATACCAGACAGACCCTGGCTAAAGCTGGGAAATTGCCAGGAAGAAGAAGATAGAATAAAGATATCAATTAATAATTAATTATTAATATAAATTTAATTGATAGCTTCATTGCTTACTTGTCAATACGAAACTCACCTAACTAGGGCGTCTGCTTTATCATTGTTTTTGGAGATATTTTGTCCTTTAATTCATTTCAAAGTTAGTGAATTAAAAATAGCAATTATTGGGAGATAAATTCGAAGCATTGTACGTGACTTTCCAAGGTTTAAAGAATGAAAAAATCCTTGCTTTCCTATCAATGGTACATTTCTCTAATCAACGTAAACCTATGGATATGTAGCAGCATTTTACTTCATCTTTAGGGTCCTCAGAATTGCCAGAACGCCTCTCATCACCAATCATTGTAAGATCAATAGAAATTCTGAGTTAGCTATTTTTATTCTTCTCATTCAATGGCTCACATTTTTCCTCATCAAGTACATAAGAAAGTAAACCAAGTTAACCCAAATGAATTCAGATAAAAACTCAACAATAGACTCAGCTAATAAAATTGTTTTATTGAATCATAATCTCTCCTTCGACAACACAATCAGTATTCTCAAGTTCAAGTGACCCTGGCCATATTGACCGTAAAATTCCTCGTATTATTCTCACAAATTACAGAAACTCATATTCAATGTCATAGATGTTGTCTTTTAAACATTAGTAAATCCCTACTAATATTATAAATGCGAAAGTTACTCTGTATATCTGTCTGTCTGTTACGCTTTCGCGCCTAAACCACTGAAGTGATTTTAATGAAATTTGGTACAGACATAGAGTTGACCTTGAGAAAGAACATAGGATAGTTTTTATCTCAGACTTTTGAATGGTTCTCTTGGAAATGCGATATAACCGAACTCCACGCGGACGAAGCTGCGGGCGTAAAGCTAGTTAAGAATAAATTAACTCAGACTTGATAGTAATTACCGCAGTTTGTAACTACAAAACTATTCGTGTGTTCGTGACGATAAATTGAAAAACTATTGATAAAAACTATATATATTAGATATTTTAGCTAATAAGTTTTATTTTGTCTCAAAAATTTGGCATATATAGGAAAAAAGCGCGCTTGAATACATTTTCTAAATAAGTTTTACTGACTCTTTTGGGAAGTTATCGAAAAAGAAGTTAAAATATATAGTATATGAGTGTAATTTTATTGCTTTTGGAGTTAAATTCAAACAAGCGAACATTTTTAAATACAAAGGATGTAATGTTACTTTGTCTAGTTTTATCAAAAAATAATTGTCGTACAAGTCATAAAATATTTACTTTGCATAACCCCGTAAACTATTTCAATATACTATGTCATAATAAATACATGTAAATATAAATAAAACTAATATTTTCTTATTTACCACGCTTTTTAAATTCTCATTTTATCTGCCCGTGATCATTGCTGCAAAGTAACCTAAACGTCGGGAGTATGTAGTTAAAAATAATAAAAAACGCGAAGTAATTCAAAAATATTAGTTTTAAATTTAGCGAAAGTTTTAGAACTCATTGCATATAAATAATTTCAAATTACATCCAATAATAAGAATAAAAAATCGTATTGTATTAACACGTCTTTACGCGTTTTCGCTTATTTGTGTATGTGTCATATTTGTGCAAATATGTCAAATGAAGACGAATAAATCATCCATATATGATCTTATTTGGCCAAAACAACAAATACGGGAATATACAACGCCAAGTGAAGTGCCACCTTTACATAAATAACGAAAAATTGTCATAATTCACGATTCGCAGTGAACTTGAGTTATTGAGGTTAGACGTCTATTGAGTTGGTCAAGGAAGGTCACCCATTAATCATTACCTTCCGTTACCCAAGAAACATAGAACAATTAAAGTATATTCAACCAAAAAAATACTTATATATATATTCATTTAAATATCAGACAGAAAATAAATATAGTTTCTATTAGGTTTTTTGCTTAAATTGTACCTATAAAATCTGCTAGCGACTTAATAAAATTAAGAAATATTATCAAAGGGTTAGACATTTTTTTTTTGGCAGTCATCGGAAGAATGATTTTAAATAGGGAGACTCGTTTAAGGAAGAACCTTCAAGTGATTATTGGACCATGATAATCAATTGTAAAGCTATTAAATATTATTAAAAGTAACTTAACCTCGACAGAATATATAAATGCACGTAGCAAAATAATTAAAATATATATTTATCAAAGGACATATTAGATTGTGTGGCCTAGTGGTTAAAAGGTTCGCCTCTCATGCTTACGGGCGCGGGTTCGATCCTGGCAAGTACCAATATGATTTTTCCGAATCATATGTACTTTATAAGAGTATTTAGATATCACTGATTAATGCATTCCCAAAGAGGGTTGATGTCAGGCAGGCGACCGGTCGTAAAAAGAATTATCCAAAACTATTCACAACATGTAAGGCAGACACTGGCTGAAGCTAGGAAATTGCCAGGTAGAAGAAGAAGATATTAGATTGTGTGTGCTGATACGGTAAAACATAGCATATATTTTTCAATTTTATTTCATAAAACTGTTAAACTGACTGTATAACGTTTGATACAAATGCTAAGGGTACATTTAGCTATAGTATAGAAAATTCGGAATTAAAAACAATAAGTAGATTTTTAGGAAGAAGAATTAGGATACATTTTGATAAAAGAAGATTGAAATACATATATCTCTTCTGCCCGTGATCGCGGTTGCTGAAAAGTAGCCGAAACGTCGGGAGTATGTAGTTTATGGTAAAAAAAAAATGCGTAGTAAATCCAAAAATATTAGTTTCAGTTACATAAATTTGTGTTGATTTTAAATCAATTAATCAATTTTGATTGATACTTTACAACACTGATTATGGAATATTTTACCATTTATGTATACATATGAATAAATAAATTATTTATTCTTGATCACAGTATATCAATGTCAAATCTTAATTATGATGGAACAGGTGATTACCGGTGATTTAAGATGACGCTTTGTATTTACCCTCGGCCTTGAAAAGGTTTTTTTAATAATTAATATTAACTGTTAACTCTTTGTTTTTGTTATAGTACATAAGAAAAATAGTCTTAACAATTTTTCATTCGTAAAATTTAACATAATAGACCCAAAGACTATGCCATCAAGGTCGATAAGAATCACGAATTCACTAAGAAAAGGTTCGTCGTAAATTTGTACGCGGTAGAACTGGGAGCGAGAGTTATAACAGCTAAATCTCTCTACAACCTACTAAAAGACTTGAGCCTGTCCAGAACTAATATCAATTTATTCTTGGAACGTACTGTAAAGGCAGTCCTAGTAGGTTCGTTTCAAATTTGGTAGAGAGAGGAGCTTGGACGGTGGAGGTGAGCGTTTAACGCGCCATATAGCCTTAACCTACAGGAGTTTATTGAAAGGAAACGTAAAACTCGTCGTATGTAGTGTGAAAATGTAACTCGTACTATGAATACGGTTCTTATGATACGTCAGCAAAAGATTAATTTATTGACTGATCTACCAAGGAATTAATATTTATTTGTATATCAACTTTAATTAATTGTGTTGCTATACGAAAAAATTCTTAAATTAACATCCAAAGAACAGCTAAAAGATGACAAAACATATGTTTTTTAATTATAAGAAATTATATTGAAGTAATATAATTATATGGCCTAGTGGTTAAAAGGCCCGCCTCTCATGCATGAAGGCGCGGGTTCGATCCTGGCAAGTACCAATGTGATTTTCCGAGTCATATGCCCTTTCTAAGAGTATTTTGAGGTCACTGATTAATGAATTCCCAAATAGGGTTGATATCAGGCAGGCGGCCGGTCGTAAAAACAATTAGCCAAAACTATTCACAAGATGTAAGGCAGACCCGGGCTAAGGCTGGGAAATTGTCAGATAGAATAAGAATATAATGGTCCTTTTTTTGTTATAAACTAAATAAGATCAAAACTGCTTTTAACTATACCCAGTATACATACATATATGTATATATGTATATTCGTAATGACACATAATAAAAAAGGCATTTCAAACGAAATAAGATTACTCTATAAAAACTATTAGGTATATTCATTTAGCAAAACCCACCCAAGCAAATTATATATGAATTTAACTGACCTGTAATAAACAAAAAATATGTTTTGAACATTAAATTCAGAGTTTTTAATATTTTTTACCAATTTTTTATACTATGTATGTATATCAAAATTGTTATTTAATTTCTTTATACGAGTTCATTCGTGCGTAAGTTCCGCTATTTATACTTGAATATTTTGTTACAGCAATCGTTTTAAACGCTCACTAACAAATACTTGCCTAGCAATGCTTATAAATTCTATGACTATGAGGTTTTAGGAATAAAATATAAAAATAATTTTATGTTAAGAATGATTTAAATTATTTAAATATATTTCATACATGTAATATATTATTTCGGCGTAAAAAGTACTACGGAGTAAAAAGTGCGACAATTTATTAAAATGACAAATGACAGTGACATTTGTTTATAAGGACAAACAAGAGAGATTCATAGCTCATAAATTAGAGGTTTATATTTAGGACAAAAAATATTATCATAGTACGTATTTAGTAAGGTTCTCATAAAAAAGAGACGAATCCTCTCATCATTCCAAGTATTCATGGTGCGTGTGTCCGGTCCATCGTTGTAGTGAGAGGAGCTTCAACAGTGACTGGGACTTGTGACCCAGGTGTAGGTTTGAGGGGTGCCTATCTAACGCGTTAAACGCTCAGCTCCACCGTACAAGCACCTCTACCTAATGAATACTTCCTAATTTTTCAAGTACAAGTACAGACTAGATCTTTACAGAACTTTTCAGTATTATACACATACATTTCTTAAGACGATTTATTCTGATTTTTCAATGTTGGCATAATATGTTTTTTTCCAGGCGAGCCTTAGCCATCCCACCTAAATCAGATGGACCCTTTGCCCATGACAGATGTCATATGTACTCAGCGGACTTCTCACTGGCCTTGGAACAGGGTAGAACCACTCCTGATGATGAGTGGAAGATCATACCTTGTTCTCATGGCTGGGAGTACAATAGGAGCGATGTACCATATGAAACAATTGCGTCACAGGTTAGTTACATCGACAATTCGTTCATAAGCCAAATAATTTGCTGTCTTGGATGCTAAAAAGTATAAATAATACATTAACCAATAACTTCTCGCATCTACATAATTGTTTTAAAGTAATTTCAAGAGAAATTGGTTTTCTATAATGTAAAATACTTAAAATGCTTTTGTGTCGATGTTGATGCCTTATGAATTAAAATAGAAAATACAATGTTCGTATGATTGCTATTTTAATCAATTGCAATTATAATTAATTAACTGCTATAAAAAGACTGTTTAAAATGTACAAAATGTTTAGACGCAGTTTCACCAATCAATGTTTGTTTAATCTAAACACAGCATTTACTAACCAACCTACAAAATTATAAATGTCTGTTAAAATATTTACGTCCCACGATGACAAATTAACAACGCATTATTAAACATCATGTCAAATAACCGACTACCAAATTATTCGTTTTTGTTATAAGACGACCCAATGGAAACTATAGCGTTTAATACGGCACGTTTGCCACGATGCACCACTTTATACTTTGATCGTATATGTCTCTCAATACGTCACTTGTAAGCTAATGCGACCAAATTTTATATATCGTTGGTTGCATACATTTAGCGCACAAGAAGCTTTCTTTTCAATTTACTAGGTGTAACTTGTCAAAATCGGGTTGTCCATAAATTGTGTTATATATTATTATGTAATGAATATAGGCATAAATTGTGTTCAAATTATAAGAGATAAAAAGAAAATTTAATTTGCAATGTTATAAAAAGCTGGAGGCAAAATCATCATAGGAAATGAAATTTTAATTCACTTTATTAATAATAACAAGGAAATAGTCGAAACTGACAAAACATATGACGTTACTATGGTTACAAGAAATCAGGGCTGTGATTGAACAATTGAGTTTTGACAATGCATTAACATTGGGTTAGTCATTTGGCCGACCGCTAGAGCAGGAATTAATATTAGTGGCTGGTTAAGACATTTAAACGGACATTTGTGCGTGGTGGGACGCTCGATACATCTAACAGAGCATCAAACGCCTTAACACGATGTTAGTTATTTAACAATGATTGGTGAGACTGGGTCTTAGTCTTTTAATAATTTACTGTGTACTAGTTTTGCTCCTTTAATAATGTGTATCCTTTCTTCACTAGACCATATTATCATATTTAGCTGTTTTATTTCTGAGTTACTTTTCATGCTTGTAAGATGCACTAAATATAGTTTTATTAAAGTATGGGACTATACAGTACAATTCACAGTAATATTTTAAGCTGAAAGTAACTAATGTCTTTAACAAATAGTAAAGCAGCTTTCACAAAAATCTCAAATATATGCACAAAAGGAATTAGAAACCTTCTTTTATGGTAGTCAAATGGAAAATAGAAAAAACTATAAATGAAAAATGTTATAATGATAAATATAAATGTTTTAGCTTGACTGGGTTTGTGACAAAGACAATTATGCAGCGACTGCCCAAGCAATATTCTTCTGTGGTGCAATTGTCGGAGGCTTGGTGTTTGGTTGGATCGCTGATAAGTATGGAAGAATACCAGCTTTAGTAGGTAAGAATTATAATGATTTTAATCTTATAAAATACGTACAGCTTGAAAAGAGTTTTAAAGACTATGAGGCAAGCTATGATGCAAGACATTTGGGGCATAATTGGAAAACCTTTTCTTAACCTTATTTTTGCTAGTGTAAACTTTAAAAGGAATATAAGGAAATCGAATAAGCCGATTGGATTTTTTGATGAACAGACCAAGCTTACCATAAGTTTTAATTGCTAACCAAACAAATGGTTTGATATTGTTTATAAAAAATCTTCAATGATAAGAATTTAATGACTAATTTGTGATGTAAACGTTGGAAATATCGATAGTTTAGTAAAATGGATAATAATACTAAAGTTCTAGATATCCTTTTCAACTACAGGTTTTAAAGGAATACTTAGTATACTCTTTGATCACGAGATATTACTTCATAAGCCCAAGATAATGAAAAATATGCTTATATCATGTGAGAAGAGGCCTTTGCTCAGCAGTGGGTTCTGATAGGCTGATGATGATGATGATGATTACTTTCAGGTACAAACCTCGTTGGTTTTGCTGCCGGTGTTGCCACCGCCTTCTGCAACACCTTCTGGACCTTCACGCTGTGCAGATTCCTCGTTGGCCTGGCGTTTGATAACTGCTTCACCATGATGTATATTTTAGGTAATCCTTATATTTCATAAAATTCCTTTAGTAACAACAGATTTCAAAAAGGTACTTAAAAAAATTATTTGTTCTTATTATTGACGTCTCGTAAGAATATAGCAATATTTTTATTATATAAATGAATATTTATCTTCGTGGATTTATAACAGACAAAGAGAAACGAAATTTCTTAGCATTCAATATATTCACGGTGCGTGTGTCGGGTCCATCGTTGTAGTGAGAGGAGCTTCAACAGTGACTGGGACTTGTGACCCAGGTGTAGGTTTAATATATATAGAGAGACGAAACCTCTCATCATTCAATGTATTCACGGTGCGTGTGTCGGGTCCATCGTTGTAGTGAGAGGAGCTTCAACAGTGACTGGGACTTGTGACCCAGGTGTAGGTTTAAGGGGTCCCTATCTAACGCGTTAAACGATCACCTCCACTGTACAAGCTCCTACCTCTATCTAATCAAATTTGAAAATATATAATAACCTAATGCCATTTTCTTCATTCCAGTTTTAGAATACGTAGGACCAAAATGGCGTACATTTGTCGCCAATATGTCAATAGCTATTTTCTTCACGCTGGGCGCGAGTCTGCTGCCCTGGGTCGCTCTGTGGGCGGGTGACTGGCGTCGGTACGCTCTCTTCATTAGCGCGCCCTTCATCATAGCGGCTGCTACACCTTGGGTTGTACCGGAAAGTGCCAGGTCAGATAATATAGTAAATATAGAAAGTAGTTTTCAGTTACAACAACAGATGGCGCTGATATGATAGTTTTCAGTACTCAACAACAGATGGCGCTGATATGATTGTTTTCAGTACTCAACAACAGATGGCGCTTAATTTAATGTAGAGATAATTTTTTTACTGTTTATAGCTTTCAGTTAAGAATAAAACGCGTCAAACAAATTTCATAGTAAAAATTCGTTCGAAACATAATTCATTATGTTATTTCATATCTCCATTGCATGATCAATCATTGTGTATGTTTGAATTCTTGTACGAATAAAAGAACTTTCTATAGAGTTTAATAAAGAACAAAAGAATTAAATACAACTTACTATTACTGTTGTTAGTTACCATATTGATTGATTGTTATGCTTGGGTTATTCGAAAATACTTCTCTAACCCAAACCGGACAGAAGAGCCCTTATCTTATCATTAAATAGACAGTTTGACATCAAAGAAATTTATTTATTTTTTAAGTAATTTGCAGCATAAAATTCGAAGTAAATATTAATAAAGTAAATAATAATACAAAATTTAGCTTAGCTTTTAAATGAAGTTTAATTAATATTCACTATTATGAATTTGTTTCAATTATAAAACATTTTTTTTTAATATTGCATACAAAATTACTTTTCTTTGATAAATATTATATATAGAATAATGCCTTAAGAATTAACAATTCATTTTTTTGTTTCAGATGGTTACTATCACAGGGAAAAATTGACAAGGCTCTAGTTATAATGAAAAAGTTTGAAAGAGTTAACAAAACTAAGATTCCTGACAAAGTTTTAAATGAATTCACTGTAAGTAGTTTATTCTTGTACTATACGTTGCATGTAGGTCAAAGAGTAACAAAAGATTGTACAATTTAACAGTTCTGTACAAGTATAAATTATCATCTATCTGATAATAGATGGCGCTGCATAACATTATCAGAAATGTGATAATTTATACTTGTACATAACTGTTACTAAAGCATAATTTGTAATTAAATCATCATTATAGATTCTAGATAGATAACTTATTGTATTCTACATTTTTGTAGGAAGCAACCCAACAAGCAATCAAAGAATCTGCTGCACACAAGTCATATTCAGTTCTGGACATCTTCAAGACACCGAGATTACGGAAGAACGCTTTATTATTGATAGTCATCTGGATGGCAATATCTCTGGTCTTTGATGGCCACGTACGGAATGTCGGTTCTCTAGGACTCGATATTTTCCTGACCTTCACTATCGCTACTGCTACCGAATTCCCAGCGGACACATTTCTAACTGTTGTACTTGATAGGTTAGACATTGAATAATCTTGATAATTTTACTAATATTATGATATATTTCCATGACCCAAGTATTTTATGTTTTCCATATAATTAATGTTTCATTCCTTCTTCATTCCAGATGGGGTCGTCGCTGGCTTGCATGTGGATCGATGGTAGTGAGCGGCATCTTCAGTCTTTTGGCTACCGCGGTACCAATTGGTATGTAATAACCATTATATTAAGAACAAAAACTTTATTACTATTTATTTTAAAGTCCAAAATCAATGTAATGTACCATCATCAGCTTATTTTAGGGCCTTTATAGGTAATTTTTGCTATTAATTAACGTAAACTTTATAACAATTTACCTAAACAAGTAAAAGTTCTAACAAATTTTTCTATGTTTAAATCTCGACTTTATAACCACATTCTGTATAACGATTCTCTGTTAAAATAAATGGAAAATGTTATCTCATCTGTTTTGCTGATTCGAACGAATTGTTATATATATAAGTTAGTTATGAGTTCTCAAATAAATGACGTTGTCGTAATGAGAATAAAGTCCTTTAAACTGAAACTTCTGATCTTCATTGAGTATCCTTCATCTAGGTGGTCCATCAGCTTCCCTGGCGATCCTTGGTCGGTTTGCGGTCAATATTTCCTACAACATAGGACTTCAGTACGCCGCAGAAGTTCTCCCAACTGTAGTGAGAGCCCAGGGCGTGGCTCTCATACATATTATGGGATACGTAGCGTCTATTGTAGCACCGTTCGTAGTATATCTGGTAAATATGACTTCTATATCTAGTTAGTGGTTAATATCATTTAATTTTTGCCAAAAACCTTACAATGTGGAAGAGTTTAAGTAGGAAGGCAGACCCTGGAAAAAGCTGGGAAATTGCCAGGAAGAAGAATTTGTATTCCAATGAAATTTTTTCCCTCCATTCGTAATAATGTATGTTTCCTGTATATACATATCGTGATTTTGGAAGAGGTATATACAATTGATAATAATTTGTATAATATATTTTCTGTTATATAAAGTATTTAAATTTGTCTTTAAATTTTATCTTATTTACTACCGTAATTATAAATATGCTACAGAAGCTAAAGAATAGGAGGGAAAAGTCGTTCTTTATTAAACTGTAATGAAATTAAAAATGTTATTTTAATGGATGATGTTCTAACTTATTTTTCGTTTTTTATTTCTTTTATGCTCGTCACAAAATGTTCTAATTTTTAACTTAAAATAATCTGGAGTTTTTACTGAGTTTAGAATGTATACCCATTAGGCTAGAAGTGGTATGAAAGACCCCGTTAACTAAACGGAGCAAAGAAATATACTTTTAATTAATTTATTTATTTATCTATTTACGGTTCACGAAACAGATTATAACTAAAGATACAATTTATTGATAAGTAAATATTAGGTTGGTGCGTATGAAATGTCGGATTCTTAAGTGATTGTATAAAACTGCATATCTTTCTTCAAAAGCTGTTTATTCAATCAAAGTATGCTCTATTCGCTTCAATACACTTCTCCCAACGAGATTTTAAAGCGTAGATGCCTGTCTTAAAAAAAATTTGGTCTTTAGAATTAAAAAACTCTGATATCGAGTTTTTTAGACTGTCTTCATTTTCATAATGTTTGCCCCTTAAAAACAGCTCTAAATGCTTGAAAAAATGTAAATCGGTCGACGAGAGATCCGGTGAATATGGTGGATGCTGCAAAACTTCATATTCCAGTTCGTTCAGTTTCGCAATTGTTTTGTGCGATGTATGCGGCCGAGCGTTGTACCCACTTGTCCATCTTCTTAACCTTGCCAATCTCAGAAAGGTGTCTCAATATCGTTGTATGGTCAACTTTCATCCTGATAGCAAGTTCCCTCGTGGATACGGCTGGATCCGCTTCCACTAGAGCCTTCAGGTCATCATTTTTCACAGACGTTTTGGGTCTTCCGCGTGGCTCATTTTGCAGTGAAAAATCGCCAGTCGGAATTTTTTTTAACCAACTCTGCACTTTCCGATCGTTAATCGTATTCTCCCCAAAGGCTTGGTTTATGTTGCGTGCAGCTTTTGCAGCATTATTACCAAGTTTGTACTCATATAAGAAAATGAGGCGAATGTCGGCAGAATTCATATCGGCAATAAACTCAAATAAATAACAAAAGGGAAGACCTTCGAGAAAACCTTTTTTGCTGAAATGAGTCTCTGGCAATGGACAATACGACTGTGAGTGAGGTTATGCCAAAGACGAAAGTATAACGAAAACAGGGAGACAAACGTCCGCATGTAAAGAGAATCCGACATTTCATACGCACCAACCTAATATTATAAATAAGCTGAGTCATAACCCAACAACTATGTGAACACATATTATAGACTAAATATTTCACATAAAAATACATTGTATACATATAAGAAAAGACATTTACAATAAATAGAAAAATATGGACAAGTTTTAATGGAAGAAATGTTGATGGTTTTGTCTAACTATTTTTTATTAATAGGCCAACATATCTCCTGATCTGCCTCTCTTGATACTGGGTGTTTTGGGCATCGTTGGTGGAGGTCTGTGTCTGCTACTGCCAGAGACTATGGACACGGAGATGCCACAAACCCTGGAAGATGGAGAGAACTTTGGGAAGGACCAGCAGTTCTGGGACAACCCTTGCTTCCCGAGGTAAATTGGATATATGTAATACTAGCTGCGCCCCGCGGTGTTCCGGGATTTCCGGGATGTAAAGTAGCCTATGTTCTATTCCTGGATATCAGCTTCCTGTATACAAAATTTTATCAAAATCGCTTCAGCCGTTTGAGCGTGAAGAAGTAACAAACATACACACACTCTCAAGCATTCGCAATTATAATATTAGTAGAAAGAGAGCGTATGAGCGTTGATGAATAGTTTGAGCTTGTCTGTGTAAGGTAATAACATTTTTACATACTACCTTACATCATTTCAATTATTTTACTACAACACTTATCTCCGACGTAAGTTTTTGCGATATAGAATACGTTTTAAGTTAAAAAAAAAAGTAAATTAGGCATCAGTACGTGATTTACATAGTTAAGACACCACTGACAGACGGTGAAGGAAAACATCGTGAGGAAACCTGGACTTACAATTTAAAAAAATATATATATTATAAGTTTGAAATCACCAACCCGTCTTGAGCAAGCGTGGTGATTAACGCTCAAACCTTCTCCATGATAGAAAGAGGACTTGCTCAGCAGTGGGCTCCGATAGTCTAAAAAAAGTGGTTAACTAAACATACTTTTATTTTCCAGAAAAACTAAAGAATCACCAGAGAAATACATACCCTCGCCTGTAAAGGAAGATAATTTCATCAGGTCTTTACCAGCTTCTGGTTCCAGAGCATCTGTGAGAGCGTCTATCAGACTTTCAACAAGATCCAGGAGAAATGAGGATAACGGAGTGTAAATTAGACCTGTATATTGTTTGAATGAAAAATATTCCATAAAAGACTTGTGGGTAGATCTCGATTGCTTTGTTAAGTAAATTATTTATTGGTCATTTGAAAACATTATTCGGACATTAAAATTTGTGATGATTTTAAAAGAATCTTAATGAATGTAACATTAAGTAAGTTAGAATAATTCTAAGTGTTGTATAGAATGTGTAGTTTAGGTTTATTTAAATTGTGATATTTTGGACAAAATCATATATTTTAAATAGAAATGTATTTTTTAAAGAATTTTCTAAACGTTTTCCCGTATTTTGATCACGAAAAAATCTCTGTGATAGTAATTGTAATATACTAGATATATGACATATTTATGACTTTTATTTATATATCTTAAAAGGTGCATTGTAAATTATGTTACATTATACACATATAGAATGTATGAAGTAACATTCTTAGAACGTACTTCGAAGACAACCTTAGTATGTTCGTTTCAAATTTGATAGAGAGAGGAACTTGTACGGTGGAGGTGAGCGTTTAACGTTAGATAGGGACCCCTTAAACCTACACCTGGGTCACAAGTCCCAGTCACTGTTGAAGCTCCTCTCACTACAACGATGGACCCGACACATGCACCGTGAATACATGGAATGATGAGAGGTTTCGTCTCTTTTAGTAAACCATTTGCTACTTTAATTCAAGTTTTTATAAAAAATTAAGAAAATTGATAGTAATGCAAATTTAGATTTGAGAATTCAAGATTTTTCTTATTTCATATTACAGGCATATTCTTATTTCATATTATTGTCCACGATACAGGCCTAGCCTAGAAATAAATAAATGAAATAAATAAATAAATGTTTTTACTAGTTAAATAATATTACGTTTCCAAGCTTTTTTACCTAACAATCATGCCAACTGTTGCTATAGATTAATCATGATTGCGTTAAGATGAAAATTCTGTCACATATGCGTAATAAATAGTATTTACTTTGCTACAAGTATATATGTACATTATTTACATAGCTTTGATCTCTTTTATAATAGTTGTTTCCTCATAAAAACTCACAATTTCATCGTTTCATCATTAAACTATGAGTTATTCACGCAAACTATTTGGTTAACGATAACTCATACTAAGCATTAAAAGGCATCTGGCTTTAAATCCGATAGTAAACATAACTGAAATAAATCTTCTTAAGTACTATCTGTTGACGTCAAATTTTATATCAAGATATTACCGGTATCGCGGCGTTTGCTAAGAAAAAATAAATATTCGGATTTATATGTAAATGAATTTATTTGCAGAATACGCACGTTCTTATAATCCTAAATATATAAAGGCAGAACAAGACTTTCTAAATTTAACATATTAAGAAAAGTTAGGATTATTTTTAAGACAACCTCCGCAGTTTTTTCTAGTTGCAAGTTGTATGCATCGACTTCCAAGAGTACAATTAAAATTAGTAGTTTCATCAAATGTATGTATATAAAGCACCACATTGTAGGTACTAGAAGATGAAATAAGAATTTTTTAGAAAAAATTACGTTAATTGAGTGAAGCGTCCTCAGTTTTTCGGTACTGAATCGTTTTTTTGGACAAGGGTGTCGTTTTTTGGCTCTAAAATTAAATTTGGTGGTCCGATCTCCAATTTTAGGATAAAACCTTCCTAGATAACTGGTCTATCGGACAAAAACCTCGTCTCTGTACATTCGGTTGTCGACATCATCTCGAAGTCGCCAGTATAGATCCCGCTTCACTCAATAATTCAAATTCTTAACATGTTTGCCATAATTATTTCATAGGAAACCAAGATGTCACTTAATGCCACAAGGTCACAATGCCATATTTGTCATTACATTCTTAATATGGCATTATTAACACTATTGCATAATGTATGTTTGAATAATGATCAAGTAAAACTTATAATTAAATATCACTTGGAAACAGATAACATTTATTTGGTAAAGATTTTAAATATTAAGAGATATATTTAAGATATTTTTATAACTGAGTTTGATAGTACTTTGTGTCATCATCAGCCTATCAGAGCCCACTGCTGAGCTACCTCTTCTCACATGGAGAAGGTTTGAGCATTAATCACCAGGCTTGTTCAAGACCTATAATTTGAAATTATAAGTCCATGTTTCCTCACCATGTTTTCCTTTATCAGTCAGTGGTGACTAAATACTCTTATAAAGTACATATGATTCGGAAAAATCACATAGGTACTTGACAGATTTCGAACCCGCGCCCTCATGCATGAGAGGCGGGCCTTTAACCACTAGGCCACCACGACTTTAGTATTTTGTATAACGAAGAATGAATGAAGGATTAAATCATTAGATTTTCTACTATATTTAGTCTTAGTTATTATCTAATAAAAACTAGACAAGGTCGTTCTTGATATAAAGCTCAAAGAAACGCCGTTCTGCCGAGATAGCATCACTCTTAATACAATACACTTAATAAATATAACAAATACATATCAAATTATTCAATATTAACCTTTATTTGTATAAAAATAGAAGATAATATCCTTTGAATAGATATTGCATTATGATGTTTCATTACAAGGCATCAATTAAAGACCAATTCATGTAGCGACGCCAAGTCATAAGCAGAGCATTTTAGTTCAAATAATAATAGAATACCTTCTCTATGTGAGAAGAGGCAGCTCAGCAGTGAGCTCTGATAGGCTGATGATGATGATGATGAAGAAAATAATAGATTAAAATGAAGAATAAAATATTGATATTTGGATTTTAGATACAATCAAGCCAATTTATAATTAATTTAAAAGCAAATTTTTAATGCGTGTCTATTTATAATTCAGATGATAATACCGTAATTATATAACTTTTTTAACATTTTGATACTATAATAGGGTAATTTTCTATTAAAAAAATCGTTTAACAAAAGCAAAATGTATAAAATGAGTATATTAATTAATATAAAATATTAAAAAAAATAGTGTATATTAAATTAAAATTTTGTCATACTAAAATATATGATATCAAAAAGTTTTTTGGTAATTAATACTTAACATAAACTTTTTAATGAGAATCTAAATTATAGCTATATACAGGGTGACTGGTGAATTACTATCGATATTTGAGGACGTGATATTTGACGATCATATATGACAAAATAAAAATTAATATAACATAAATATTAATAAACTTCTGAGTAAAGTTAACCAAAAGTTATGTAATTAATTACGCATCGTATGAACACCCTACAGATTAGGTATACACACACACTCACACAGACGCGGCGGCGGCGTAGTGTTGTATCAGCACGCTGCCGCACGCGTCCACAATAGGAACACTTGGAACGTGTACACACTTTATTTATTTATACGAAAATTTGGTCAAAAATTAAGTACCTATTTTTTTTACATAATTCGAATGAGAATCATGTACCGAGTATACTCCTTAAATATTGATAGTAATTCACCAGTCACCCTGTATATAGATTAATTTCATTTTATATTAACCTAAATCAACTAAGTATTTCTAATTTTCAATACAATTAATGTAAGTATTTCAATAGTAAAAACAGTTTCTATTTATTGTTACTTCACTTTTATTCCGTTCATTTTAAATGAAGCACAATTTATTATTCGATCATTAATAAAGAGGAATCGGAATATTTATGATAGTCTAAAAATACTCGCAAGTATGTTAGTTGTTAAAAATAAACCATTGCTGGAATTATAGGATTGATTAAAGATGATTCATGATGCTTATTACGAAACCAATGTCATCTATTTACAGACGAAAGATAATTATACATACATATATATATGTATGTACATATAATAGTCAGTGGTGGCCTAGTTAAAAGGCCCTCTCATGCATAAGTTCGCGGGTTCGATCCTGGCAAGTACCAATTTGATTTTTCCGAGTCATATGTACTTTATAAGTATTTAGACATCACTGATTAATGCATTCCCAAAGAGGGTTGATGTCAGGCAGGCGGCCGGTCGTAAAAACTATTAGCCAAAACTGAGAAATTAACAGGTAGAAGAAGAACTAAAGAAAAAACGATCCCAATTCGCAAAGCGAAATGAATTGGTCACTATTACATTCGTTTTATATAATTTACTAGCTTTTGCCGCGGCTTCGTCCGCGTGGAATAGTTCCCACATAGTTCCCGTTCTTGTGGGGTTTTCGGAATGGTCGAGTTCCCGTAGAATTTTCAGGATGAAACCTATGTTTTTTTTAAATTAATAATGAAGTACTCTTAACCAACAACATATTTATTTGTTTATATGAATAAAGATTAATATTATTATTTTGATACAACTTAAACAAATTATTTCGACAAAATTAGGTACCATAAAAACGGTTTTTGTGAGTTAATCTTAAAAGATAGACATATACTGTCGCGGACTGTTTTTTATATCATTAAGAGAGCTATTATTCTTTATTACATATTTTTTGTGTGTCTCGAACCGTTTTCACGGCGCACGCAACGGAAGGCTTCAAAGATGAAATAATTTCTCCCGTTTTTTACACATTTACCACTATATCTTTACTCCTATTGGTCGTAGCGTGATGTTATATAGCTCACAGCCTTCTTCGATAACTGGACTATCCAACACAAAAAGAATTATTCAATTCGAACCAGTAGTTTCGGAGATTAGCGCTTTCAAACAAACAAACAAACTCTTCAGCTTTATAATATTAGTATAGATATTATATTCACTGATATTCACATCTCGTCTGCTCGTGATCACGGTTGCTGTAAAGTAGCCGAAAAGTCGGGAGTATGTAGTTTATAGTCAAAATAAAAAATCGCGTAGTAAATCCGAAAATATTAGTTTCATTTATAAGTGTTTCACCAATTTTAATAAACTTTAACGATAGATATTTTCATAGCTTTTAAGAATAACCTTAATCATTACCATAAGCTTGCAGACACACTACCGACGGAGTTTCAAGTTTTTCAGTCATAAATATTCACAAATTATGGGATAGGTGTCGACTTAAACCAACATATCAATAGTTAAACGTATTATATATATCAAGAATAACAAGTTTTAGACTGACGAAAATATCTTAAAAAGAAGTAATGAAAGAGAAAATATTAACAAAAACTCAAAAATGAACAACGAAAAGATTAAAAAAACATTTTATTATAAAATTGCCTACAATATTTTATTTATGGAAAAAAGTATATTAGAAAAATCAAACAATAAGACTAAACAGTTTTTAATGAAACTATCCTATTTTATAGTCTACAAATCAAACATAGGTTATAGAAATGATTTTAACCAAAATACGTTTTATGACCAAAGAAACAAACAGTAATTTTAGTCTCTATATTTTTAGGTTAAATAAAAAACATTAAAAGAAAATTTTGTGACAAAACAACAAATACTTAAAAAAATAAAACATATACATCAACCTAGCTTTTCGCCCGCAGCTTCACCCGCTTGGAGTTCGGTTATATCGCGTTTCCAAGAGAACCTTTCAAAAGTCTGGGATAAAAACTATCCTATATTCTTTCTCAAGGTCAACTCTATCTTTGTACCAAAATTTCATTAAAATCAATTCAGTGGTTTAAGCGTGAAAGCGTAACAGACAGACAGACAGAGTTACTTTCGCATTTATAATATTAGTAGGGATATGTAATTTATAGTCATTTTAAAGATTATACTAACCTTCCTTCATTGCAATTGGTAATTCAATAGTTATTGTTTAAAATCTAGACCAGAAACACGGTTTAAAAATCATTAACTTAAACGAAGAAAGATTAGATATAATACTATGCCTATATAAATAATTATTATATACTTTCAAGATAGTCAAATTATTTATTCATTTATTCTGACAATAAATAATCTTTTAAATTTTATTCAAACATGAAAATGTTTTAAAATATTTCATCAAAAAACTTATTATATGATTATGAACCTTAAATTATGTTGATAAGGTATATAATAGTTATTTTACGAGTACAATTCCTGAAAAGATAGCACCAGTTACAGCATTAAACACCTTATTATAAGTCACTAAGCACTATAATCGCTTGTTATTATAAACTACTTCATACTTATATATTAAAACAATTGATGGAATAGTTCATTCTGCTTAAACTGTGTTTGAGGGACGGACATTGAAACGAGATTTGATACTCATCGAATAGTGCGTCTAGTTAAAAGATATAGGTAAGTTTGAATATAATAATATATGTATGTTCTTCTTCTACCTGGCAATTCCCCAGCTTCAGCCAGGGTCTGTTTTACATATTGTGAATAGTTTTGGCTAATAGTTTTTTCGACTGGCCGCCTGCCTGACATCAACCCTCTTTGGGAATTCATTAATCAGTGATGTCTAAATACTCTTAGAAAGTACATATGACTCGGAAAAATCAATTTCATTTAATAATTATTCGCGTAAAAGATCGGTGTGTATGTATCTAATATTTTTTATTTTATATTTTTGTATTGAATAAGTGTTGTGATAGAAGTTATGATAATTTTGTCCTCAAATATAAAGAAATTAATGTTTTATTATTATGTGTATATTCTTTATGAAAGTAATAAAAAACTGTAATGGGAAGAATTTAAAAGACCCCTATCAGTAGTTATTTCAAAGAATATTATTTATTATGAATTTAAAAATCAAATTTAAAATAACAGTTAAATAAAATTCTTATCAATAAAAACGTTATATAAAAAAAATAGAGTCATTTATTTTAGGATAATATACACTATGCATATTATCGTGGTGGGAAAAAGGTTAAGGGCCCGCCTCTCATGTACCTATAAGAGCGCGGGTTCGAAACCTGGCAAGTACCAATGTGATTTTTCCGAGTCATATGTACATACTTTATAAGAGTATTTGGACATCACTGACATACGATGAAGGAAAACATCGTGAGGAAACATGGACTTATAATATCATAATTATAAATTTAAAATCACCAATTCGTCTTGAGCAAGCGTGGTGATTAATGCTCAAACCTTCTCCATGTGAGATGAGGCTCAGCAGGGGGCTCTGATAGACTGATGATGATATATTTAATTTGAAATATATAAAAGCAAGTTTAGTTACATATAATTCTTTAATATTTTATTAAATTACAAACATTTCTGTATTCCGAGATTTATACGGCAAAATATTCACATTATTACTACAATGTATTAAGTGAACTACACAATTTAAATATTTGATTACGTGGCTTACAATACATATATGATAATAACATTTACAACTAGCCATATTTACTTTGGTAGATAGTATGATTTTATTTACTTAGGATGTATATGAGGCAGGTTTTCCGTGTTAAATTATGTTACAGTACTTTCAAAATATAACTCAGTTTTGAACGGAATACGCACACACACACACACACACACACACACACACACACACACACATACACACACACACACACACACACACACCCATACACACACAAATATATATATTTTTTATTAATACTAGTAGTCTTGCTGAAAAGTAATAAGACAAACCACGTCAAAGAATTGAGAGTTATCAGTTAGTAATTTTAATAAATTATTACCATTTTTTATATATAGTAATATATATCATATAATAAATATAAATTAATTATTAGGTATATATATACACGTGTCATATAAACACGTGATTCGCGAAAAGATTTTCATGTTATACATATATATAACAACTGGACAAACAATATTAATTTATTCTTCTATATATAGTATTTTTAGTTTCAAAAGTGGAACTTTATTTTAAAAAAACAAATCAACGTAAAATCAGTCTATTTAATTACAATTTACAATCAAACAAAAAGTTATACCTAATACAAATACTGCGAACTTCAATAATTAAATGAGTTAACACAATTTAACAAAAACAAAATGGCTTACGTGACCCAACAACGATCAACACTGATTATCACTAAACGTCCGTACACTACGAGAGCCCGCCGAGAGGTGAGCCTGATTCTCTGTTTAGCTAGCAGCTAGCATTGAGTGACGCCACGGTGACGCCTACTTCGATCACATGTGGTACCAGCGAAGAACGGCGCCAGACCGTCGCTACTCAAGTGCACACCATGTGTTGTCACTTGTCAGCAACTCACGAAATTCCTTACACGGCCTCTCCTGACGTTGAGTCGTCCTCGGCACAAATTTCATGAGAAACTCCGCTAGAACCCGCCACAAGAGAGGTTGGTGAGTTGGTTTCGGCCACATCGTCCAGTAAGGGCCTGGATAGAGCAGCTGTAGGATTAGCTCTGTCTGCGTGTGTAGTTTCCTCGTCATCATTCAGTTCGTCAACATTAGTTTCGTCTAAAAAAGAATACAAAACATTCATTAGTAAGCATTCGGAGAAACAAGATGGAAACATTCAACCTTGCTGACCACGCAGTCTGTCTCCGTTCAGTCAATTCATTCATCATTCTTTCTCACAATTCTCACACATGTAACACTCACAAACCGTTCTCAATAAAACAAAATAAGACATGTTTTCCTTATTTTTCCAATGGTTTGCTGAGTGCTTCGGTCTCTCCAGTCGATTTCCTTATTTCTTCACCAGTGGATGTGGATAACATGGTCAGCTAAACAGACCGACTCGTATGAAGAACGTATTCAAACATACGAGCACATTCCACACGCAGACCGTAATCTAACGTGTGAAGCTTCCCGGCACGCAGACCGTATTCAAACGTGCCGAGGCTTCCCAACATGTGGGCCCTTGTACCACACGTTGAGGCATCTCAACTTGCAGATTAACTCGAACAAGTGAGGCACTCTATAACATGGTCAGCTAAACAGACCGACTCGTATGAAGAACGTATTCAAACATACGAGCACATTCCACACGCAGACCGTAATCTAACGTGTGAAGCTTCCCGGCACGCAGACCGTATTCAAACGTGCCGAGGCTTCCCAACATGTGGACCGTAGTACTACACGTTGAGGCATCTCAACTTGCAGATTAACTCAAACAAGTGAGGCCTAAAGAGAGTAATCATACATGTGAGGCTTGCCCTATGGGCTCACCATAACGACCACAATAACATTATAAGTTTTACTTACTCTCAAAAAATGCGGCACACGTTTCGGGGTTCCACTCACCCCGCCATGGCACCATATATTGCGCAGCAGCCTGGGTTATTTTTCCATAACTTCCGCTGAGCAAGCGTAGAGTATAGCGTCCGCTAGGTAGAACCTCTACCACCTTGTATGGGCCGCGCATGCCGGAGTCAAGTTTACCTGCCGACTGAGAGTATTTAATGACAAAGACAAGGTCATTTACATTGAATTGGCGTGGTGCACTTCGTCTCTGATTGACTCGTTCATCTTGTTTGGCTCGGTTGTTACTGAGGAGTTCACGAGCTCTACTTCTGGTGATTTCTCGTAGAGCTTCTCGGTTAGGTGCTGATCCCTCGATAGCCACATCACGCACTAGTGCTCGGACGACTGGAGTTATAGATTCAGTGCCTATGAGAAGATTTAAAGGAGATGTTTGGGTTGTCTTTTGTCTAGTGATATTCAGCACCAGTTGTAGTTTCCACAGAGTCTCCGACCATTGTAGTTTTTTGTGGTTGGCTTGGATGCGTAGCATATTGAGTACTGTCCGCATGTACCTTTCGGCTTGACCATTTGCCTGGTGCATCTCCGGTGTAATGTAATGCAGGTTGCAGCCGAGTTCATTAATCCAGGTCACGAACTCTTTAGACTCAAACATACGTCCTTTGTCAGTGATCATGAGTTTAGGTACTCCAAAAAGGGAAATAGCCTGAGTAATGACGCGTTTGAGTTCTGTGGAATCTTGTCGGCGAATAGGATAGAGAAGCGTGTACTTACTAAAACCATCTACTATGAGGAGGACGAATTTATACCCTTCGGATATTGGCAGAGGTCCCAAAGCGTCAACGTGAACCGTATTAAACGGAATATCGGGTTTTTCCCAGGAGGTGATGTTCTGTAATGGGGCTCGGGGAACTCGCTTTTGAGAGATACACACTAGGCAATGAGAGACGTATTTGGATACAAACTTTCTGAGACCAGGAAACCAGAAGTGTCGGAGAATAAGGTCAAGTGTTTTCTCGGCATTGATGTGTTCGTGTTCGTCGTGGAACACCCTTAAAAGGCTGAGTCGGTGCCCTTTAGGTATGTAGCATAGTAACCTCGCTTCTTGACCCACAGGGACGTACTTATAGTACAAGATTCCATTTTGGATATGGTAGCGATCAGCGTCCAGTCTGCCATCATGAAGTTGCTGAATTAGATCTTGGGTTTCGTGGTCAGCTGATTGGGCAATCTGAGCCCAGTTACGGGGCTTCGAGATTTGATTTACACGCACGGGATTACGACTCAAGTAGTCTGCATGGGGTAGCATTACTCCTTTACGATATTCGATGGAGAAATTAAAATCTTGAAGGTAGATCCACCATCTTGCTACTCGAGGCAACAGATCTTTCTTTCGCTCAGTAGACTTGAGCGCATTGCAGTCGGTGACTACTACGAATTTTAAGCCAACTAAATAATGGCGAAAGTGTTGGAGGGCTTTGACAACCGCGAGTGTCTCCAGTTCGTAGGAGTGGTACTTGCTTTCCGCTCCCTGTGTAGAACGACTAAAATATGCGACTACGTGTTTCTTTGAGTCGGGATGTACTTGTAAAAGGACAGCGCCATATCCAATACTGCTCGCGTCTGTATGAACTTCAGTGGGAAGGTCTGGGTTAAAGATAGTAAGGATCGGTTCACTAGTTAATTCCTTAATTAAGCTCAAACGAATAGTTTCACATTCAGGGGACCAGTTAAATTTAACATTTTTATGAGTGAGGACAGCAATAGGGGCAGTTTTAGTGGCATAGTTCTTTATGTACTTCCTAAAATAACCGGCCAAGCCTAAAAGTTGCCGCACCTGCTTTACGTTTTCAGGTGGCAATGTATTGACTAAGGCTTCTACCTTACGTGGACTCGGCCTAACCTGACCCTGCTTTATAAGTCTACCTAAATATTCAACTTCGGTAACCAAAAACGAGCATTTGCTCAGATTGATAGAAAATCCTGCATTTGTGAGCGTCCGAAGCACCTTACGTAGTAATTCAATTCCCTCCTGTACAGAGTTACTTAGTAGAAGGACGTCATCAACATAAACCAATACATTCCCATCATTAATGTGTGTTCGAAGAGTGTTATTAATGATCCGCTGATAAACTACTGGGGAGTTGGCTAAGCCAAAAGGCATCTTCACATACTCAAAGTGTTCTTCAGGTGTTACGAATCCTGTCAGATGTATAGATTCCTCTTTTAAAGGGATTTGGTGAAACCCAGTAGCCATATCTAAACAACAAAAGAGCTTAAAGCTTCCTAACCGATCAATATGATCATCAATTAGTGGCAACGGGTAACGATCTTTCACCGTTATTCGATTAAGTGCCCTAAAGTCCACACACAGTCTGTCCGAACCGTCACGCTTTCTCACCAGTATAATTGGACTCGCATATTCTGAGTTAGACCGCCTAATAACTCCCTTATCTAACAAATCTTGAGTAATTTCTCGCACTTTAAGCTTTTCGGAGTACGAGAGTCTATACGGTTTATATACGACCGGAGTGGAACTGGTAACTCTTATTTCCATTTCTCCTGTTCGAACTGTAGTAACAGCAGTACCCTTTATCAAGAATGGTTTGAAATCATTAATTACGGACATGAGACTTTCCAAATCTGCCCCCTGTAGAGGTGTGTTTAATTGAAGCGTGTCACTTCTATCGACAACGTTAATTTCTTTGTTAACCTTGTCAGTGCGCGTGAGATATTGCCTCTCTTTGGTTCGGATGTAAGTAATTCCGTCGCGGTTTAAAACATCAGTTCCAATTATGATAGGCGCATTCATAAAAGACGTTGGAACTACTACCAAGTCTACTTCAATAGAGATATCGCTAAACTCTACGGTGAGCGTGACGTAAGATGTCGCAATCACTTCCCGATCGCTGAGACCCTTCAGTACGCAATGTCTTGGCCTAGGTTGACATTTGAAATACTTTAAAATATCAGAAGAAATTAGAGAAACATCAAGGGCTCCGCTATCGATAAGTACGTCTACCGGAATGCCATCTATTACTGCTGAAGTGATATCGTTATTTTGTGGAATACTAGATCGATATGAGCAAAGATTGACGTTGCGTTTGTTACGTTGCTCTGACTTCGCTTTAGTGAAACATTTGTCCTCAGTGTGTCCTGGTTTCTTACAGAATGTACACGTTTTGCTTTGTGACGGTTGCGTATGAATGGTTGAATCGAATGCCCATTGAGACGGCTGACTATTAGATGCATTAGACTCGGTTTGTCTACACATGCGACTGACATGACCATATCGATTACATTTAAAACATTTCGGACGGGAAGTACCACTCGACTTAGTGGTTTGGCTGTGCTTTTTGTGTTCAACCGCTCTGTCCTGTTTTCCTGCCGAGGGTTTATTATAAATAGATAGAAACGAGACGATCGTGTCAGGGGCCAGGGTTGCGTTAGCGGCGGCGGCCCGCACCTGAGCGTCATTTATACCACGTATCACAATGAGGGTTCTTAAGTCGTCGCTTAATCCTTGAACTATTTTCAAGCGTAATAAGGTACGACGGGCGTATTCAGCATAACTTGAATATTTATCGGAAGTTGTATTCATTGCTTCGAACAATATGTTGGCAAAGTCTAATTTATCAGGACAGAGAGGTTTGAATTCGCGCTTAAAGTTAGACCAAGTTCGGTCATTCGAAACCCATTCGCCTAACCAAACCTTAGCATCTCCCTTAAGACATATCGCGACACGAGATAAACATTCGTGGTCTCCCCAACCGTTAACTTCTCTAGCACGATCCACCTCCTCGCACCACGATTCAATGTTATTAATCGATGGGTCGAAATTTGATATGTAATAATGTTGCGATCGCGAGGGTTGAATCGTTTTAATTGCTTGCATCAAAGCGGTAGCGAGACTAGACGCCTCTGAGTGAAGGTTGCTAGACTCTAAGGACTGCTGCCGCGGCGCGATATTATCTGAAGTAGAAGCAACGACTGGCGGCAAGGTATCGGTATTATTGACGGGACGCTCCTCGCCAGGAGACACGGTACCGGATTGTGACCGCGATCTGATTCGGTGAGTACCACGAGAGCGATCTCTACAACGTAATTCGCGCCTAATCCGAGTATGCGCCCGATGCACTTCGGTATTGCGAGAATCATGTCGATCTCGGACCCGCAAGCCATTTTGCGATGTACGACGCCTATCACGCGAGTCACGGTTCGATCTATCATCACTACGGTCGCGAGACGTACGAAAAGTACGTCGATCACGATTACGCGAGCCACCCTTAGAATGGCTCCTCCGTGGACTAGGCGTCCTCGTGTGCCTCATTAGCACAGTTAAAGACAACAATTAAATGCCGAAAGTATCAAAGAAATAAAGTAAGCAGTACTTGTAAACAAAACAGAATTTAAAAGTTAAATATTTTTCTAATTATATTAATGTGGGCCTACGAGTCCTTTATCCCACTTCTGATTTTAGTTTCAAAAGTGGAACTTTATTTTAAAAAAACAAATCAACGTAAAATCAGTCTATTTAATTACAATTTACAATCAAACAAAAAGTTATACCTAATACAAATACTGCGAACTTCAATAATTAAATGAGTTAACACAATTTAACAAAAACAAAATGGCTTACGTGACCCAACAACGATCAACACTGATTATCACTAAACGTCCGTACACTACGAGAGCCCGCCGAGAGGTGAGCCTGATTCTCTGTTTAGCTAGCAGCTAGCATTGAGTGACGCCACGGTGACGCCTACTTCGATCACATGTGGTACCAGCGAAGAACGGCGCCAGACCGTCGCTACTCAAGTGCACACCATGTGTTGTCACTTGTCAGCAACTCACGAAATTCCTTACAGTATAATATGCTATAAATAATGAAAGAATATTAAAAACTTTGAAGCTATAACAGCTATTCAAACCACTTATTTGTCAATATACTTGTACTATAAGAATATTGCGGTTTTGTTTATGTATTATTCAATTAAATTAAATATTTTTCAGTCAAATTCACTTCTGTATAAAAAGTTATATAAAAAAACGCTTTAAAGTAATAATGAATGATTTTTTTGGTAATAATAATTAATTTTTTTAAACACATTTAAAATATTCTTATAGAGAATAGAATTTAAATAAAAATTACTGATGGAATAAAAACCATCTTTGTTGATTAACTATTTGTTCACCGTGACTTTACTTATTCTAATTATGAAACAGTATAATTATTATATATTACTAGCTTTCCGCCCGCAGCTTCGCCCGCTTGGAGTTCGGTTATATCGCGTTTCCAAAAGAACCTCTCAAAAGTCGGGGATAAAAACTATCTTATGTTCTTTCTCAAGGTCAACTCTATGTCTGTACCAAATTTCATTAAAATCAGTTCAGTGGTTTAAGCGTGAAAGCGTAACAGACAGACAGACAGACAGGGTTACTTTCCCATTTATAATATTAGTAGGGATTGAAGATTCTTTTATTTATTTGTCAACCGTTTTCATGCTATGAAATGAATGTAAAACTTTCTCGAATATTCATTTAAATGAAACTAATATTATTAGGATTACTACGCGTATTTTATTATATTAAAAAAGATTAATACTTTATTTAAGTATAATACATATCAATTTGCTATTCACTTCTTTAAATGCTTTTCCAAATCAAAATAAAGGTATATTCTAACTGTTGCAATTATATTTTCAGCTCAATATCTAAAAATTCAGGTTTAGTTACCAGGAAGACGTCAGAAAAAGTGTCTTTTAAGGGAAAAGCGGAGTTTGAAGATGGAATCACATGAGAAGGTGGTCGGGGTCTTGGGGGGAACCCGAGACCTTGACTATGGACAGATAGAAATGCAACACACTAGGGGTAAAAACATTTACTACTACTTAGACTATAGGTGGAAAAATAGCTCTTCAACTCTAATTGCGACGTATTGTACTATAAAAAGCGAAAAATATGTGTGGATTTATGGATGCTGGTAGCTCTTTACCTAAAATACTGATTTAATTATCATGAAACTTTATTATAATTTGTTTTTGCCTGCGACTTCGTCTGCGTTAGTTTTAATTAGAAATTAACCAGGCCAACTCTATTCCTCCTTAAATACAGTAGATAAGAAGATTTTCGATTTGATCAACTTATTTTTTTCTTTTTCAAATATTAAAAGTATTCTATGTCCTTCCATGTTCAAAGCTTTCCTCCAATTTTCATCTAAGCCCGTACAGTCGTTCTTGTGTTATAAAGAGTGTAACTAACACGACTTTCTTTTACATATAAAGATATTTTCACTAATTATTTTCAAAACCAAGCTGGATCATATCATAAAAGTTTTATATAAAGACTAGTTTTTGCCCGCGACTTCGTCCGCGTTAGTTTGGTCAAGAGTAATATATGTAGACCGTATAGCTGACCAGGCGAACTCTATTCCGTCTTACAGGCCATAAATAATCAGGTTTTTACTGTTTCAATCAAACAGAATTGACATATTTGTTACTTGTCAAATCTAATGTCAAAAAAAACTTTTGTATGGGAAATAGAAAAGGGCTGTTTTTATGGTTTTCCCAGTAATGAATCAATTTTTCTCACCTTTTAAACCTTCCCTGGACTACCAGGAGTATTTCAAGACTAAAATTAGCCAAATCCGTTCAGTTGTTCTCGAGTTTTAGCGAGACTAAGGAACAGCAATCAATTTTAATATATATAGAAGATGTCGCTGACGGTCAGCGTAAAAACACATACTATGCACACATTATTAATTTATTTCTGAACACAATAGTAACGCAGATAATTCATTAAGAAAAACTAGTGTTACAAATCATAAAGTTTGTGAGAAAAAATACACATTTGTTAAGCTTCCACGTAAAGATTTAATACAACTTCATATTAAACATAGCTCATAAGTCCTACACACTGTAATTATGGAATAAAAGAGTTGTTATTTTTCCCAGTAAATGGTTCAAGACCAACAAAGCCACAGCTGAAAGATCTTGACGACTTGTTTCCGTACATCGGAGAATTTGGCTGGTACCAACGGATTCTGTTCCTCCTCATGATACCATACTCTTTCTTCTTCGCTTTCGTCTACTTCTCTCAAATATTCATGACCATTGTGCCAGAGGAACACTGGTGCTTTGTCCCTGAATTGGCCAACTTAACTGTGGAAGAGAGGTCAGTTTTGATATACATTTTTAAATAGAAATTTTCGATCACACTGCAAATAAACATGAACATTATATCCTAAAAAATGTTGAAAGAAATTAAAATTTTATGTGTCAGGATCGGAAGATAATTTAAAAAGTATTCTCCAACAATTATTTCTTTCTCACGTAACACATTTTATGCAATTTCTATCTATAATATTGGAAATATAATTTAAAGAGTTTTTGATAGTCACACTAGACTGCTTTATCTAATATCACAAAAATAAATCTATAAGTATGGGTATAGGTTGCAAAAAAAATTGAACAAGGAGAAAATATAATTCGATTATTTCTTGTATTTTAAAATCATTTTCAATTCTGTAAACATTTTAGGCGCTATCTCTCGATCCCAATGACAGATAACAGTAAATATGAGAAATGCCTTGTATATGACGTGGATTGGTCGACGATATTAGACAAGGGAGTTCTAACACCGGATTCTAATTGGCCAGTAAAGAAATGTGATAAACAATGGGAATATAATTACACCGATGTCCCCTACGAAACGATTGCAAGTCAGGTAAGATAATAGAACAATCGGAGTCAAACTATTTTATAGTTATTTATAACAAAACATTTATTTATACAGTTCGATAGCACTTGTAACAAAAATGAAATAATGAATAGTTGTTTCAAATATAACCCCTAACTAAAAAACATTTTTCCATATTAAGTACTAATTTAAAATATTGTCTTAGTTTTGATTATTTATTATTATATATATTTAGCAAGTTATTTTTTAAATACGTTAAGTGAGTTCACATTTTTTTATAAATGTGGGTAGTTTATTATACAGTTTTGCATCATCATGATCTATTTTTACCTGAGTGAATTTTCTTGTGACTGTAAGCTATACAGGGTGACTGGTGAATTACTATCAATACTTTAGGACGTGATATTTGACGATCATATATGACAAGATAAAAATTAATATAACATAAATATTAATAAACTTCTAAGTAAAGTTAACCAAAAGTTATGTAATTAATTACGCATCGTGTGAACACCCTACAGATTAGGTATACACACACACTCACACATACGCGTGTGGCGGCATAGTGTTGTATCAGCACGCCGCCGCACGCGGCCACACTTGGAACACTTGGAACGTGCCCACGCTTTATTTATTTATACGGAAATTTGGTCAAAAATTAAGTACCTATTTTTTTTACATAATTCGAATGAGAATCATGTACCGAGTATGCTCCTTAAATATTGATAGTAATTCACCAGTCACCCTGTATATTATTTTGTAGCTCGACTGGGTGTGTGACAGAGACAACTATCCCGCAACTGCTCAATCGGTTTTCTTTTGTGGGTCCATTGTTGGAGGGCTAATATTTGGATGGGTAGCTGATAAATTTGGTCGAGTTCCAGCTATACTGGGTATGTTATGACCTAACTAAATTTGTTTATGAATACGCCGAGACAAAAATATACATATATGTGGGTTCAAAATAATACAATTTTGTTATCTAAATATGAATATCAAATAATTATCTTTGTCGTCTTGTCAAAATTCCTTAATAATAAGATTTAAATGTCTTTTCAGGTACGAATATGGCTGGTTTCTTGGCGGGGGTTGGAACTGCGTTTGCAAACAGCTTCTGGTCTTTCTGCCTCTGCAGATTTCTTGTGGGCTTGGCTTATGACAATTGTTTTATGGTCATGTACATAGTTGGTAAGCTAGAGCAAATATTTCTAAGTTTTGGTGATATTTCTAATATTCCGAGTTACATCTTATTGAAATAACATTACCATAATATTCAAATCATAGCAACTCTTTTTGTTAAAAGTTGAGTTTCTATCCAATTTTTTTACAAAGATTTAGATAGTATATTTAGACCCCAAAAATTTAAGGTCTTATTGAAATAGTCAATATGTAAGATACGTAAAGAATGATTTTCAAAAAAATTTACACATAATATTTAATTATTTCATAGAAAACAAAGCCAAGTATTATATTCCAAAATTCTTTCAATTTCAGTTGTAGAATACGTTGGTCCGAAATGGCGTACATTCGTCGCAAATATGTCTATTGCAGTATACTTTACATTCGCTGCATGTCTTCTGCCGTGGATAGCATTGGCAGTAGCTGATTGGAAGGTCTACACTTTGATAACCAGTGTGCCATTGGTGCTGGCTATTTTCACGCCGTGCTTGGTTCCTGAAAGCGCTAGGTATTGTGCTTGGTTTTATATGTTTACTTAAAATTTGAAAGTATCTGGCTAGTCTAAAACAAGACAAAAATATGTGGGTTGTTTTTTGTATCGGTTTAAACAAGTGAAGTAATTTAAATTTCTTTTAATTTTAGCAGTTTTATCCCTTTAATTTAGCATATGCCTACTACTTTTATAACATAAAAGAGTGTAGTGAAAGTTTTTTTAATATAAATAAAATTATAAGAGTACATTTTTGTAAATCATAAGACATGGTACATATGCATATTGTAGTGTGTTTAGGTAAATGTATTTTTCGTGACCAATTGGAACTCACTAGACTAAATATTTTGCAGATGGTTAATATCACAGGGACGTATCGACGAAGCTCTTAAAATATTGAAGAAGTTCGAAAGAATAAACAAGAAGAAGATACCTGATGAAATATTTAAAGAATTTAAGGTAAAAATTACGTATTTATTATCTCACTGATAGGACATTAATATAGCACTAAAACATGAAATAATTTAAAGTTTAGATCACAATGAACTTCATTGAAGAATCACAATAATTTCACTATCTTTATCCTCAAGAGACAATAGCAATTAAAGTATGACAAGTTTTATGTATTATTTTATAGTCAGTGATGGCCTAGTGGTTAAAGGGTCCGCCTCTCGTTGCCGAGGGCGCGGGTTCAAACCTGGCAAGTACCAATGTGATTTTTCGGAGTCATATGTACTTTCTGAGAGTATTTAGACATCACTGACATACGGTGAAGGAAAACATCGTGAGGAAACCTGGATTTATAGTTTCACAATTATAAGTTTGAAATCACCAACCTCATCTTCCACCAAACCTTCTCCATGTGAAAAAGAGGCCTTTGCTCAGCAGTGGGCGTCTGATAGGCTGATGATGATGATGATGAAGTTTTATATAAAAAAAAATTGTATTTTCAGGACACAGCTACAGAAATAGCAAAAGCTGAAGAGGAGATCAGGAATTACTCCTTTCTGGATCTGTTCAAGACCCCTCGCCTGCGTCGTCATAGTCTTCTGTTGCTGGTCATCTGGATGTCAATAGCTATGGTATTTGATGGTCACGTCAGAAACGTGGGTTCTTTGGGATTGGATATCTTCCTGACATTCACTGTCGCTACTGCGACAGAGTTTCCCGCTGATGTGATGCTTACTTTGACTCTTGATATGTAAGTAACAATTGTCTAATGTAACTTCTCCTAAAAAATCTTTATCGAAAAATGAATCTCGTCTGCCCGTGATCATTGCTGCAATGTAACCAAAACTTCGGGAGTATGCAGTTTAGAATAGTAAAATAACGCGTAGTAATGAGAAAATATTACTTTCATTTAAATGAATACTCGCGAAAGTCTTAGCTCTTAAAATCTTTGTCATTCTTAGTGACATACAAAAATCTGATTACTAATAGTAGAATTTATTAAACTATTTTGGAATATTCCTTGAACAAAATGATTTCTTGCTATATAAATACACAATCCTTACATTTACAAAATTGCATTAATATATGTATATTTAACAGTAGACTAAAAATACATAATATCTTTCTCTTATTGTTTCTCCTCAGTATTATTTAATAATAAAATATATACTAATAATGTTTTAATAGTGAATTATTTTTCAGTGTCGGTCGTAGATGGCTTGCTTTCGGATCGATGGTGCTAAGCGGTATATTCAGTTTTCTTGCGACAACCGTCCCTCATGGTGAGATGATTTAAAAGAATAGTTTATGTAAAAAATGTCCTATTAGTGATAAAGAAAATATGCTAGATATTATCTTCTCAATTCCAAGTCTTCTTGAAACTTATAATCTTTATTTAAAATATCATTAATATTGCTTCTATGGGCGTTATATTCATAAATGTGATTTGAATAGCAAAATTACTGAACAAGGATAAAGAATATTATTTATTCGAATTCCAGGATATATATTTCTTTGTATTAAATAATCGGAAAATTTTATTAAATAGCCGAATAAAAATTAAGGAGACTGAATTCGTTGTTACGAACATATTTTGAGTTAACCTTGCTTAACCAATTAAGTAATCGCGCTGTTGCTTGTGATTTAAACATTATTTAAATTTAGTTATAATATTATATCGACATATATCAGTCATACCTTCTTCTACCTGACAATTTCCCAGCTTAAGCCAGGGTCTGCCTTACATGTTGTGAATAGTTTTGGCTAATTGTTTTCACGACCGGCTGCTTGACATCAACCCTCTTTGAGAATGCATTAATCAGTGATGTCTAAATAATCTTAGAAAGTACATATGATTCGGAAAAACCACATTGGTACTTGCCATCGAACCCGCGTCCTCATGCATGAGTGGCGGGCTTTTTAACCACTAGGCCACCACTGACTTAATTATATATATACATATATTAATATGTATTAATATTGTAGGTGTACCGTCAGCAACATTGGCTATAATCGGTCGCTTTGCTGTCAACATATCTTTCAACATCGGCATGCAGTATGCAGCGGAATTATTACCAACTGTGGTTCGAGCCCAAGGATTAGCTCTAATACACATCACTGGTTATTTAGCCACAATACTTGTGCCATACATCGTGTATTTGGTAAGATATAAACATATATATATATATATATATATATATATATATATATATATATATATATATATCGGATTTATTACAAATTCGTTGATTTTAAAGAGAGGGACGCCAGCCTCGCTGACGTTACAAATGTCACTTCTTCTAGAACGTTCATTGATATTTTAAAATGAAACTTCAATTGTTCTTAATGCTCCTGTATTTCTCAAAGATTCTTCATATTAACCTACTTCAATGATACGCACTCAGTGAACTCTGAATTCTCAATTCTGGACTCCGCCGTCGTGCATCCAGACGTCATATTTATAACAAGATTCAAACATAGTTCTATTCTCCTTTGATTTCGTTTTACTTTTAACAATAATCATAAATACTAATGAGGTTTAATAAGAATTGATGACAGCCTCAAATTATTTTCAAGTCGCATCCGTTATTAAAGCTGGTAGCGCCGATATATATATATATGTGTGTGTGTGTGTGTGTATTTTCTGACAATAATTTTATATTATATTGCTCATTATTTTAACGGATTAGGATCAAGCGTTTATTTTAACGTCATTCTAAAGTATATGAAAGAATAGAAGTTAAGCAAGCTCTTTTTTATTAAAAACTCATTACCTTGACTCTACTCTCTTATTTTCTTATTTAAATGACACTAGTATTTTTCGGATATAATTACTATGAGTGCTTTGTTTTTGTAATAAAATTAGATATCGTCTGCCTGTGATCACGGTAGCTGAAAAGTTACCAAAACGTCGGGAGTATGTAGTTTTTAAACCAAAAATATAGTACACGTAGTATATACGAAAAATATGTTACATTTAAATGAGTAAAACTCGCGATAGTATGATCTCTTCTTTTCTCATTTAAATTAAAAAATGTTAATCATATTAAGCTTATAATTCTTTTATCAGGCAACAATATCTCCCATCATTCCTCTGCTGATTCTTGGAACTATTGGCGTCTTCGGCGGCTGTCTGTGCCTCTGCCTCCCAGAATCCATGGGAAAGGATATGCCGCAAACATTACAGGATGGAGAAAATTATGGAAAGGAACAGAAATTCTGGGACTTTCCATGCTTTAAGAGGTATAGAACCCAGAAGACTTGTCAAATTTGATTATGACCAAAGTTCATTCCAAATTAAAAATATTACTATTAGTTTAATACTTAACTTGAGAAATTTATAATATTGATTATACTTTTCAGGAAAAATCAGGCTTCAATAGAAAACAGATACTGAAGACAAACGCTTCTAAAATTAAACACTTTGCAACTGGAAAAAAAACCATTGTCCTTACAATATATATTTAATATTATTTACACTAAAATACTCATTATTTACAAAAGAGCCAATGTTTTATATATTATATTTATATAAATAAAACACTTTATGTAACAATTAATTTATTTTATTCTAACGTAATCAAGCTAATAAATTAAACGCTTGATTGACAGACAATAGCTGATCTTTATTAGAAAAAACGATCATACCCACAGACTTACATACTTAACGCTAGATGGCGCTACTAGTTTTTAATGAGTGATATTGTCCATCCAAAAAAGACAAAATAACAATCACAAATATAACAATCACAAATATAACGTACATAAGTTGTTCATCTACTAACTCCACTTTTTGCTTATCAATGTTTATATAATGTAAAAAACTGAACAAATGTAATCATATATTAAACTTAATTGAACATTGTTATGTACACGATAGTTTGAGAAGAAATCGTCATCTTCATTATTATTATTATTACTGTTTGAAAACAACAAACAAGGAAAACAAAATAACTTATTTGTATACACAACCTGCTAGCTAATAATAACTATAATAATTAATAATACTTTTTTATTAAAACGAATAACATTACTTTTTTCATTTAAATCTAAACTGGTCACACACCTTCCTTTTGTAATTATTGCAATTTTATCACAAAACAAAAACAAACGACAAATCTAAAAATTAAACGAAAATTGATAATCTACTAGTAATTAATATCGATAAACACACATTACCAGTACAGAGCTCACAGCTAAAATTTTTCATAATTAATTAATAAAATTACTCATTAGCTAATTAAAACTAATTCACTTGCGCTTAGAAAGACAGCAAAACAGTATACCAAAACATTATTGGCCTCTTTTCATTTGACAGTTTCTATGATGTTTTAAACGAGTAGTGTTTAAGAAGCAGAGCCTCTCGAACCATAACAGATGCATAGTTTTACACTCAGGCATACACACATTTCCTGCATACATACAAGAGATTTGTAGATCGTCCTTGAGAATTTTTGTATGGAAAATAAGCAGAGTAGTTGCGCATACCGCCGCACTGGCTGCATAGCGGAGCTAGCAGTTAGCAGCGACCGATAGAAAATGTTTCGTATTTACATTGATAGATGGCACTTTCAACAAATCATGAATCAAATGTCATTTTAAATATCTGTAAACATTTGTATTTCGTAATGTATTATTAAAAGTATGTAAGTAAGAATTAAACAATATAGGTTTAGTTGTTATATGGGTATATGCAGTGCTTATTTGCATCTCTGGTATGCACGCCACTGGGTCACATGTTCCACGGAGCTTCTACTGCCCATATTCTTGGTATATATTACCTTTAGTCGTCTTTAAGATAGCCAAGGGAAGAGGTAGCAGTCCTATTTGCAACCGCCACAGCACCGTATAAAAAGAAGAAACTATTATTATTATGCATTTGAATCAAGGATTGGTAAATTTGTAGGTCGTTACTAGTAATGCTTCAATCGTAAAATCCGTTGCAGCTTTTTGATAACAAATTTATCTAATACTAGTTTTTGCCCGCGACTTCGTCCGCGTTAGTTTGGTCAAGAGTAATATATGTAGGTGTAGCTGACCAGTCGAACTCTATTCCGTCTTAGAGGCCATAAATAATCAGGTTTTTCCTGTTTCAATCAAACAGAATTGACATATTTGTTAGTTGTCAAATCTAATGTCAAAAAAACTTTCGTATGGGAAATAGAAAAGGGCTGTTTTTATGGTTTTCCCAGTAATGAATCAATTTTTCTCACCTTTTAAACCTTCCCTGGACTGCCAGGAGTATTTCGAAACTAAAATTAGCCAAATCCGTTCAGCCGTTCTCGAGTTTTAGCGAGACTAAGGAACAGCAATCCATTTTTATATATATAGAAGATATAACTGTCATGTTGACATATAAAACAAAGTTTTATATTAATTCATTAAACAAATAAAAAGTGAAAGAAATTAATGGCGGAATTGTTAAACAATGCGTACGAAGTCGGGAGAAAAACTATAAGCATTTTATATAGATGCGATATATATAGATTTCTTTATTTCTTAAAATACGTCTAGATTACAGTATGCTATTTATCCTAGTAAGTGAAACCTCTGATTCCTACCAAAACTAGTTTCCTCAAACCAAGACTACCACTATTTAAACATTGTTTTGTTTCATATATTTTAATTTTTACGAAAAAACTAATGAAATTCCTTCCTCCTTCCCCCTCAAACCTACACCTGGGTCACAAGTCCCAGTCACTGTTGAAGCTCCTCTCACTACAACGATGGACCCGACACACGCACCGTGAATACATGGAATGATGAGAGGTGTACATACATTTCCTTCTGAAACACAATATTTTGAAAGAATTAGGTTCGAATATAGGGTAAACGAATTTTTAATTCAAAATTTATATTTTAATGCATAAAAACATAAAGAAACTTATTAAGATTAAATACTTTTACTTGTTAATCATATATGCCACGATATTTTTAACGTGCTAACAGTTTACAAACATGAATATTTTTATGTTACAAATAGAGAAACATTTTACAAACTCTTAAGCGCGAAGTAAACAATAGTGTTGTACACTTTTATCGATAATATAACACGAATATTACGGTTTTTTTTACATCGATTTTATACATATATTTACGAACGATTATCTTCTACCTGGCAATTTCCCAGCATTAGCCAGGGTCTGCCTTACATGTTGTGAATAGTTTTGGCTTATTGTTTTTACGACCGGCCGCCTGCCTGACATCAACCCTCTTTGGGACTATAATCATTATGAAATATTTAATTTAGTAGTACTAGTTTTTTAATCATATATGTCTTATTTTGTTCTGTACTTTCCAAATTTATTAAGAACTATGATAGTTTCAAAATGAAATAACGATATTATTTAGATTGTACAAAATTAATTGACATTACAACATTTTTGTTATCGATACTTTTACGAAATTTTAACAACCTAGTTTAAATAAATACATATCACTGTATAATATATATTAAAGTGTATAATATATATAACAGTCACTTTATTACGAGTAAAACAATTATTATTTGACATAGAAGAGCCTAAATACTTTTTTTATGTAAATGTAACTAATATTTTTCGGATTATACTACACGTATTTTACTACCTTAAAAACTAAGTACATACTTAAGACGTTTCGAGTACATACTTTTCAGCAACCGTGATCACGGGCAGACGAGATGTGAATGTCTGTCCATCGGTCTTGTTATTAATCATCTCCTTTTTAATGCATATATCTATTGTGTATTACAAGAATAAATAACTAGAAAATCTATTCAATATAGCACAAAAATATTAAAGTTTTATTAAAATTTAAAATTTTATATCTTAAAGTATTCATCGACATCAACACCCATCACTAATGTATTTTCAAACAAATATAACTTCGACATTAGTATACAGTGTGAATAACTCTAACAATCGCCATTCCATTCACGAGAGATGTCAAAATAAGTATTATGTATAACCAAATATTAGTCACAATAGTTCTTAGTTCATTTAATTTTATATCTACATCGTATTTGGAAGCTGAGTCCAATTATCTTAAACCGAAACTTGAAAGGAACAATGTGGTTAATAAAGGTCTTTGGATTAGACGAAAGAGTTTGAGAAATCCCAACGAATTCATATTTAGAGCGAATTCTATGGACGTAGATAAAATATTGCAGAACAACTTCGATTTTATAGGCACTAATGTTGAGAGTTCTCCTATCTTTAACAGCTATTTAGATAGAAACAAAAGAGCGATACATGGTGAGTACTTCAACTAATAATAGAACATCTTAAAATCAGTTTTTTTAAAGCATTTTTATTATATAGTAAAGTTGGATATTCATATAATGATTTTTTGGTTTTGAATCTATGTAGTAAGAATATAAATAATTATTAATTCCATTATACTATAGCATACCTCATCCAAACTGTTTTTAGTTCCTAAGCCTATTTTTAAACCTATTTTTTTATAATAATAAATAATAATTTATTGCAGACAAGCAAAATCGATCAAGGCGATGCGAAAATAACGATTGCAAAACACTCAATACTAACAATTTATCCATAATTAAATCAAAATTCATTTCTACCCTCAAGCCAGCTTCAGTTTTCAATGACTACCCTTACGAAGTAGCTGTTCTTCTGGATAACAAGGACTTACAAGATAATAATGTAATTAAAGAAAAAAATATACGTAATAAAGACAAAAATGGAACTTCAAGATTACAAGATGATAAAATAAGAGCAAAATCCAATGAAGTATCAAAAGATTTAACAACGATTATAGATTTGAATGGTACACATAAAAATATAGTTGTACCAAAAAGAAGTATGGACAGACGCAACTATGAAACTGAATTGGTAAAGAAAATAGAGTTTACTGAAGACTTGAATGATGCTAATAATAAAACACATAGGAATGTATTTGACACAGAAGATATGGAATGGCGAGACCAAGGCACGGTACCTGATATAAACACATATAAAGTATTACCTAAATCTAAAGACGTAAATAATAAGGTTATATCTGAAAAAGGACTACTGAAGGTATTGACAATGTTGACGAGAACCTTTAAGAAGATTATGAAACAACATCACGATATAAAAAGAATTCACGGCACAATTAATAATTTAAACAACGATTTTATCCAGAATATCAAAGATTTGACAAATAAATATGAAGATATTAATATGAAATATACACAAATAATGAAAATAAACGATGAACTTAGATTTTCTGAAGCTAAAATAAAAGAGAAAGAAGTGAATTATGATAAGAGAGAAAGAGATTTATCCAAAAACTTACGCGACTTCCAAAACCAACAGAAGAAGTTCTTGGATCAGCAAAGAAAATTTTATAACATGCAGAAAATTATGCTGGCGCAGAACGAGAAAATTAATCTGAAACAGAATGTTATCGCGCAAACGCAAAGCGAAATTTCACGTAGGCAGCATCATTTCGCACGAATTTTCAAGAAAGCGAAAGAAATTTACACAGAATCCAGGAAATTGGTTCCAAACAAATTGAACTCGGCGATCGCAAAAACTAAAACCAAGCCGGTTATTGAAACTGAGGAGCCTTTAACAGTTTTGACAACATCAGCACCTTTCCCAACAACTGAACCGATTAAAATAAACCTGTTTTCAATACCATCGATAAATAAACTAAAAAATCAAGATCAAAAAATCTTAGAAGAGAAAGACGAACAGACGGTCGACGATTTAATATATAAATATTACTTCAACAACACGTTCATAGATGAACTTATGAAAAATAAAATTCTTGCTACCTTCGGTGTCATAAATGAGAACAGTGATAATAATAACAACAAGAAAAAAAGAAACGAAAACAAATCTAAAACAACTGTCCTCTTCCCTGTGAATAAAAAACAAGAAAATAAAAATATATCAAGAAGAAAAAGATGGATAAAACATGCCAATAAAAATAAAAAGAAACTAGTTGCATTACAGCCGCCGATCAGAACGAACAAAGCTGTTTTACCCGACCGTGGAAACCAAACGAATGTTATAGACTTAAATAATATAAATAATGATCCATTTATGACTATGGCCTACAATTTCTGCAAAGAAATAGGACAGAACGTCAACCTGCAAATACTTAAATGGTGTATAGAAAAAGCATTGAGGAGACTAAAAGCTATTGGTAGGTACTATATATTATATTATACTAGTTTTTGCCCGCGACTTCGTCCGCGTTAGTTTGGTCAAGAGTAATATATGTAGGTATAGCTGACCAGGCAGTGGTGACCTAGTGGTTAAAGGGCCCGCCTCTCGTTGCCGAGGGCGCGGGTTCGATCCTTTCCCGGGCAAGTACCAATGTGATTTTCCCGAGTCATATCTACTTTCTAAGAGTATTTAGATATCGTTGATTTATGTTGATTCCCAAAGAGAGGGTTGATGTCAGGCAGGCGGCCGGTCGTAAAAACAAATAGCCAAAATTATTCACAAACATGTAAGGCAGACCCTGGCTATAGCTGGGAAATTGCCAGGTAGAAGAAGAAGCTGACCAGGCAAACTCTATTCCGTCTTAGAGGCCATAAATAATCAGGTTTTTCCTGTTTCAATCAAACAGAATGATTGACATATTAGTTAGTTGTCAAATCTAATGTCAAAAAAAACGTTTGTATGGGAAATAGAAAAGGGCTGTTTTTAAGGTTTTCCCGGCAATTATTCCAATTTTTCTCACCGTTTAAACCTTTCCTGGACTTCCAGGAGTATTTCAACACTAAAATTAGCCAAATTGGTTCAGCCGTTCTCGAGTTTTAGCGAGACTAAGGAACAGCAATCCATTTTTATATATGTATATAGAAGATTTTGTGTAATAGTAACATATAAAGTCAGTGGTGGCCTAGTGGTTAAAAAAAAAGGCTCGCCTCTCATGCAAGAGGGCGCGGATTCGATCCTGGCCCGGGCAAGTACCCATGTGATTTTTCCGAATCATATGTACTTTCAAAGATTATTTAGACATCGCTGATTAATCTGATTCCCAAAAAAAGAGGGTTGATGTCAGGCAGGCGGCCGGTCGTAAAACAATTAGCCAAAACTAATCACAACATGTAAGGCAGACCCTGGCTAAAGCTGGGAAATTGCCAGGTAGAAGAAGAAGAAGTAACTTATAATAATGGAAGAATATGTTGCAGATTTAGTAGCGCCATTTACAATGACAACTATGGCTAAGAAGAAAATCGAGGAGAAAAGTACAACCAAACTTACAGATGTCAGGACAACTTTGAGTGAGTGCAGAACCTTATTTATACTATACGATACGATTTATCTTATTTTAATCTTACGATATATCGTTCCCTTAAAATAATTTTAGCCACACCGATAATGCCGCTCACTAGCACGCTGAGATCCGATAGCAAAATTATTTCAAAACCAAATGAGACATCTGGCCCAACTATGTTTTTTCCTGGTAAATATATTTTTGAGTTAATTTAATTATTATTCTTTTGAAATATATACTGTATATACAATATTATTTCATTATTTACAGATAACGACGAATTAGAGAATAAGATAAAGGAATATGGTAAGCAATTTTGCGATGACTAATAAAATCAAAATATTTCTGTTTACCTAAGCGTATACTGTTTTAAACAAATGTTTTTTGCAAATCCCTTTGAAGCTTTATTTCATACTTAAATGGTACTTTAAGAAACTGAACTGACTGAAGAACGGATCTATTACTTTATAAACAATTGCTCTATCTCCAAAAAAGAGGAAAAGATATTTAAATTGTATTTTTGATCTTCCACAGAATTAATTCCCGATCCTGAGGGAACAGTTTATTTTGACGGTAGCTTACACGCCAGTGACCTTGGACTAGTACAGAAAAATGGTGAATATTTTATATTACACTTGCATTTATTATAAAAAAAAGATAGATCACAAACATAGGTATAAATCTGTTATTTTTATTTGTCGATCACGTAGCCTTCACTTTAATCTATACAAAAGAAATTAACACTCTGAAAATAGAAATATTTACATTTTAGTATTGGTTGAAAACCTACAGTGCTATTTCTTATGGTAATTTATCAATTATACCCTTAATATGTACAAACCCCCTTCAATGTCGTCTTATACCAAGTTTGGCCTTTTAGAGATTTAGGCCCAAATTTCGAAGCTAAGTCCCACTCGGACCCCCTTTTGTAGTATCAACGTCTAAAAGAGCTAACAGCATTAAACAAGTCAGTAAAAATATAACTCTCCATGAAAGCATATACGTTTAATGTTTATAAAACTCAAATCTTAAGTGTTAACAATCAAGAATACTTGAATTCTCTAACATTTTCCTTCAGGTGATTTAGACAGTGAAGGTTTTTCAGACATTATGCCTGGTTTGGAAAGCAACTCCAAGGTCGAAGTAGATCCTTTAGCGTTTGACCTTCAAGCCCAGAGGAGAGCCAATGTTCGCAGGTGAATTTTGAACTAATTTACAAGCTTTCAAGTACTTACATGCAAAGATCGGACAAAACATTAAAGGGGGGGCAATAGAATATTATTTCATATCTCTTTGTGCGATTTAAGTAAAATGGATTAATATCTTTTCTATATACGAGCATATAAAACTAATAAGGCTTTATTACTGTTAAACATTAAGACCCAGTTTCACCAATCAATGTTAAATAAGTAACATCGTGTCAAGGCGTTTGATGCTCTGTTAGATGTATCGAGCGTCCCACCACGCACATATGTCCGTTTAAATGTCTTAACTAGCCACTAATATTAATTCCTGCTCTGGAGCTCCGTCTAATGACTAACAGAATGTTAATGCATTGTCAAAACTCAATTGTCCAATCACAGAGCTGATTTCTTGTAACCATAGTAACGTCATCTGTTTTGTCAGTTTCGACTATTTCCTTGTTATTATTAGTAAAGTGAATTAAAATTTCCTTTTTATCTCTTATAATTTGAACACAATTTATGTGTATATTTATAACACAATAATATATGTATACCACAATTTATTAACAACACGATTTTGACAAGATACACCTGGTAAATTGAAAAGAGACCTTTTCTGTGCCAAATGTATGCAACCCACGATATACAAAATTTGGTCGCATTATCTAACAAGTGACGTATCGAGAGATACGATCAAAGTATTACACTTTATAAGTGGTGCATCGTGGCAAACGTGTCGTGTTAAACGCTATAGTTTTAATTTAGTCTTGGCTGTTAAGACATTTAAACGGACATTTGTGCGTGGTGGGACGCTCGATACATCTAACAGAGCATCAAACGCTTTAGCAGGATGTTACTTATTTAACATTGATTGTTGAAACCGGGTCTTAATGTCAGCAATACAATTTTACTTTAACCAAACTTTAATGATGAAAAGTTTTGACGGAATAATTCGATATACAAAATAAGAAATAACATGAACAAAACTGTGACATTTATAACATAATAGTAAAATAATAATTTAATAATTTCTGTTTCAGAATAAACGAAAAAATTATGAATATGAAGAGGGGATGATAAAAAAGATAGCAATTACCAATGTATATACTTAAACACACCTGTTATATTATTTGTTAATAAATATTAAATAATACAAGCATTTTTAATGTAAATAAGTTTGTTGTAATAAGAAATAAAAATGATTTTTTTTATTATTTAGAAGTAACAATAAACAAGTATCGATCAGTATTGAAGTGTATTTTTTTCAGAAGAATGTAAGATATTACAGGGTGACTGGTGAATTACTATCAATATTTAAGGAGCATACTCGGTACATGATTCTCATTCGAATTATGTAAAAAAAATAGGTACTTAATTTTTGACCAAATTTCCGTATAAATAAATAAAGTGTGGACACGTTCCAAGTGTTCCAAGTGTGGACGCGTGCGGCGGCGTGCTGATACAACAACACGCCGCCGCGCGCGAGTGTGTGTGTGTGTGTATACCTAATCTGTAGGGTGTTTATACGATGCGTAATTAATTACATAGCTTTTGGTTAACTTTACTTAGAAGTTTATTAATATTTATGTTATATTAATTTTTATTTTGTCATATATGATCGTCAAATATCACGTCCTCAAATATCGATAGTAATTCACCAGTCACCCTGTATATAGGATACATAATGCTACGCTGTTTTTTGCACAAAGGTCAACTTATGTGCCATAGTCACTGCTACAATGACTGTAATGCGACATGCGACAGATAGATCGAAAATATTTGACTTACCTTGATCCTATAATAAATGGTTAACTTAAATAAATACTTCATTTTTATATGGTTAAAATTCAGAAAATTTATTATTTTTTAATAAAACTTTCTAATTAAAATTATTTAAATATACATATAATGAAGTTCAACTTGTATTTTTCATTCACCTATCAATACAAACATTGAATTGTTCGTTTTTAAAACATCAGATTCCTTTTTGTTTGAGATTATTATAATTATAAAATCAAAGTATTTTAAAATTTAAATATCAATAACCTCAACTCATTTTGACCCCGATAAGTTTAAAACAATTTATTAATGGAGCATAATATTAAAAACAGTCAGTGGTGGCCTAGTGGTTAAGGGGCCCGCCTCTCGTTGCCGAGGGCGCGGGTTCAAACCTGGCAAGTACCAATGTGATTTTTCGGAGTCATATGTACTTTCTGAGAGTATTAAGACACCACTAACAAACGGTGAAGGGAAACATCGTGAGGAAACATGGAATTATAATATCAAATTATAAGTTTGAAATCACCAACCCGTCTTCAGCAAGCGTGGTGATTAATGCTCAAACCTTCTCCATGTGAGAAAGAGGCCTTGCTCAGCAGTGGGCGTCTGATAGGCTGATGACAATATTAAAAACACAATTTAATACCCGAATTTTGTAAATTAAAGTCTTGCAATTCTCACAGAAGTCTAAATTTTAAAAAATATTCGTTATTCCATAAGTAAAGCTTATATTTTCGGATATACTTTCGAGCAGAGTAGGTACGTACGAAAATCTTAGTTTTATTTAAATGAATAGTAATAGTAATATTAATTAAAGAAAATCTTAGATATCATTATACCTAGATACTTGGTGATAAATTATTTATCGTTATTGTATATATTACATTATACATATAAATCTTTTATTTATATTTGTTTTCACAACAAATATTATAAAATTATCTTAACACTTTTATATCTCCGTCATAAGTTATTCTGTTGAAGACTTCGTGTATTATTTCTTTTGCAATTTTAATTATTACGTGCAGATAGTGTGAACAAATGGGCGGTTTAAGAAAACGAATTATTTTTTTATATACACTTATTAAAATCTCATAATATCTACGATTAATGAACTACTTCTGACTAGGCTTAAAATAAACAAGACTTTCAAATTGTCATATTGTTTTTTTTTTTATTAAAAATTGTCTTCGTGGCTTACAAGTCAAATGCCCGCCTCTTGTGCTTGAGGACGCGGGTTCGAAACCTGGCAAATATCAATGTGATTTATCCGAGTCATATGTAATTAGTAAGAGTATTAAGACACCACTGACAAACGGTGAAGGGAAACATCGTGAGGAAACATGGAATTATAATATCAAATTATAAGTTTGAAATCACCAACCCGTCTTGAGCAAGCGTGATGATTAATGCTCAAACCTTCTCGCTGTGAGAAGAGGCCTTTGCACAGCAGTGGGCTCTGATAGACTGATGACGATGTAAAAAATTACAAAAAAAACAGCTTTACTTGTTTATAAAACGTCAAAATTAAAGCATATTCTATTCTTACTTACGCAGTCGCTTAAATCAAATAGTACATAGACAAAACATCTTTAGTCGCAAAAATTACATAAGAATGTGTTATATTCCTCTTAAAATAAGAAGACTCATTGGATAAATCAAAATAAATACCAAAATATATAAACCTTGGTTCAGATCATTGGATTGTAAGAAAGAAAATCCATGCATTAATAAATATAAAAATAATTCACTAACTTTGTAGAAAATCCGGAAATCCTGTAATAAATAATAATAATAAAAAACTAACAAAAATCATGTACTGAAAATAGAAAGCCCATTGTATGAAAAATTTAATAGCTTTATTTTCAAAACATCCTTTACAAAGGTAAACAGATATGTAGTTTAGAAACTTAGTGCTCGAGATACGTTTGTAACGAATTAATGTTATTTATAAAACTTACAAAAACAACAGTTACAATATCTATATAACTTACAGAAATAGATTTTACAAAAATATATACATACATAAATTGTAAAATTTTGATGCCACGATGGACCTACGACGTTGTTTTCCACAGGATGTTTTATGTAACAATGATTTCTACGGCGATAATTTTCACATTGATCCTGACAAATATATTTATAGACATCGATGGATTCTTGACGAATAAGAAAAAGGGTGCGTTTTAGTTTTACTAATATCATATATCCATAAAAAATAATAAAAAACGAAATAGTAATAAAACTGTTATCTTCAACCCCACTTTATTGTAATGAGACTAATATAATTCGGATTACTTGTCCTATTTTATCATTTTAAACTACATACAAACGACATTTCGGTTATATTTCTGCAACAGTGATCACAAAGACGAGATGTGAATTCACATTATAATCCGAAAAATATTAGTTCCATTTAAATGAATACTCGCGAAAGTCTTAAATCTCATAATGAGACAGATCAAATATACGGAGTAGGCATTTATTAAGATGTTGTATTATGAATATTAAACTATACTAGTGAAATTTTTCAGCTTTTCCTCCTGTACCTGACGTTTCTAATGCTATATCCAAAGTGGAAAATGATATTCCGTCCGAAGACGCCCAGTCAAATGTTTTCTATGATGAAAATAGTAACTACGATGGAGATTTCAGTCCAGCACAAAGAACAAAAAGATCCACAGGTCAGTCGAAATATTACTATAAAGTTCCTACAAAAATATATATTAAAAATAACAAATTTATTTGGAACAGAAACAGAAAACATATTACTTGAAGTCAGAAATCCGTTAATGAAAAAACTGTTAACAAGTAAACTGGCGAAACTTTTAGAGGAAATGGATAAAGAAGATCCAAAGCAAAAGGAAGAATCACATCAGGATGTCACCACAGAGACAGTGGAAGTGACGGTAACAGAAGGAAAGCCATTACAGAAGACCGTCATACGAGAAGACCTGGTGCATCTTGCCATGCATAACATACTTCTGCAAGGTCTTGTAGGTCATATGGATTTGAACGACGTCTTCAGAAAGGTCCATTTACTATTCAGAAATCTCAACGAAAACACATCAATCGACGAAGGTAAAACAAATTGACTTAAAACCCAAATAATACAATTTATTTTGACTCTATAAGAAATATAAATATAAAATTTAAAGGTAAAGTTTTTGAATCGCTAGCTGGATGGAAAGAAACTACAGAAGCGGCTATCACCTCAGAAACAAGTCGCACTTATGAAGAACACAAATTAATTGACGAAATATTAAATTGCAAAAATTTAAAAGACGTTGTCTCAGAACATCATGAATGCAATCATGCAAACAAAACTGAAACCTCACATCGGAGAACGGGTGAACTATATACTTATATATATATATACATAATATATATTACATTAAATAATATTTGTTTCTCGTTTAGATAAAGAAGAAAATGTTGTTATAAAAACTATTATTGAAATAAATGATTCCAATGCTAAAAAGTCATCGTAAGTATAGAACTCTCAATTTAATATAATATTCTGAAGAAATGTATATTTAAAGTATGTATATTGAATTAGGATTTTAAAACCAGTACGATTTTAACTATGATTAAAACAAAGTTTATTAGTTTCAATGGAATTATGACATTCTAAGATATACTACTCATTATTGTATTATTTATTTTGTATCTTGAAATATTTCAGACGTCCAAAAAACATTCAAGGATTAATTAAACTAATATACAATGGTAAGCCGATAAAAATTAATCAGTTAAAGGAAAAATTACCGGAAACGAAAGAATCAAAATATAATCGTGACATTGAAGAAACTACTGTTAACAGTGTAACCAGTAGTCTTGAAGTGACTACTCAGGAATCGACTACTATTCAAAATATTTACAAACAAAACCAGAACCCGCTTAATATAGTGATAGAAGAATATTTAAAAAAACATCCGTTCCCTAACTTCTTTGAAGACGGCAGTGAGATTAAGGCTTTCGAATCGAAGAGACTGAAGCGACAAATAAAAATAAGATATTTCAATGACGACAAGACAGTGAAACCTAAACAGTTGCACAATAAAACAAAAGCTAAAGATGATGATCTTTATATAGAAATAGAGACACACTTCGATGGGAAAGGCGTAAAAGGTGAAAAAAAGAAAAAGTTAGTTAAAAATCTTATTGAAAAAATTCAGAAGGCACTCAATTCTGACATACAAAAACCACATGACAAAGAACGCATAAAGTTTATCAAAAGAATTCAAGATCCAATTGATTTTAAAGAACATTCAATTGTTTTAAATAAAGTAGTCACTACTTATGAACCGATTCCAGAAAGGATGCTGGATCCCATCGGAAAGACTTTAACGACCCATGAGAACGTCATAAATAGATTTGGGAAATCGTGGAAGAAAAAAGTTAATGGACCTAGTTTTTTGACGGTTTCCAAATCTGTTAACTCGGCTGAAATGAGAGAGTTAAATATAAATTACGATGCTGTTTCCAGAAACGGTATTCCTAAGAGATTACAACAGCCCCTTAACGCAGAGGTAAAAGATGATGACGAATTTACAATGAAATCTGATTCAAATACGGGAAATATGAGCTTATTTTTCAAAGATATAGATGGTACCGGTTTCTCTATAGGAATCAATCAGTATGTAGGAGAACCGCCTGATAAAGATAGTATGCGGATATTTAACGGAATTGAAAGCCTTATACGAGAATATCATAAGAGTTATGACCATGAAGATGTAAGCAATGAGTCTAATATTGATAAAGAAGATAATTACGTTCAGAGAATACATAAAATATCAAAAAGAGATGCTGATTATGTGGAAGACGATTTAAATGAATACGCCAAAGGTTTGGATACGGATTACCATTCAAATACATATAAAATGTTCATGGAGGGAAACGTTATAAGTGATGTCAAAAATGATAATTACAAAAATGTACCCATAGTCATCAATGGGAAATTACTGAATAAAGAACTTAAACCTTCCGAAATATTAAGTCTAGCTAATTTGGCGAAAAGAAAAAAGCGTGCTTTAAACGTAAAGAAAATATCAAATCTAAAATCTAAAATCAAACTTAACAGATACATTAACACAAAGGCTATGGCAAACAAGAAAATATTTCTAAAGAACAAAAGAAATAAACGTGAAATCCAAAAAATACGGATTATAGCAAGAGATCATTCTGATATACCAAAACAATCAGATGAGAAAATATTTTTAATATCCAGAGAAAATACTTACTCTGATAAAATCATAAGAGGTATTGAAGACCCAGAAACCGTTATTGACAAAAAAACACATGACTTAAACGATGATACATTTCCATTCGGAGACTTCTTCAGAATGCAAAATCCAGAAGCACAGCCTATATTTTCTGATAACGAGTATGAAACAAAAGTGCGTCCAAATATCGTTATGTCCAAATACCCTCACATTTTTATGGATGACTTGACGAACTCCAAAAGTGAGGATTCCAAAGACACTTATGTGAATGAGAGGACAACGAAAAGTAAACAGTATAGAATAAAATATGGACCAAAACAGTTAAGAGCAAATAACAGAGTTGAAGCGACTACTATGGCTTCTGGAATTTTCGCACCAGACCAGAAAGTCAATGATTTCGTGAACGCTCTACTGCCTCCGATATCAAGAGCTAAATACAAAGTATCAGTCAAAGTTACACCTAAAAACATCTCAACGAATTCAGGATTTAAAGAGGTCCACACCAGTGTGAATAAAAGCTTCGATCAAGATGGCATAAGGTATTACTCCCTCTTAAATGTTTCTGAAATATCCAAAGTTGAAAAACTTAATAGGAGTGAGAGGAAATTCGATCTTAGAAATGATTATGGCATCAATACCGCACAACAACAGCAAATGAAAACTTTGTTGAGATTACACAAGAAGAGAGTAGACCAGCAGTTGAATAATTTGTTAAGAGAAAGTAAACATCTTGAGACGATGATGAAAGAAAATAGTGAGATAAATATAAACGGAACTATAAGCATTCTAAAGGCTGATGATGATGACAATGGATTGAAAGAGGAGAAGATCAATAAAATATTAGATTCAGTTAAAAAATTAGAAGAAACTTACAAAACTACGACATTACTCCCAACTACTGAAGACACAACAGTCATACCAGTCGAAAACGACAAAGTTAAACTTATTGATACAATAAAATTAAACGAGCAAGTAACTTATGAGATATTGAAAAAAATAGACACAAACACTAACATACTTAAAACATTCTTACAAAAAATTGGTGATAAAATTGACAATGAGAAACAAAGCAAAGAGAAAAATTACGGTGATATAAAGTTAGATATGGCAAAAGATTGGAAATTATACAACGTTAAAGACCCATTCTTCTCAGGTGATGAATTAAAAAATGATACAGTACCATTTATTTACGCGTATCAACAACAAATGCCAATCGCGGGTAAAAACCAACCTCTAGCCAGCCTGATGTACCACGGCCACATACACACAAACTCGGTTCAAGATATAAACCATAATAAATTTATGAAAGCAAATAAAAAAGACGTAAATAATACTACGTATTTCGTCAATGAAATGGAAGATTTCAAAACTAAACCAGGGCCCTTTGTGTCAGCTAATATTAATATAAATACTACTAATGTTTAGGAAAAATAAGAAAATTACTAAAATAGAGCATCATAATTGAAGTACATCAAATTTATGTAGGTATGCTTAATACAAATTCGCATACACTACATACGTATAGTTTCACGTTTCTCATTCAATGCTACGTTAATACTATAATGTGAGAAGTTATGAATGAAATACTGTTAACGCTACGTATGTAGAAGAAAATGTCTGCTAAGTAATTCTTTTAACTTTTATGTACGTTTTTAATTATTTTTCTTTAATATATAATTATTTTTAACTTCATATGCAAATTTTTATATACCATATTTTTATAAATAAATATTTTTAAACTATATTTTGTATATTTTTATATATTCCTCATTATTATGTAAAAGTACATATGAGATGAAACCTCTCATCATTCAATGTATTCACGGTGCGTGTGCCGGGTCCATCGTTGTAGTGAGAGGAGCTTCAACAGTGACTGGGACTTGTGACCCAGGTGTAGGTTTAATATATATAGAGAGACGAAACCTCTCGTCATTCAATGTATTCACGGTGCGTGTGTCGGGTCCATCGTTGTAGTGAGAGGAGCTTCAACAGTGACTGGGACTTGTGACCCAGGTGTAGGTTTAATATATATAGAGAGACGAAACCTCTCATCATTCCATGTATTCACGGTGCGTGTGTCGGGTCCATCGTTGTAGTGAGAGGAGCTTCAACAGTGACTGGGACTTGTGACCCAGGTGTAGGTTTAAGGGACCCTATCTAACACTCGTTTAGACTCACCTCCACCGTCCAAACTCCTCTCTCTACCTAACACAATTTGAAAAGAACATACTAGGGCTGCCTAATATACTGTGTGTTATTGAATGAAATATTAAAAATTTCTCCGTTTTGATTTAAATCTCAGATACATACTTTTATTATATTTAATGAAAAATAGAGATATGTAAAATTATTTCAAAACTTTTTAAAATATGATTATGTAATAATTATAATAATTAAATAGTCATTAAATCTGCTTAACGTCAAAGCCATTACAATTATTTATCATCCACATATAATATATTTATTAATTAGCTTATCTTTTCTGACGATTTTTTATTGAATAGATTTTTGTGTACAAACAACGGAATTTACTAAAATAATGTAATATTACTTACAGCAGGCATATATATACATATACTACTAAAAATATTACCACTTAAATAATATTGATATAATTATTTCATTATAAATAACTTCATTTTAAACGGAGTTTCCAATCCCTATCAATATATATACTATGAAATATAATTTCATTTTGGTAACGTGAGAGTTATGGTGGCCTAGTGGTTAAAGGTCCGCCTCTCATGCATGAGGGCGCGGTTTCGATCCTGGCATGTACCAATGTGATGTTCCCGAGTCATATGTACTGTCTAAGAGCATTTAGACAACACTAACACAACTAGAAAACATCGTGACGAAACCTGGACTTATAATCAAATTATAAGTTTGAAATCACCAACCCGTCTTGAGCAAGCGTGGTGATTAAAGCTCAAAACCTTCTCCACGTGAGAAGAGGCCATTGCTCAGCAGTCGGCTCTGAAATGACGATGATGATGATGATGATGATAATGCTTTTAAATTATTAAAATTTAAACCAGACAACGATAAGACCCTTCAAGAAGATTCACTTACATATTAATCTTGGTCAACTGTTTGAGAGAATCATTTTATTTTCTCTAAACAAACTTCTGTATTCAACTGATGCTTATTTTTATTTAAACACTTGAATGGTGTATATTTTATTATTTGTTTTATTCATAAATAGTTACTGTAATTAAACTATAGTAAATTAACCATGTACATTATGTAAAAAGAGACCAATCTTCTCATCATTCCATATATTCACGGTGCATGTGTCGGGTCCATCGTTGTAGTGAGAGGAGTTTCAACAGTGTCTGGGACTTGTGACCCAGGTGTAGGTAGGGGGCTCCTATCTAACGTGCGTTAAAATCCAAATCCTGTTTTAATAACGTCGCCGTATAATAGAATTTAAAAACACTTAATATTTGATCAATAATATAATTTAAATACAGTCTTCATATGAATAAAAATATGTATCAAAAAATATTAGTAACATTATTTCATTTTTAAAACACAAAGAAGTAATTACAGAAAAACGAAAGTTATTTTTTGAACACTGCCTTAATTTTTTGATGACATTTTAAATCTAACTGTTATGTTTAATTTCAATAGATTAATTAATCTAGTTAGATGCTTAATTTTATCTAGATTTAATTATTTGTTTATTATAATCGATGTATAGGACACACAGGCAAAATTGGAAAGAAAGGGAGAAACAAATTTTCCCGTTAGGCTGTAGATACATTAGTGATTCAAAGATAAAAAGAAATAATGATAATATCTTTTACCAGTTCCAACATATCTTAATATGTAACGGTATTTATATCACAAGATAAAAGATAAGAGAACCATTAGTTAGTATTTAAACCGAAAATAAGTCGCTTCATAGATTATTGTGTGGTGAAGTTAACTTGGAAAAATGTTTTTAAATGTACGTATTTTTAAATTGAAATCTGAGATTTTTTTTCAATTTCTTTTATATTTCTTTTCATTTGAATAATTAGACTAATTAATTACATTAACATAATTGTATATAAATATATATGTAAAATCGTGTTATTTATTTTAAGTTCATAGTGTATATATACATATAAATTATGTTTTTAGAATTATATGATACTTCTTCTGTTCGCCCTGGGCTCGTCTGTAACTACCCTCCCTACTATACAGGTAACATATTGTTTTTACTAAGTTATAGATAAAAATATAATATAAAAAATTCCAATAATGGTGTACTATAATATATAACACTACTGTTTTTTTCGTCAAAAAATATATTTTATTATACGTAATAAAATTTTAATTAAATGATAAAACATATTAAAAAATATTTAAATAAATAAAAGATTAATGATTGATAATAATATTTATTAGTATGATTTAAAGTAATAATATATGTAGTTAATAAATTTGTATATGGAGTAAATTGGCGGACTCAAGTCAAATCCGGCTCAATGGAAACCCTTTTTTTCATTCCAATAATTTTGATCAACCTTTTGTCTCTCTATTCTAAAAACTTAAAAGTAAATCTTACGATCAATTTAGAAAGAACTAAGCATTAGGCCTCGGCCTCGAATTTTGCGGGCAGCGGAGCGGCGGCGGGAGCGGCAGGATCTTACGCGTATAATCAAATGGACCGACCCTCGAATGCAGCGGTGCCCGCTACCCGCTAGTTTGGAGAACAGTATGCGTTGCCGTGCCGCCGCCGCCGCCGCTCCGCTGCCCGCAAAATTCGAGGCCGAGGCGTTACTAAACCTATAACATAGAAAACAAAATGCGATAAAAACTCAAAGTACTTCTTACCTCCGATTACCAAATAAATAATCAATATACCCTATATAATATACATATAAGATAAGTCCTTTATTTTTCAGAATATATTCCAGAATAAATAACAAATAAGAAAGTAATTATGATATTAATGAAAATAATATAAGAATTAATAAAATGAACATTTCGTTTCAGATAAAAAATGGGTCGCAAATTTTGGAAATCGCGGACACGCCGAGTGTTATAGAGATTATAGAGCCAAAAACAGAACCAGCGGTGCAGCGAGAACTGTTCATATTGGAAATAATTGAAAAACCTTGCAAAAATGCAGCAGAAAAGGTAAACTTACTGATTAAATCTAAAAATTAGATGAAATATTAAATATAATGTAACATTTTCATTTAATAATACTTCAAAAAGCAAATTTAGTTGATTTTTATTTTATATAAACATTATCATATAATGTATTTTATTAGTATTTATCAAAACTTAAACTTTATGTTACGATTTATTTAATAATTTAGTTAGAAACATTCTACCAATGGAACCTTTAATTGTTATCATTATTTTTGGTGATGGTTTAACCAGTGAATAAAAATATATTGTGATTTATTATTATATCTCACTTAAATCTTCGTGTTTAAGTTTCGAGACCATCATAGTCTAAGGAAAATAACTCAAACAAAAATTCTAACCAATAATTAAAAATTAAATGAATTTATCTTTATACAGGGTGACTGGTGAATTACTATCAATATTTAAGGAGCATACTCGGTACATGATTCTCATTCGAATTATGTAAAAAATATAGGTACTTAATTTTTGACCAAATTTCCGTATAAATAAATAAAGTGTGTACACGTTCCAAGTGTGGACGCGTGCGGCGGCGTGCTGATACAACACTACGCCGCCGCCGCGTCTGTGTGAGTGTGTGTGTATACCTAATCTGTAGGGTGTTCATACGATGCGTAATTAATTACATAACTTTTGGTTAGCTTTACTTAGAAGTTTTTTAATATTTATGTTATATTAATTTTTATTTTGTCATATATGATCGTCAAATATCACGTCCTCAAATATCGATAGTAATTCACCAGTCACCCTGTATATCCAACTAGAACACAATCGGCTCCAAACATAAATATATTGTTATTTTTCTGTATTTTAATCGAATTGTCTGATGACATAGGCCAAGGCGTGCAAAGAAGAAGGTCCTGATTTAGATCAATCAATAAGACCTTTCACCAATAGTCACGGATATCAATTCGTTGTCTTCGGGCCAAAAAATGTGAGTAAATATATATAACTTACTAATAATATTATTAGGGAATAAAAAAATCTTTATATAATATACTAGCTTTCCGCCCGCAGCTTCGCCGCGTGGAGTTCGGTTATATCGCGTTTCCAAGAGAACCTTTCAAAAGTCTGGGATAAAAACTATCCTATGTTCTTTCTCAAGGTCAACTCTATCTCTGTACCGAATTTCATTAAAATCAGTTCAGTGGTTTAGGCGTGAAAGCGTAGCAGACAGACAGACAGACAGACAGACAGACAGACAGACAGACAGACAGAGTTACTTTCGCATTTATAATATTAGTAGGGATAATTCTTCTGTGAGTGTGTATGTCACTGAACTTCTCTCAAACGACTGGACCGATTTAGATGACATTTTTTGTGTGTGTTCAAGGAGATCTGGGAATGGTTTAGATTCACAATTTTGTCCGCTGGACAATTTTTTTTAACTTATTAGTAGTTGTTGATACAAACGTTTTTTTTGACGTAAATCATTCTGTCGCACTTCAAAACACGGATATTTATGGCTTTAATAGGTAAACTCCAAAAATATAAATAACAAAACGTAACAGATATTTCTTGATTATAGGGCGATACGAAGTTCGCCGGGTCTTCTAGTATATATATAAATATATGATAATGAATCAAAATATTTTGTTTAAAGGAGGACGATTCCGATGATGAGAATAGCAAAGAAGAGAAAGATAGAAAGAGTCCCAGCAATGAAAGTAAGAAAGATAGCGATGACGACAAATATGAAAGTAAGAAAGAAGAGGAAAAAGGTAAAACAGATAGCATTGGAGTCCAAAAAGACAGCAAGGAAACTCCAAAAGAGGATTCTGATAACAAGAATAGTGAAATTATAGATGATAAAGGTAAGAAAGAATTACACGAAGACAAGAAAGATGATCCAGAAATCGAGATTCACGATATTGAAGGCAAGAAAGAAAACAATGAAAATATGAAACATAGTAATGAAGACAATAGCGAGTTGACAAAAATACGTCGTAAAAGAGAAATTGGGGTGAGTAAAATGTCATATAATACTCCACAAAGTAATATTATGAAGTTTAAAGGATATTTACTACCTAAAATATATGTAAAACAATACACATGACGTATAAAAACTATATATAATAAAAATATTATTATTAAATGGTTTCAGAAGCCACCTCCGCCGCCCGTCCTGCCTCCAATGGACGTGAACATGTTTCCCAGCTTCATCAGAAATATGATATCAAACATACCGGTAGGTTCAATTATTTTGTTCAGAAATAATCAAAGAAATTAACAGTATTGAAATTTACAAATAATAAAGGTTTTTTGTTCTCTTACTAATAAGACTGTTTTTAATCAAGTCAAATACACTATTTGTGCTACGCAAAAAATATTTTCTAAATTGCGATTATTCGGAAACTCCGTATCTTAAAAAATTGTCTTAAAAAATGTATGTACTGACATATATTTTAACAAAAGCTTGTAAGACATAATAGCACTGAAATTATATGTAACATATTTCAAATTACATAATTTAGAATAACAATGTCACATTTTATCAGGGCTTGAGGAATATGCTGGCTGATACTGCCCCAGAAAGACCAGTTCAGGACGGAAGTAGTCCAAGGACTTATGGTTTTCACCTTAACCAAGATAAAGCCTCAGTTTTCAACGTAAGTTCTCTTCCGTCTTTCACTACAGTTTTACTTAACTTTCCGTGCAACCTAACAAAAACAAATGGAAATCTACCATCTGAATGTCTTTTCAAAATATCATCATCAAAATAGCTACGCATATAAAATTTTCTATATTATTATATTTTGAATTAAATATTTTCAGCATTTATATGACATGCCAAAATATATTCGGGATAAGCTTAATAAGAATGATGAAAGAATAGAAAAATCTACGCCAGCCTACGTACCAGATGATTCTGATAGCGATACTGACGGTAATGATTCTGATGATGATGATAATCCTGGAAATGATGATGAAGGTGATAAAGCTGATGATTCTGACTACGTTGATAAAGTTAATGATGTAAGTGCTGAAATTTTAACTGTCTTATTTATTTATTTATATAAGGACAACTTACAAAACAAACACCATTTATAGGTTTTAAAACAAAGGTACATTTTTAGCTAAGTGTTGTTACAATTAAAAGTTATCACGGCATGGAAAAGGACAGTATATTCTATTAACCTAACACATCTTTTCTTTTTCTACTTCAAATGAAACTAATATTTTACATTACAGTAACCGAAACGTCGGGAGTATGTGGTTTATAGTCAAAAATAAAAAATCGCGTAGTAAATCTGAAAATATTAGTTTCATTTAAATGAGCACTCAAGAAAATCTTAGATCTCATTATGTCTTATCAACATTTTGATATTACAATTTTTATTAAATTCTAAATTGCTTAAAAAGTAGTAATAAATAATTTAGGGATTTTTCTACGCACAACAAATAAACAGGTCTAAATATCTTATTTATCGTATTGATCAATTTGCAGGCTACAACACCGTCAAATGTTCTCAATAACAAAAAACCAGTAACAAAGGAGCCTAATTCTGTGACGGAAAATAATAAGGACTGGAATCAGAACAAACCGACTACTGAGAAAAATTCGGTAAGAAAATATTACTTATAAGCAATGAGCCAATAGCCAATAACATACGATAATAATAGCTACTACTTAGAATTCTTAACAGCGACGAATGATAAAGTGTTTCCATATATTTTTTAGTATTTAAAACCGAAATCAGAAAAAATTAATGAGAAAACAGAAAATATTAATAACCCGATTTCTAAATCAAGAAATAACGTCAAAGATAATATAAAAGATAAAATAGAAACGTCAATAAACAAGGCGAGTGAAGTGATACCACCGAAGGTAAAAAATATTGAACGAAATCCCTCTCAACTTTCTTTTGATGGGACGCCAAAGACTTTTGGGCTGAAATTAATTGGAGACCACGGCTATGTGTGGAATGTGAGTAGAAAAAACATTTTGGTGGTATCACGATCTCCTAAAGCCTAGTAGATCTCAGACTATTATTCTCATTGTAACCATGATTCGTCTTAATAAGGATAGAAAAACATATATATTTTCTTTGGTGGTTAGATAGTCCAAACAAATTAAGTTTGAAGATAGGTTTAATTTAATTTTTCACGCTTCAGGACTTATCGGATCCCGGTAGCCATTACGAAGTTGGAGAACCAACTGAAGATAAAGTAACTTTTAATTAATTACTTACATTATTATCAATTTATACATCACAATAAGTTTTGACCTTTTTAACAGGAAAACAAACATAAACCTGAAATCGTCAAACCAAAGCCGGAACCAAAACAACCTGATCAACCGAAAGAACCTATTGTAAAAGAAAACAAACCAAAGGAAAAAGACGTAAAAATTAACGAAGTAACCACAGAAAAGAGTGCTGTAACTGAAAACCCTAATAAGGTAGGATAACCACTTTCAACAAAGTTATTTTTTTGATATTGTTTTATATAGCTTGAGTACTAGCTTATTTTAATAGCTGAACCATGTAGAAAACGAAAGTTCTTTATACTTTAAACAGATAATTTTAATCAAATAAGGATTTCAAATACAATTATTGCTATTCAAAAACTGTTCATAATGTATCTTTTTAAAATCAGGTAATGGCAACTTTTCAGCATTATAGTTTAAAAGTAAAATTATTATAAAAAAATGTTTGTTGTTATTTATAAGGAATCTCAATATTCAACGGCTTGTTCGTATTTTACGATACATTCCCTCTAAATTGAAAAATCGTTTGATTTTTTTAAATTGTGATTTTATAATTTCAGGAACAGAAAAAAGACGACAATAATAATAATGAAGCCGTAAAAGACGCTCTCGATAATCTCTTGAAAAAGGTAAACAAACATTGTTTATATAATCCAAAATTTTAATACGCTTCCAGAAATAAGTATCTTGTTTATTTTGATGAGATTAAAATGTCACGGAAGAAGCATCGTAATTAAGAAGTTGTGCTAATGACAAAATAACTTAAACCAAGAGTTAAGAACAACAAAAAAGTTCTAGGTTCTATAACATAACTTGATATATTTCATTTAAATTTGTGTTATTTTGAAGTTCAACTGTTTAGAGATTGTACGAACATTTTAAAATATTATAACTATACTACTAATTCGTTTCCTTTGACCTCAGGATGAGTTTTGGCAATGGCTGACAAAATGGACAGCAGCTTACATCGAAGTCTTAAATGAGGTATGAAATTTATTATCCCTATCTTATATTAAAGTATGATCGTAATTAATATTCCTTATTCTTATAGAACATCGAACGTCTCGTCCAAAAAGAAGTTGCAAAACAAATTCGCAAAATAACTGACGCTAAAATTAAGAAAGAGAAAGCGGCTAATGTCACAGCGAATAAAGATGTTGGTGGAAAAAACCAAACAGCTAATAACAGTACTATGACTGAACCGAAAAATGGAACCGATAAAGGTACTCCAATCAAAGCAAATAGTACAGTAACACCGGAAAATAAGAATGACACAAACGTCCCAAAAACTTCACCCAAACTTAATTCCCACACGATATACGGAAACGCCATAGATAGCGATCATGTGACGAACATATTTATATTCTATCCAAACACAGCAAATGAAACACATAAAGCATTAGAGAATATATTGAACAAAACTAACCATGCTGTTGCGGAAAATCCAAAAAATAGTACTAATGAAAATAATGCAACAACACCAAGTTCTGAAGGAACAACACCAAATCCTACTGAAGGAACAACTGCTGATTATCTTATAGATAAGAAGAAAGACTCTATTCCTGAATCTACTACTGCTACTACTACTACTACGAGTACTACAACTGAAAGTTCTCCTACTAACAATAATGCTACTCAAAATCCAAACAGCAATGTAGCCAATAGTGCTGTAGCCAATAGTACTGTAGCTAACAGCATTGTATCCAACAGTACTGTAGAAAATAGCACCGTAGCCAACAGTAATATTGTCAACAGTACTGTTGTCAATAGCAGAGTGGTCAACAGTACTCTAGCCAATATTAAGGTAGCCAACAATACAGATGCAGGCACTGAGACTACTACATCGAAAACGGAAGTAAGTAGTAGCACAGCTACTCCTACTTCTGTAACTCCAGATGTATCCAGCACTACCCAGGTTTCCAGCACTACCCCGGTTTCCAGCACTACAGAAGTTTCCAACACTAATGGAACAACAACAACAAGCGATGATGCAGCCAAAGCAACAGTTTCCGATGTTACAACAACACCTGTTACTCCTCAGGCTACGTGATGCAAAAATAGACAATACAATATATGTACATAATATTTGTTAATTTGTTTAAATTAGGATATATTTAAATTTTCAATATTATTTATATGATGCATTTGGATACCATTAATATCTTACAAGTTATGTTTCGCTTGGGAATTGTATAGCAAGTTGTCAGTTAAACAAGCATTATATGGACAAGTGCACAATTGTTTGTCTACTATTAAAATAGGTCTCCATCATAATATATACCATTATGAAGTAAGATAGTTTTGTATTTTTTCTTAATCCTAAAAAAATATTCTTTGATTCCTAGTTTTCAAGCTAATGTTGTAGTATTAGAAATATTTGACAAGTGGGCGTGGTTAAGTGATGGCTTAATGACGTGACACGGCATGATCGGCGCACGCGCCGCTAGTCACTTCTTAGTGGACTTTTTACATATATTTGTATACATAAAAATATGATTCATTTTCTTATAAAATTGAATTTTATTTGAGCTTACCTATTCTTTTTCTTAAAATATATCTTGTAATTAATAGGAATAGAATATAAAGAATAGAAAGTCGTGGTGTCCTAGTGGTTACAGGTCCGCCTCTCATGCTCGTGCCTGAGCAGGTTTCCGTTTCAGGTTTCAGGTTCCACCTGGACGCGAGTTCGAAACCTGGCAAGTACCAATGTGATTTTTCCGATTCATATGTACTTTATAAGAGTATTTAGACATCACTGACTGTTGAAGGAAAACATCTCGAGGAAACATGAACTTATAATTTAACATTATAAGTTTGAAATCACCAACACGTCTTGAGCCAGCGTGATGATTAATGCTCAAACCTTCTCCATGTGAGAAGAGGCTCAGCAGTGGGCTTCTGATAGGCTGATGATGATGATGAATAATAGGAATAATAAATAATTTTAAACAACAAAATAAAGAAAGGTTTATTACAATAAACATATGAATTGGCAGTATCATACTAATTGAGTAAATAAACTCTGTATAAAAATACATTACCTTAATAAATAGTTATTATTTTTTATCTTATATATAATATTAAAACATTAAACATGATACTAAAAGCTGTCTCTATGTACAGTCTATTGTAATACATAATATGTATGAGAATATTTTTTTTAATATGGCAAGACTTATATGGCGAATACCATTACAGGAAGTATATATATAACTATCTAAGATTTAATACAATAAAAATACATAATAAAAAAATAATAGACATGGACAAATTTATTATTTTAAATGTACTTAACATTTCAAAAATGTTCAGAAACTCAATGATTTCAGAGAAATATCTGTGTTAAAAAAACTGTGCTAGTAATTTTATATAATATTTAATAAATTTACTGACCCACATATAAATTTCTTAATATATTTTTCATTCTCTATATCTATTACTTTATAACAACCGCATACAATATTGTAATAAAATTTTTGACAAGCATCTAACCATAAAAAGAGTATATTTATTACAATAACTTCAATATATTTACTTTATTTGTTTAAAAATATAAAAAATATAAAGATATGTACGCTTATATAAATATAATATTATATATTCACTTAATCTAAATGAGCATGATAGGACTGGCCTAGAATTGGGTTTTTTTCCAAATCTAGGGCTTTTTTTCTACTTTTTAACGGACTTTTCCCCAATTTTTTTTATTATGAGACAATTTTAAAGGGTTTTGATTTAAAATCTGTTCTCTAGTTGTCTGATTTTTTCCCAAAAATATATTATTATGAGACAATTTTGAATGTTTTTGATTTAAAATCTGTTCTCTAGTTGTCTGTTTTTTCCCCAAAAATATATTATTATGAGACAATTTTGAATATTTTTGATCAAAAATCTGTTTTCTAGTTGTCTGTAATTCTCAATTCAGCCAATTCTTTTTCTTCATCAACTTCATCCTCGTCTTCAGATCCATGCACTGACGCGGCGGGGGTTGTGGCCCCTATATCAGAAGAATAGAAATTAGTACAGAACGAAAATTCATCTTATTACTATGGACATAAGTCTTATTTTCCTTCGCTACACAAAATGTCACAATGACTCATTAATGTCTACAATTGCGAACATTTGAGATTGCTTTATTCATTGCATTTATTAACTTTTTTTGTTTCCTTAGAAGTAAAATATTTTAGGCTTATCCATGACTATAGTGTAGAAGAAGAAAAATGTCTATAGTGAGGAAAATCGTGGATCAAAACTATGTAGTTAATCAAAACATGACACGATAAAAACACACGATGCAAAACGTGATATTTTATAGTTTTAAGATTTCAGTAAAAACAATCGTGAAAAATTTGAAGTGCGACAAATCATCAAATATTTTACTATAAAAATAGAATTTTTATTCTTTTCAATGACTTTGGTGTCGTGTGAGGACGATAAAGATTTCAAAAAATTATATTAAACAACTAAGGTGATTTTATTTCATTTGGCGTCTGCCAATGCCTGGCTAAAGCTGGGAAATTGCCAGGAAGAAGAACCAAGGTGATTTTATATGGTGGTTCTTAGACAATATTAAATATAAGACAAATTATATTATAGTAATGCTATCCATCAACAGTTATAGGGACTTATTTGTATGAACACTTTCGGATATATGTTAACGAAGTGAATAGAGATTCAGGAAAAAATGCTGTGATGGCTATCTAAATCAATGGGTATGAACAAATTGACAGTTATATAAGAATTTGAATTTTATAACATACACTAAAAGTATATACAGGGTGACTGGTGAATTACTATCAATATTTAAGGAGAATACTCGGTACATGATTCTCATTCGAATTATGTAAAAAAAATAGGCACTTAATTTTTGACAAAATTTCCGTATAAATAAATAAAGTGTTGACACGTTCCAAATGTTCCAAGTGTGGACGCGTGCGGCAGCGTGCTGATACAACAACACGCCCCGCTCGCGTATGTGTGAGTGTGAGTGTATACCTAATCTGTAGGGTGTTCACACGATGCGTAATTAATTACACAACTTTTGGTTAACTTTACTTAGAAGTTTATTAATCTTTATGTTATATTAATTTATATTTTGTCATATATGATCGTCAAATATCACGTCCTCAAGTATCGATAGTAATTCACCAGTCACCCTGTATATTTGATTTGGCTAAAATAATTAATTTTTTTGAGAATAATCTAAATAAGTATGCAACATAAGTTTAAATGGTATGAATATTGATGTGCTGTATCATCCAAACATAGTGATAAGTGATACCAAAGTAATTTATGCCTATATAAAAAACTCATTGAAGATCAAAACTATATCTCCATCACCAAAAATTTTGTGCTGCTATCTAAACAACACAATCAACAGACCTAGATAGGTATCTAGATAGATATCTATCTATCTATCTATGGATCTTCGTTCATTTTCGTGATCATTATTTCTATTTGTTCAGCTTCGTTCACATCTAGGAGGTCAGTGGGTGTTTGGAAGCTGTCAGTTTCTGACAGATCCAGGGTCTTTTCGAAGGTCACCTCCAATTCTTGACCCTCAGAATCTGATAGTCCAAGTATCTCCAAGGATTTCCTCCACAAATCATCAGTTTGAACAGCGATATCTTTATAGTCCTTATGCTGCTCTATTTCTTTGTGATACGACGCAGTCAACCAAGATGTTTCGTGATTTCGACGCACTATATTAAAAATTATTATCTTATCCTTGATTTTAGCTTATTTTCAATTTGAACTCAAAAAATTACTTAATTGGTAGGAATATAAATAGGTAATATAAATAGTTTTGACACAAACAGGACTAAAATGGTCAGAATAATCAGTTCTGGTTATAAATAGGACCAATATGGTCAAGACAATTGTATTCCATTATTGTTTTGATTATATATAATCAGGATGATTATTTATAGAAATGAACATGACTAAATCGATCAATAATAGAGACGAATCTTCTCATCATTCCATGTATTCACGGTGCGTGTGTCGGGTCCATAGTTGTAGTGAGAGGAGCTTCAACAGTGACTGGGACTTGAGACCCAGGTGTAGGTTTAAGGGACCCCTATCTAACGTTAAACGCTCACCTCCACTATACAAGCTCCTCTCTCTACCAAATTTGAAAACCTACTAGGGCTGCCTTTAAGTATGTTCCAAGAATGAACTGATATTAGTTCTGGACAGGCCCAAGTCTTTTAGTAGGCTATAGATATTTAGCTGTTTGTATATTTACTTACTAGAATGTGTGGGACTGGGTGGTTCTGATATAGGTCGAGGGTAGTTGAATCTTTTGCCCAATTCTCTGTCCATATGATCGATGTAGTCAGGATACACTGTCTTTAAAGCCTGGGCTCTGGCTTGGCGGTAATACTGAAATGGAAATAAATGTAATTAATATGATTACTGAAGTATATATGTATATATAATTAGACATCACTGATTAATGAATTCCCAAAGACGGTTGATGTCAGGCAGGCGGCCGGTCGTAAAAACAATTAGCCAAAACTATTCACAACATGTAAGGCAGACCCTGGCTAAAGCTGGGAATTTGCTAGGTAGAAGATATATGTACTTAAAGATTAAATTTGTATATATGTAGGTAAATAGCTGAGTTGCTCAGAAATAATCGTTTACAATGATTTATTATGTATGTATATATTTGGTAATAATTTAAATCACTTTCAAACAAAATTTATGTGACTAAAAACAAATAATTTGTTCATGTTATATAATTACACGGAATATTAATTATAAGTTAAAATTATCATAATTAAAGCTTCTTTATATGGTAAATAATTAATTAATTATGATTTGATTGAAGTAATACTGTATATTTATAACGAGCATATTATATATATATATATATATATATATATATAAATATATATATATATATATACTTACAATGCCTAAATTCCTCCAATCCATAAGATCTGATAGTCTTTCCGTTCTGTTCCTCTGTATAATACGCTGTCTTCTTGTCAATCTGTTATAAAATACATATAATATATATGAGAAACTTAAAGCTTATATCAATATATTAAAAAAAAATCACTAATCCCTACTACTACTATTATATATGCGAAAGTAACTCTGTCTGTCTGTCTGTTTCACACCTAAACCAATGCACTAATTTTAATGAAATTTGGTACAGACATAGAATTGACCTTCAGAAAGAACATAGGATAGTTTTTATCCCAGACTTTTGAGAGGTTCTCTTGGAAACGCGATATAACTGAACTCCACGCGGGCGAAGCTGCGGGCGGAAAGCTAGTAATATATAAAATATATGATATAAAACAAAATGGATGTCTTATGAATTAGATTGGTTTGTATGTCACTGTCAGGCTGATAGATGAAACGGTTGGACAGATTTTGATAAAACTTTCACTGGCACACAACCGATTGAATAGAGTACTTTAATAAAGAAATTTATATGAAGTTAAAGAGCGAATTCTATAGTAAATTACCATACTTACTTAGTAAAGTCGAACATGTATTGAGCAAGTTGTTGTACAGAACCTTCTAGTGATATATATCGTCTGTCCACCACGTATATGCCGTACGACATCGGGTCGGCGATGTGCTCCTGCATGAAACAGCCGAACCCTGGGTATGAAATATGTATTAGTATATATAATCTTGGAATTATAGTACTTAGAATTTATATATATGTATATCCTACTAATATTATAATTGCGAAAGTTTGTGAGTGTGTGTGTATGTTTGTTACTTCATCACGCTCAAACGGCTGAACGGATTTTGATAAAATTTTGTATACAGGAAGCTGATGTCCAGGAATAACACATAGGCTACTTTACATCCCGGAAATCCGCGGGTAACACCGCGGGGCGCAGCTAATATATATATAAATTGCAAGGCCATGTTTATTAATTCTACTAAATAATTTATCATTTACAGACAAAGATGGTTAAATTTTTGATGTTAAATTTAATGTATCAAAAAAAGAATCAAAAACACTTGAAACAGAAATAGGCGAAGATAAAAATTGATTAAATTACTAAACTCAGATTTATTATTATGCCAACACATAATTTAAACTATTGACACAAGAGAAAGTGGCTCCGTTAGTGAGCTATTTTGACAATTAAGACAATTTACATAAAACAAAAATTTACAAAAACTTGCTAAAAAATATCTTAGAAATGTTTTGCATGATGATGAACAAACTATGTATATTATATACAAGTATGTATCAGTACCTCAACATTAGATCACTGAAAATCAGTGTAGAAGCAACATTGCTTCTATTTTTCACTGAGTGGTTCTCCTTTTGGTTAAATTACATTACTGCACACTTATTATTATTATTATTGATTTTTAACTTAATATTTGTTCTATTGTACTTGTTATGTTATTTTATTTTCCATTTTTGTATACATAAGATAAGGGTTACTCTGTTTTTGTTTTGTTGTTTGTTATTTGTTTAGTATTTGTGTAATCTTTTATCCAATAAACGTTTATAATTATTATTATTATGTCTGTACGTGCCCCTGTATGTATCTCTGTGTATGTGTGTGTGTGTGTGTATACCCACCAGATAAATTGGTAGTGATGCTCGGTATACCCATGACAGTACATTCAGCGGGTGTATAACCCCAGGGCTCATAGTAAGATGGGAACACTCCCAAATGACAACCACGAACGAACTCCTCATAATCCAGACCGAATAATGGGTTAGTAGACGTTAGGAACTCCGGGTGGAAAATAACCTGGAATTGTATGGAAATGATATTAATTTTAAAGTACGTGGTGGCCTAGTGGTTAAAAGGCATCTCATGCACGAGGGCGCGGCTTCGATCCTGGCAAGTACCAATGTGATTTTTCCAAGTCGTATGTACTTTATAAGTATTTAGACATCACTGATTAATGCATTCCCAAAGAGGATTGATGTCAAGCGGCCAGTCGTAAAAACATAGCCAAAACTATTCACAACATGTAAGGCAGATTATGGCTGAAGTTGGGAAATTGCCAGGTAGAAGAATATAAATCTTAGTTCGAGCTACAGTTTTATTAATGTGATACAAAATGGCTGACCATATTTAAAGTCCTAACTCACCTTGACTTTATCATTTACAGTATTGAATAGTTGACAGCGGCGAACTGAATTTAATACGGGGTCATTCCAATCATCTACCTGCAATTAAAATATATAAAAACATATTTAATAACACATTAAGCGCCATCTTGTGGAGTATTAACATACTATCACACAATAAATCCCTACTAATATCATAAATGCGAAAGTAACTCTGTCTGTCACGCCTAAACCACTGAACTGATTTTAAAGAAATTTGGTACAGAGATAGAGTTGACCTTGAGAAAGAACATAGGATAGTTTTTATGACAGATTTTTGAAAGGGTCTCTTGGAAACGCGATATAACCGAACTCCACGCGGGCGAAGCTGCGGGCGGAAAGCTAGTGTATATATATATACTTATGTATGTACGTACAACATTATGTGTTGTAACAGGCGGCAGTCCGTCTCTTTGTAGAGCGTAGATACATCTCTTGAGACGAACTGTGTCGTCCTTGTGAAGTAGATCCGAAGGTTCCGGGAGGTGGCCGCTGGAAAATATACCATAATGTTATGTATTAAGATTCAATTTAATATAAAGATAGATGGAAATAAAATCACTGTTTTATGTATCATCATCATCCTATCAGAGCCCACTGCTGAGCTGCCTCTTTCTCACATGGAGAAGGTTTGAGCATTAATCACCACGCTTGCTCAAGACGGGTTGGTGATTACAAACTTATAATTTGATTAAGTCCATGTTTCCTTACGATACTTTCCTTCATCAGTCAGTGATGTCTAAATACTCTTATGTACATATGACTCGGATAAATCACATTGGTACTTGCCAGGATTGAACCCGCGCCCTCATGTATGAGAGGCGGGCCTTTTAACCACTAGGCCACCGCTGACTATATGTACATATTATTAGTCTCTGATTGCTTCAGGGTATGTGTATTAACATATATTAACGTACTAGTATGTATGAACGTGTGTGTGTGCGTGTATCTATATTAATGTAGTGTCCGTGTGTGTATGTGTGTATCTCAATTTCTTTATGTGTGTGTGTGTGTGTGTTCGTCTTCTCACCGTAGACACGTATCGTACATCCTCCGCCCTATGTCCTGCTGTATATCACTGATGGTGTCCCTCAGCGCCTTGGTCACCGCGTGTCCTCTAAGACTCTCCACGTTGAAGTTGTTCGTCTTGGCGGGGAAGATGAGGAACGCTATCACCGTCATGTCTGACCCTGAAGACTGACACACGAATACTGTTACTACAGAGTTATGTTGGCACAGAGTAATGTTGGGACAGAGTAATGTTAGCACAGAGCACTGTTAACACAGAGTAATGTTAATGCAGAGTAATGTTAGCACAGAGTAATGTTGGTACAGAGTCTGTTAAGTCAGAGTAATGTTGATAAAGAGTAATGTGAGCACAGAGCCTGTTAAGACAGAGTAATGTTGATACAGAGTAATGTTAGCACAGAACCTGTTAACACAGAATAATGTTAGTACAGAGTAATGTTAGCACAGAGCCTGTTAACACGGTTCGAGCCGCCGTAGGGATCGGACGTCTTGGTGTGATATAGTAATTTGGGTATGCCGTAACGAGAGCCGCTTGCTAAATTATTATATTAATTCACTAACCTAACCTAAGCTAACATAAGTTAACCTAACCTAACCTAACCTAACCTAAGCTGGTTTTGTGTTCTGGTTGGGAGATAGGGAATGGGAGATAGGGAATATGATGGGGGGGGGGCCTGCCCCGGGGGGGGAAACGGGCAATTTCTTAGAGGGGTTTTCGGGTGTGGACGACTCGATGTCGTCTCGTCCGGAGTCGGCGTTAGGGGCCAAACGTCTCTTTTCGGAGATGTCTGGCTCTGATACCGAGACTGGGGTCGGGATGTCTCGAGGGTTGGAGCTGGTAGGGAGGCGAGGCCGAGGTAGACACCTGGCTAGAGCCAGGAAGTTCTTGCGCCAGCGGGAGGAGGAGGATTCGGAGGCTGCCTTCGACTCCTGTATGGAGAAGAAGTTGGCGAAAGAAAAGGGGAAAGGGAAAGGAAAGGAAAAGGAGGTCCCTCCGGAACTGGAGACGATGAGGGCGGAGGCAATCGTGGTTGAGGCGGAGAAAAGCCTCAACCTGATTAAGGATTTGGTGGGGAAGAGTACCAACCTTAAAGGGGGGTACTCTTCCAAAATTATGAAGGCCTCCGCCTTCTTGAAGGAGGTGCTCGACGTCCTGGTGACGCGCACCGAGGCAGAGGAGACCCACCGCCTTAGAGCCGACATCGGTCGGCTCCAAAGGGAAAATGCGAGTCTCAAGGAGGAGGTGCGCGCTCATCGCCTCCAATTTGAGGAGATGAGAAAAGAGAGGGTTGCGGCAGCCAAGGAGGCTTCGGAGGGCCCAGTCAGCCAGGACCAACTCCAAACGCTGGAGTCGAACATTGCCAGGTTGGTTGGCAACCTGGTCGATGGTCGACTTGCCGCGATGGAGTCCCGGCTACGAGGAGAAGAAGTCTCCCGCCCCCCCCTGGCGGGGGACAATTCGGCCGTCGCCGTGGCAGCCAGGAGGGCGATTCGCCAAGCGGCCCTGCAAAGGGGGGCCAAGAAACCGGTCCCTTTGCCGGCTTCGGAAACTCCGGCACCGGCTATAACGGAGGCCGAATTCCCTTCCCTCCCTGCGCCTTCCCACGGGAAAGGTAAGAAGTCCAAGGGAGGAAAGGAGGTAGTATGGACCGCGTTCGGTCCATCCACATCCAGTGGAAGGGCCGAACCAACTGTAACGGGGGTTGGGGCCAATACGACGGGATGGACGGAGGTAGTCAGCCGCAAGGCCCCCAAGAAGAAGAAGGTGGCGCCAGTGCCCAATAAACCGGCGCCACAGCAAAAGAAGGTGGGCCCTAAAGAGGGCCCCAAAAAAGTGATGCTCCCGCGCTCACAGGCCGTAATTATCAAGTTACGGCCTGATGCAGCGGCCAAGGGGGCATCGTACTTGTCAGTTCTCCTGAAGGCTGAGAGGGAGATTAATACCAAGGAGCTGGGCATAGGGCCCCTGAAGATCCGTTCATCGGCAACAGGGGCTCGCATCATCGAGGTGCCCGGCTCCACCAGTGCGGACAAAGCCGATGCTTTGGCCGAGAAGCTGAAGTCCGCACTAGCGGAGGAGGTGGAGGTGTCGAGGCCTGTGAAATTCACAGACCTGAGGGTCACGGGTCTCAACGACGCGACGACCGCGGACCGGCTGATAGCTGCGGTAGCGCAGGAGGGGGGCTGCACCGAAGCTCAGGTAAAGGTGCGCAATGTGCGACCTGGGCTTCGCGGCACAGGCTCCGCCCTGTTGGAGATGCCAGCTGCAGCGGCAAAAAAATTGCTGCAGCTGGGTAGCCTAACGGTGGGGTGGAGCCAAGTGCGGCTCTCATATATGGAGGCACGACCCAAGCACTGCTTCAAGTGCTTGGGAATGGGGCACGTAGCGGCCGCGTGCCCCAGTCCAAAAGACCGCAGCGGCTTGTGCTACCGCTGCGGCAAGGAGGGCCACAAGTCCGCCCAGTGCACCGCGTCACCGCACTGCGCTGTGTGCACAGACGCGAGTAAGCCGGCGGACCATGTGATGGGGGGCCATTCGTGCCGTCCTCCATCCACCCGTGGGAAACTCCCCGACCAGCCTAAAAGGGCGGGAGTTTCGAGGCAGGCGTCAGGAGCTGAGATGTCCGAATAATGGCCGGACATCTCAAGTTCCTGCAGGCCAACGGCAACCACTGCGCCGGGGCTCAGGATCTCTTCCTGCAGTCCATGGCGGAGTGGGCCGTAGACGTGGCGGTCATAGCTGAGCCGTACTGTGTCCCTGCCCAACCTCATTGGGCGGGAGACGCGGACGGCTTGGTTGCGATCGTCACGCGGCCGGGAGCCGGGCCCCCCCTCGCCGTCAAAGCGAGGGGCCACGGGTATGTGGCGGCGGTTTGGGGGGAGATTGCCATCGTCGGGGTATATTTCTCCCCGAACTGCGACCTGCCGGCCTTCGAGAGATTTCTCGACTCTCTCGGGCCGGTGGTAGGGCAGTTAGCGCCTCTCCAGGTGTTTGTGTTGGGGGACCTCAACGCCAAGTCCACGGCGTGGGGAAACCCCCGCACAACACCGAAAGGGAGGGAGCTGGAGGCATGGGCGCTGACTGCCGGACTGTCCCTTCTCAACACGGGGACGGTCCAGACGTGCGTGCGAAGGTCGGGAGGTTCAGTGGTGGACGTCTCGTTCGCCACTCCGACCATCGCACGCAGAGTGGAGGGATGGAGGGTTGAGGCAGGAGTGGAGACGCTTTCGGACCACCGTTACATACGGTTCGAAGTGTCTCCTACTCCTGCCGGTCGCCGGAGTCCAGTGTCGAATTCCTCGTCGCCTCGGGAGAGAAGTCGGTTCCCGCGTTGGGCGCTGTCAAAGCTCAATCGGGAACTGGCTGAAGAAGCGGCCGTCATCGGTCGCTGGAGTCTCCCGGAGGGTGCGGAGTCAGGGGTGGATGAAGGGGCTAGCCGCTTTGGGGACGTTCTTCAAAACGTCTGCCGAGCGGCGATGCCCCCCGTAGGACGTCCCCCTCCGCGGGGAGCGGTATACTGGTGGTCTGAGAATATCTCAGACCTCCGGGTCGCCTGCAACGGGGCCAGGAGGGCATACACCCGGAGTAGGCGACGCCGCCCCCAGGACGAGGAGCGAGATGGTCGGCTGTACGGGATCTACGTGGAGAAGAAGTTGATCCTGCAGCAGGCCATCCGCCGGGCCAAGGAAGCAGCCTGGCTGGAGCTGGTGGAGGGTCTCGATCGAGACCCTTGGGGCCGACCGTACAAGCGGGCGCGGAACAAACTCTGCGCCCAGTCGGCCCCCATCACGGAGGTGCTCCAGCCGGCTGCTCTGAGGGGGATCGTCGGGGAACTCTTCCCCGACGCTCCAGCGGGATTTACTCCCCCCAGAATGGCCCGGCCGACGCTGGATGAGGGCGACCGCGTTCTGCCCACCGTCACGGAGTCTGAAATGGAGGCGATTCTGGCTCGCCTCCAGAGTAAGAAGAGCGCACCGGGTCCGGACGGGGTGCACGGGAGAGTTCTCGCTCTCTCCCTGGTGCACCTCGGTGGAGCCCTCAAGGAGCTGTTCGACCTCTGTCTGAGGTCCGGGCAGTTCCCGAGGGCCTGGAAGGAAGGCCGGCTTTGCCTTCTTCCAAAAGGCAACCGGCCTCCGGACTCGGCCTCGGCGTGGCGACCGGTGGTTGTGCTGAACGAGGCGGGGAAGGCCCTGGAGAAAATAATGGCCACCCGTATCGTTCGGCATCTAGAGGAAGGCTCGGGCCCGGGACTGTCAGAGTTCCAGTTCGGGTTCCGAGCCCATCGGTCGACCGTCGATGCTCTCAAACGCCTGAGGGCGGTGACGGAAGAGGCGGAACGCAGAGGAGAGGTAGTGGTTGCGGTGTCGTTGGACATCGCAAACGCATTTAACAGCCTCCCACACAGCGCGATACAGGTGGCACTCGAGTATTTCGGAGTGCCCCTGTATCTGAGGAGGCTGATAAACAGCTACCTCTCCCAGAGGAGGGTGGCAGTCGAGAGCCGGAGGGGGTCCATAGAGTGGTGGACAGTCGAAAACGGCGTGCCACAGGGGTCGGTCCTGGGACCGGTCCTGTGGAACGTCGGATACGACTGGGTCCTGCGGAGTCGTCTCCTCCCCGGGATGGGTGTCATCTGCTACGCCGATGACACCCTCGTCTTATCCCGGGGACGAAACTACAGGGAGGCGGCGCGGCTGGCCGAGGTCGGAACTGACCTCGTGATCAGCCGCATAGAGAGGTTGGGGCTTCGGGTGAGAATAGACAAGACCGAAGCCCTCCTCTTCCGCGGGACTGGGCGGAAAGGACCCCCGCCGGGTGCCACCCTCCTCATTGGAGGAGGGAGGGTCAGGGTGAGTCCCACCATGAAATATCTGGGGCTCACTCTTGACGGAGGGTGGACCTTCGTGCCTCATTTCAAGGAACTGGGGCCGAAGGTCGTGAGGACGGCAGGTGCGCTGGGAAAATTCCTCCCGAACCTCGGAGGACCCAGCGCAGCTTGCAGGCGGCTATACTCTGGGGTCTGTCGGAGTATATCCCTGTACGGTGCTCCCGTTTGGGCTGATCGCCCAATGAGCCGCAGGACCAAAGCCCTGCTGCGCTCTGCGCAAAGGGCTCCTGCGGTGAGGGTGATTAGGGGGTACCGTACGGTCTCCTGGGCCGCAGCGACTGCCCTTGCCGGCGATCCGCCTTGGGATCTCGTGGCGTCGGTTCGAGCCGAGTTGTTCTCCTATGTCTCGGGTAGGAGGGCACTCGGCGAGAACCCTTCGTCGGAGGAGATCCGAGCGGTTCGTCGGCAGGGGGAGGAGCGCCTTATGCGGGAGTGGGGGGAGGACCTGGCGGAGCAGCCGTACGGTAGACGTACAACGGCAGCGCTTCGCCCGGTCCTAGAGCGTTGGATGAGGCGGAAACGCAAACCCCTCACTTTCCGTCTGACGCAGGTCTTAACCGGGCACGGGTGCTTTGGTTACTACCTGTGTCGGACGGCCAGGAGAGAGCCGGGAGAAGGCTGCCATGAGTGCGGCGCTGCGGTGGACTCGGCCCAGCACACCCTCGAGGTGTGCCCGAGATGGGCTGCGCAGCGCCAAGACCTTGTGGCGGCTCTCGGCGGAGTGGACCTGTCGCTTTCGAGTGTCGTGGAGAAGATGCTCGAGAGTGATGGGTCCTGGTTGGCGGTGTCCTCCTTCTGTGAGACGGTCATGTCCACGAAGGAGGCATCTCAGCGGGAAAGGGAGAGGGCGGCTGATGCTCCCTCCCCCCGCAGGCGACGTACGGGGGTGCGACGGAGGCAATTCCTACGCCTCCAATAGCACCCCTGTGTTCCGGGCTGGGGTCGGCGTGGTAACCCGGCCCTTCTGAAAGCCCGGCGTCGTCGGGGTGGTCCTAATTGCCGGGATCGCCCCCATTCTCCGAGGGAGTAAGTCCGGTCTTTGCCAGGACCGGCCAGTCGCTGGTGTGCCCTGTCGCTGACAGATCCGGGGTACATCGACATAGCGGCCGATGGCTTTCGCAGTGGTTTTAGTGAGTAGGGGCCTGCCCAGGCCGAGCCTCACACATCCCTTCCGTCCCCACCAAGGTCGGTTGGACGGCTCGTAAAAAGAGTTTCCACTACGTCAACAAAAAAAAAAAAAAAAAAAAAAAAAAAAAAAAAAAAAAAAAAAAAAAAAAAAAAAAAAGAGCCTGTTAACACAGAATAATGTTAGTACAGAGTAGTGTTGGTACAGAGAGATTTATCTAACAATGTATCAATACTTTCTCTAAAATGTATTTGCGACCAACAAACACTAAGATTCATTTGAAAATTAATAATAAATCTTCCTTAATTACTTTTGAAACATCTGAACGGAAAAAAATTAAATATATTGCTAGGTCTATGGATTTTAAACGATTAAAACTACTTTCTTTTTAATAGTTAGATAATACACATATATGTATATATGGTTGTGTGTGTTATATGTACCTTTAAGTAGTGATTCAACCTGGCCAAAGCCTCTATGAAGATATCAGCTCCCTTATTACCGAACTCATATCGTCCAGCGATGAAGAAATACAGGGTCTTGTCCAAATCGAAGTTGAAATGACTGAAATTATTTAAGATATATATATTATTTAAAAAATGCATTGTTTATTACTATGATTAGGTTTAAAGAAGTTTATTTCCAAAAAGAACAAAGTTCGCTTACAGAGGAAATTATAAAAACTATAACTACAATTAAAATTACAAATCATAAACATTAGTGATATTAAACAAGATCAGTGAAATCATATAATATACTAGCTTTTGCCGCGGCTTCGTCCGCGTGGAATAGTGACTTCCGACAAATTTTTGGTTTTTCCCACATAGTTGCCGTTCTTGCGGGGTTTTCGGTAAGGTCGAGTTCAGAATTTTCAGGATAAAACGGTTTTTGTGAGTTAATCTTAAAAGATACACATAAACTGTCGCGAACTGTTTTTTAGATCATTAAAAGAGCTATTATTCTTTAACACATATTTTTTGTGTATCTTGAACCGTTTTCACGGCGCACGCAACGGAAGGCTTCAAAGATGAAATAATTTCCCCCGTTTTTTACACATTTACCACTATATCTTTGCTCCTATTGGTCGTAGCGTGATGTTATATAGTCTACAGCCTTTCTCGATAACTGGACTATCTAACACAAAAAGAATTACATATTCAATTCGAACCAGTAGTTTCGGAGATTAGCGCTTTCAAACAAACAAACAAACAAACAAACTCTTCAGCTTTATAATATTAGTAAAGATGAGTTCTTAATCGTTTTTTAAATATATTTAGAGATTTTGAATTGACAACACATGGTTACCATTGATTACTTATTACCCATGCTTACCCGTAAAAGTGTCCTCGTGCGAACTCATTAATCTTGTCCTTTGCTAGCGCGTGAAGATTCTGAAATTCGTGAAGCGCCGAGAACTTCTTCACGTTGAGGCCGTTCGGTGTAATGAAGTCTGGTTTTCTCTTAAGGAGATGTTCAGCCTCGTAACCTGTGGACCAGTTTAAAATGGGCTTTAGTTGCTTTGTGATGTTTAGGCAAATGGTATCAACGTACATTGGTCGTATTTATGAGAGCGAATTTTAGTCAAATCTATATATATAATCAGTGAGAGTCAGTGGTGGCCTAGTGGTTAAAGGGTCCGCCTCTCGTTGCCGAGGGCGCGGGTTCAAACCTAGCAAGTATTAATGTGAGTTTTCGGAGTCACATGTACTTTCTGAGAGTATTTAGACACCACTGACATACGGTGAAGGAAAACATCGTGAGGAAACATGGACTTATAGTTTCATAATTATAAGTTTGAAATCACCAACCCGTTTTGAGCAAGCGTGGTGATTAATGCTCAAAACCTTCTCCATGTGAGAAGAGGCTATGCTCAGCAGTGGGCGTTGATAGGCTGATAACTATATATATAAAAGAGATTTCCACGTATATATTGACTCATCACGATATCTCTGGAACCATAAGGCGTAGCGACTTGAAATTATGTAGGATTATTCCTAGGAGTAGAGGTCAGCTTAGAACGGATTTTATGATATTTCACCCACAAGGGGGTTGGGGGTAAACAATGGAAAATACGCTTTCAAGCCTAAACCCCTGAACTGATTATAATGAAATTTGGTACAGATATAGAGTTGACCTTGAGAAAGAACATAGGATAGTTTTTATTCCAGACATTTGAAAGGTTCTCTTGGAAACGCGATATAATAACTCCACGCGGGCGAAGCTGCGGGCGGAAAGCTAGTTCAATATAAATCTATAACAGAATCTACGTATTAAATGATTATTTCATACACCATACACAACTTCTACACTTCTAAGTCGGTTAATCCTAGTATTCACCTGTTATATCCGATACTGTTGTGAACACGTGCGTCATATGAGCGGCCGCGCGCTCCATACAGTACCTGTGATATATCTGTCTCTTTCCAGCCTCCTCGTCCACAGAGAACTAGAGAGAGATAGGGATATTGAGTCATGGCGTAGTGTTGAATGAATTATGATATTTTAATGAATGACCAGGTTTTGGGCTATTGTATTGCAAAGTTAAACTAGTCAGTTTGTGAATAGTCTGTATCATGATGTCTGCCTGCAACATCTTCTATCATATAGTCGATGATATTAATTTTAAAAAATGTCAAAATGTATTATATATTCAAAAATATGTCTTTTTATGTTACTAATAAACTAAAAATATTATATACTAGACATTTCCTTGCGATTAACTTCTATAGTATGTATAATATAAATGTCATTATGTTTGACATTTAGTGACACACACACACACACACACACACACACACACTGACATATTATATGTGTGTCAAAGTCGTGGTAGTGTGTGTGTGAGTATATATCATATACCTTTACACACTTCGCATTAACTCCCATATTCATACATAATCACAACTCTCTTAATAAATAAATATATATTATATATGTCGCGCCGGGAGATTCGTCATACCAAGAAAATAAGCCTTTCCGCGAATTCGTTTAAGTCTTAATAATTGTTCTAAGAAAACCAGTGTAAATGTTTTCAAATTACCCACTTCATCAATGTAAATAGTCTTAGCAAAATATCAGGTGATTATTTTTGTTCAAGTACCTACAATTGTAAAAGAGAATCGACCATATAAAAGGCCGAGCATAATCTTAGTAAATTAATTCTACATTGGTCGCTCTTAGGGGTCACTCTGGTAGAATCTCTGCTAAACAATTCTTGAGTCATTGTGGGAATTTGTTAAGCAATAAACGAGTAACATTATAAGTAAAGACCCTCTTTTCTTTAAAATGGAAACCCGTGCTACGTCGCCGATATACTAAACGCCCGGACCCGAAAGCCTTTCAAGGTACTAGGCTCTTGGTCTCTTCCACGAGGATCCCCTCGCTCTCACATATATATTTACTGTTTATTTTACCTTATCTAAATTATTATAGAAGTCCGTGCTGCCAGCACACAGATATCTTCCGAGCAGAGTCGCGTGCGTTGTGAACACTGTCGCTACGTCGACATGACGGATTCTGAAACATATAAACATATATATAAGAAAATCATTTTAGTTACACTATTTATAACTCAAGAACGGCTGTAGAGATATGGTTGAAATTGGCGGAGAGATAGTATAGAACAAGGAGACGGATATAGGATATTTAATTCTGTTCGATCGAAAATTAAAACCTTAATTAATTCCAATAGTTATTTATAGATATATAGGAATAGAGTTCGTCCGGTCAGCTAAGTATACATATATTATTACGAATTCTGAAATTAACGCAGACGAAGTCGTGGGCAAGAACTTGTACATATATACTAAGAATAGTATATCCATCGAATACCAATAATCTATTCAAATAATCAAAATTAGATTAAAAGTAATGAACAATTTAATTAAAAGAATTTACATATATATAATTTAGTATATGCTATTGTTCAAAAATTATTTGTTAGATCACCAACCTCAAAACTATAAGACCTATACCAGCTTGCCACTCGTGGAAATGTGCGACCACGCGTGGGGGAGTATCGCTGTAATTCTCAGCTGCTTTTCTGAACTAGAATATAAGGAAAACTCATTAAAATAACATCCAATATTGTGGAAATATGATGGAATTAGTGCTGGAATTAGTTTTCCAGCTTTCCAAAAAAGTTGGGAGATTTTGGACAGAAATTGATAACATGGCCCAAATTTTAGCTGGTTAGTAACTTTTTTAGGATATCTTACAAGATTTAGATATTTTTGTGTTATGCAACTGATTACATCTTGGTACAAAGAGTCACATAAATTTTGCTTAATCCGGGATCGAACCCGGTATGAACAATAATGCAGCATTTTAACAAAAACTTTTAGTTGTACCTGTATATATTATTAATGTCAAATGAATTAAAATTCGTAATACTATACTTTATGGACATGTAGAAGTATTCTGAAACTTGCAAAAAAATGCTTTTACCTAACAATACAATTATTAAAAAAATACAAAATAAATATTATGTCCTATATTCACAATCTAACACTATAAAAGAAAATTCATTAATTTATTATGGAAAATTTATCTAGATCAGTATAATACTTGAAATAATAGGTGTAAGTGACCCCAAAAACTATCTCACCTCTGTAATAAATTGGGCTACCATGAAGCCCAAAATAACTGCATCATTGGCTTCTATGTCAAGATGCGGTATTCCCACAGAAGTAGTATCCCATAACTCCTGCTTGAAGGAATCCATCTGCCACGCAGCTGAACCGATGTCGAAAAGGATAATTTGAGGGTTTCCATCCACCAGCCAAGTTCCTGTGTGAAGCTAGGAAATTGGCATCCAATGAAAATTTTGGTAGCAACAGTTTGCCTACGTCTTGTTTTTAGGAAAAGTGAATAGGCTGTTACTTAGATAGTTCACCAGCTAGAACTTGATTTCAACCTTCCAAAGAATGGAATGATATTGAAAAACTATCCAGTGGTTATAAAATTAATTGTTTCATTCATAGTTTTTATAATATCGCAAAACAAAATAGTGTAAGTGCTTTAGAAAGAAGTGCTATAATATACAGAGTGAATGGTGAATTACTATCAATATTTAAGGAGAATACTCGGTACATGATTCTCATTCGAATTATGTAAAAAAAAAATAGGTACTTAATTTTTTATCAAATTTCCGTATAAATAAATAAAGTGTGTACACGTTCCAAGTGTTCCAAGTGTGGACGCGTGCCCCGGCGTGCTGATACAACAACACGCCGCCGCGCGCGTATGTGTGAGTGTGTGTGTATACCTAATCTGTAGGGTGTGCACACGATGCGTAATTAATTACATAACTTTTGGTTAACTTTACTTAGAAGTTTATTAATATTTACGTTATATTAATTTTTATTTTGTCATATATGATCGTCAAATATCACGTCCTCAAATATCGATAGTAATTCACCAGTCACCCTGTATTGTTCAAATATTAACGTCTGGTTAAATTTTTCAAAGGAATAATAAGACTTGTTAGCTGATTTATTTTATACTTCGCATAGATGCTTTAAGAACATTTATTATAAAACTAACTCCACTTGTAAGCTTCGTAATTTTAGCTTTAATACTAATAGCACTATGTTAATTGTTAAGAAAATATAAATAAATGTACCATAATGATATGAATGTAGCCTTCAACGATCTATGCTTAGTTATTTTTATTATCAAAAACATATTAGGTACAAAAATTAAAACGAAACACCTAGTAATAAAACTAAGTATTTGATAACTGAGAAAGAGTTTTATCAAATCAAAGTTGTATGTAAAAACTTAGGACGCATATTTAGATGATATTATAGTTACCTTATATCCTTGACTTCTCATGGCATTCACTGCCACAGTGAGAGGGGAGTTTGGAGGAAAATCTGATTCTTCCACTTCAGTCCTAGCACTGGTCTCCTTATAAGGACCTGGTATATACAATTAATAAGATTACCCAAAAAGACTCAAAAGGAATTCTCAATTTCTGCCAAGATCAAAGCCTTTTACTTTTTATGATTGTAATAAAGATTTTTCTACCAAAAACCGATACTGTTTTTATAGGGGCAAAGTGTACGTAAACAATTTGAGAAATAGCCATTAAGTTAAAGATTTTTTTACATACCCAATAAACAGTAGTTATCCCCCATTTCCTCGGTTGACACATACGCCTTTGATCTTATAACGGTATAGATTCCACCAACTAAAACATGATAGAAATAAAACAATTACATTTTATACAATAAATAGAAAGAAAAACCTGCGTCTTAATTATCATTTAACAATCACGACACGTGTGTGTCAATCAACCATGTAACCAAATGCCAAAAAGACCTAATACCCTTCCTATTTTGGATGGATATTGACAAAACGTAGATAAAAAACTGCTCACAAAAACTGACTATTAAGTGAAAGAAACGAATCGAAATCTGTCCACCCGTTTAAGATTTACGATGCCACCGAAACACACACACACGTTAAGACATAAATCGTTACTATTTATCAACATCAACAGTGATATAAAAAAGTAATTAATATGGTTCTCTTATTAACTCTATATCCCATAAACCTTTGTATAAGCTTCGTGACAAAATCTTAGACATACTTCCAATGATACTAAAAATACGAAAAAATTTTAGACCCCTTTACGTTTCTTTCCTGAAGATCTTAGATGGAATAAACTAAGTAATATCTATTTATATAAACATATATTTGTATATGTATACATAATAATTTTTTTATCCACAAATTTTGGTTAATTTACGACTATAACATCTGTTGGCTATACAATATTTGTTTATGATGACGACTAATCTGCATACAAATTGGCAATGAGACCTAATATTTATTTTTGGCGAGTGGATATCTTTGTGTATAAACTAATACACAATATATACAAAGTAAGACTTTGCATAAACGTGTGTTTGTTTAAGAAAAAAACAATTAAATTTATTGCCAAGCAAAAATAGCTTTTATGTCCCATGGTAAATTTTTTGCGCGATTTTTGGCTAAAAGTCTTCTTTCTAAGATTTATTTTAGATATATTTATCAATAGCTTCATATTTCAGAATTCCCAAATCCCTACTAATATTATAAATGCGAAAGTAACTCTGTCTGTCTGTCTATCTGTTAAGCTTTCACGCCTAAACCACTGAAGTGATTTAAATGAAATTTGGTACCGAGATAGAGTTGACCTTGGGAAAGAACATAGGATAGTTTTTATCCCAGACTTTTGAAAAGTTCTCTTGGTAACGCGATATAACCGAACTCGACGCGGGCGAGGCCGCGGGTGGAAAGCTAGTCTAATATATTTACATTTAACATGTTATGTTATTTAGTGGACAGCTATAAGGTTCAAAATCACATGTAGTTAGTTTAGCGACATACTGTCTGGTGTTGTCTAGAAATGTTCTAACAAGTAATCCGAGTTCCACTATACGCTCTGAATACTGACAATGGCGTTGTTGTGAACAAGAACAATGTATTTTATTGAAGATTAACGCCTTACCGACACCTGCACGACTTTTTATGAGATTAAAGATAAATGGAAATATTAAACGAGTTTTTTTGTTGTATTTAACAAATTGAAACTTTAATTTCACGAATTCCTGTCAAAATTACAACTCTTATTTTATTTCTGTACATTGAATTGCTTAAACAGATGATTTTTAATGTTTTATTTATAATTTTAATATAATTGGTCCTGTTTTCATCAAAAAACAACATACAATGTGGCTTCAGCTGTCTTTATAAACCACACCACTAACCACGAAGCTATATATTAATAGTTATATGTACAACAAATAAGTTGATTTATAGACGATATTTTCATCGATTTATATACAGTTAATTAAGTTAATTTATAATAATCAAAATAATTATAGTACATATTATGAAAATTTTGCTTTAACACGACATGTAGGGAGAATGGGCCAAGCCCACCACTCTCACACATTGCGTCATGCGTCCATCATAAAGTCACTCTTAATAATCCATGACTTTTAAAATATTGGGAAACGGGGAATCGAACCCAAATCGTCAAACAAAGATGAGTATTTCAACCGTTACTGGAGGTTACAAAAAAATATTCTAACTTATTTTTTTTTTACTATGTAGATGATTAATCTGATTCCCAAAAAAAAGAGGGTTGATGTCAGGCAGGCGGCCGGTCGTAAAACAATTAGCCAAAACTATTCACAACATGTAAGGCAGACCCTGGCTAAAGCTGGGAAATTGCCAGGTAGAAGAAGAAGAAGATGTAGACCAACCTATGATTATCGTTTTCCAAAGACGCAAAATCGGACCATACAAGTTCATTCATTAGCTATTGGTTCAAAAGGTCACACTAATAATAATAATAATAATAATTTATTTCAGACCATATTGTAGATCCATATAGTGTTAGTACAAATTAAACTTAATAAATAAATTTGTTAGTAAATTTACAAAAGAAAAGCAATTTTATTTATGATTAACTAATTAACTAATTTTAAAAGAAGACATATATTTTACTTGACTACGTGGAGTCGTATCCAGTGTCCTAAGATTGGTGAATCCCAGCGATCCAACAATGCATGCAGGATTGTGTTGGGACTGACTAAGATATCCTCAAATTTAAAAGGAGAAAGTTCATACTGCTTGCAAAATCATACCTTTATTGGCAGCCTCCCAAGCTGTTTCAAAGGTCCATCTATTCTCCTCGCAAGCAGCTTGACCCTTATCCATGTAGGACAAAAGGTCATGGGTCGACTCAGCGCGGTAAAACCGCCGTGATGATCTATCTCTCGACATTTTTACCTGGAAATCAAAAATTATGTATTGTTGTTGCTCATATATATTGGATAGTTGTTAGTTATGTGTTTGGAGCTAATAAATTTGAATGAACTTTAACAATTACGATAACGAAGAAGTTGATTTATAAAGAAGTCTGCAATCTGCAAGCCTTTAGTCTCATATATAGTCGAAGATAATGGAATGATTTTACAATTGAAAAACTAATAATAGAACTGTTAAATATATAATTGTAATAGAAACAAACTATCGCACAATAAAAATATATACCTAATACGTCGCTCATTGGAAATATTTTTGTTTTTCTGTAAAACATTTAGAATGCATTTGAGGATTTTATTTATGTTGTTCCAACTTCATAACAAACTTTTCCAACTTATGTATTAAAGAGGTTATTTATTTATATGTGTTTTATTTTGTGTGACCATTTTTCATAAAAAGATCGGAATTTGAATTGGTATCAATCATTTTCTTTTTGTTCAAGAAAACCCTTTTTTTTGATATCCCAATTGTCCCACCAAAAAATATAAACGTCATTACATACTAGAAAACAAGAACATTTTTTTTATTTCATAAAAGTTTAGCATAAAACTTAAGTACGTGCAAGAAAGCTAAGTACACTATTTACCCAAATAAGTTATTTACTTATTGCATTAATTAATGAATAATAAACACTATATATCCCAAGAAAAGACTTTATAAGGACATATTAAATCTACACCCAGGCTGTATAAAAAAATTTGCACCATACTTGAGCATTAATTTATTTTAATGAGGGCCTCACATATGTTTATTAATTCTCTATATAATAAGATTTAGTTAAACTCAGAAGTACATATGTACTATTTAAAAAATGATTTTCGATGCCCAAAAAAAATAACCTATTGAAATCTGTTTAATTTTTAAAATACCCTATGTGGTGTATGATAGATTTTGAGTGGATTGATAAGAGAAAGTTCTGGCTTACTTAAATATGAGCAATATATTTTTGGTTTTGGAGGCAAATTTAAAACAAATGACATAGAACATTTTGATCGTTATATCTTAATGGAAATAGAGAAAAAAATTACGTTCGTTTTGTATGTTAAAATACATTTTGTTCCAAGTCACTCAATAATATTTTATTACATAATTATTTTTCGGATAAGTTTAAAACACAATTGGATCTTGCCTATTACGTTTCAGACTTGTTTATTTTGAATTCTTTATAAAATTAAGTAAATCTAATATTCTTTTCCATTTTCCCGACTTTTCGATTATTTTACAGCAACCGTGATCACGGACAGACGAGATGAAAGTATCAGTTACATTTTAAATATGCACGAGAAAATCTTAGCTATCTAGAGTAATTAAAATTATAAGAATCTTCGATGATGATAACTTTGGTCAGGAGATATATGCAGACAAACACACATATGAGTAAATAACATAACCTATATTATGACCGCAGTCGGGTAACTGGTAGAAGATTAAATTCCCGAATATGTAACGTAAAAATATACATATGAATGTTTTTTCTATTCTTACAAAAAAACTGAATTACTATCAAAGAAATTAACAAAATACATAGCCAATAAATGTCGCTAAATTTTAACATCTCTACTAATCCCTACTAATATTATAAATGCGAAAGCAACCTCTGTCGGTCTGTCTGTTACGCTTTCACGTCTAAACCACTGAACTGATTTTAATTAAATTTGGTACAGAGATAGAGTTGACCTTGAGAAAGAACATAGGATAGTTTTTATCTCATACTTTTGAAAGGTTCTCTTGGAAACGCGATATAACCGAACTCCACGCGGGCGAAGCTGCGGGCGGGAAGCTAGTATATGTAATATATAATATTGACGCGAGTGCAGTCGCGGCCGGAAGCTTGTAAACACTAAAAATAATTTATAAAAGTCTTAGTAATAATGAAAGAAAATTTCAATGTCGCTACAAAATACAACGCATCTCAACTGGCGTACATCCAAAGCATAAATATTATGTATGCAAACACGTCATATATACGTAAATACGCTTACCACGAGTCATTATTACGAAACTAAATACGTATAGTATCGAAGTTATAACGTTTATGTAAACGTGAGGAGATTATGAATGAAAAATTGTTGTCTAAATGTAATCTGAAGACGCGACTTGTGGTAAATGTCAGTATTATATAAATATTTATAAGACAGATTTATATACTACCATTTGTATATATTTGTATTAACAGTACATTGTACTAAGTATTAATGTAAAACATATAAAACTGTTCACGCATTACGTCAAAATAACATTATTTTTAGACTTAAAAATACAGGGTGACTGGTGAATTACTATCAATATTTAAGGAGAATACTCGGTACATGATTCTCATTCGAATTATGTAGAAAAAATAGGTACTTAATTTTTGACCAAATTTCCGTATAAATAAATAAAGTGTGGACACGTTCCAAGTGTTCCAAGTGTGGACGCGTGCGGCGGCGTGCTGATACAACACCACGCCGCCGCACGCGTGTGTGTGTGTATGTATACCTAATCTGTAGGGTGTTCACACGATGCGTAATTAATTACATAACTTTTGGTTAACTTTACTTAGAAGTTTATTAATATTTATGTTATATTAATTTTTATTTTGTCATAATATATGATCGTCAAATATCACGTCCTCAAGTATCGATAGTAATTCACCAGTCACCCTGTATATATGTATATAATGCATTTTTAAATATTTAATATATAATCAACTAAAATTAAAAAGTTAATAAAACCAATGCAATAAGAAACATGAAGAGAACCAGTCAATACAAAATCGAGCCCAAACTCGATGGTTTTACTAAAAGGCAGTCCAGGTTTTTTCTCCTATCTTCGAGCCCCAACAGCAGAACAGCTCAGTAGTTCCAGAAGACATTAGTGTAATGACATCTTAGATTTTCGCGAATATTCATTTAAATGAAACTTTATTTTTGATATAAACCACATACTCCCGACGTTTCGGTTACTTTACAGCAACCATAATAATTAAGATGAGATGTTTGATTAGAAGACGGAAAGACATAAGCGCTTCAAATTGCAGAACCCACATATGCTTGCAAACTGTGCGTGTAATATTCCTATCACACCTAACAAACGACCTGATGACCTTGAACACCTGAACCGATTTTGACCAAACATAGCTAAGAACACTCGACGGATATACCTTTCAAACAAAAAAAACCGCATTAAAATCGGATCAGCCGTTTGGGAGCTATATTGCCTCAGACACACACACACAGACACGTCAAACTTATAAAACAACGTCGTTTTTGCGTCAAGGGTTAAAAATACTAGTTTTAAAAAACACATAATATCCCTACTAATATTATAAATGCGAAAGTAACTCTGTCTGTCTGTCTGTTACGCTTTCACGCCTAAACCACTGAACTGATTTTAATGAAATTTGGTATAGACATAGAGTTGACCTTGAGAAAGAACATAGGATAGTTTTTATCCCAGACTTTTGAAAGGTTCTCTTGGAATCGCGATACAACCGAACTCCACGCGGGCGAAGCTGAAGGCGGAAAGCTAGTGTAAAATATTTTTAAGGAATACGAATTTTATTCATTACATAAAACGAGCATAGTCGCCGGCAGTAGTTAGTATATATTAATATTTATTTTCGAGATATTGTGTAACAGTTTTGTGTTAGGTCAATGGCGACTGATAAAACATCTGATAACTGAAATATTATGTACATTCATCAGTTACTAAGCTATTTAGTCTTAATCTGATGCTTTTGTCCAATTTTCATTTACTATTTTCTTCACTTTTTTCCTTATGTATATTGGTATTGTGTTAATTTGTTAAGAAAAACCTTGAAAATTGTACTTGTTGTGTGTGTACATCTCAATGTTGTAAAACAATGTAATATACCTTGTGCTAAGCATAACATTGTCTGTGTTTTCGTTGAAATATAATTTTTGTATTAACTCATAAAATCTTGACGAATATGTTTATAGATAAATTCAATTGACAAACTGAAATATATATATTGAATTATTGATACATAAAAATTTAATCAGTGAATGAAATACATTGAAAACATTCTTATTGATTTAAGTTTTTTTTAAATTTGTAATAAAGAGATGAAACTTAAATTTTTTTCAGCAATAAGTTTAGATTGATTAAAGATCCATTCAAATTTTCTATTAAATTAAATCCTAATATACCATTTGCTCCCTACAGCTCTTTATTTTTACATTTTTTAAGTTTGTTATCCCAAAAACTAAATATATATCAATATAACTGATAATTAGCAATAAAAATGACATCAAACCAACTATAAAAACTATAGTATTAAATGATTAAAGTTGTGTATAAATGAATGAGACAGTTACTTACAAATTTTACAATATTTTTAACAATTTTGACTAGTTCTTTCAAATGATTTTATTAAATTCTTAATAGACTTCTTAAATAGACCTTCAGTTCTAAAAATTTTGAAATAAAAAATATATATAGAAATCTTCAAAACATATAAATCCATATACAAATGGAGTTCTATAATACAAATTCAGATTAATATATTATAATAAATTTATATTAAATTCAATATATTATACATATACATAGGACATAAATTAAATTAAATACAAAATATGTATAAGCTTTATTAGAAAATAGGCTATAAGTTTAGGTAATACGCAAAATTAAACTTATTTTCGTATTTTAAGCACGGATTAACTAAGCTAATTAATTAAAAATTAGATAAATTATTAAATTTGCACATTTTTTTCTACAAAACAAGAAATCTGTATTAACATTTACGTTTTTATATAATATTATTAATTTTAGTGTTCTAATAATGTTTTTTAATTACGAAATAAAATAACAAAGTTTATAATAGAACTGACGTTAATTAAATATGTAATAAATTATTATTGGATAATAGTATGATTACTATCATCAAATTAGAATTATATTTATTCATAAACACGCGTTATAATTTCATTCAAGAATAATTTAAAAATCACATATTATTACCGATAATTAGTTTTTCAGTTAACCATCACGATATTCCGATCTTTACGACAAAAAGATAATGAAACTATTTTTGTACCACGCCGGCGTCTTTTAAAGACGTAAAAGAAAATACTTACCAAATAAAAATAAAAGAAAGCTATTGAATCCGACCGGTTCGTACACTTTTACACTCACACACGTGGCACTGATTGTTTAAATACTTATTACTGATACTTATTTTACGTAATATTATTTAAATTATGCTACATGTCTACGCGGGTAGAACATTCAAATCGCAATAGTTCTCTGCTTAATACTTTATCAAATGTCAAAGTCGCCGGTGAAGGTCACCTTGAAATCATACGAGATTGCTAGATAGAAATATAAAACTATTTAGATAAAATAATCAAATTATTATCTTTTTAAGTATGGAATAATTAAAATATTGTAAAAAATATATTATTTATGGATGAAACACTTAAAGATTTAGTATTATTACCTATCTATAAGCTCACTGAATGATGAAAAGTGAAGGTCAAATATTTTTATTTATTTTTAAAAAATGAGTTTTTTTTTAATCATATGATACTAAAGTATGAAAAATAAACTTTAAAAAGATAAGTATAAGATAATAGTTTTGTAAAATTGTATAAAAAGACTAAATATTACTTTTATTAAATAATTAATGGAGGGGTTAAATAAAGCATGTAAAAAATAATTTAAAATATTTATTAAATCTTATATTATATAACAAAAGTAAACAAATATAAAATAAAAAATCATTCAACGATACAAAACAATCAAGAATCATCTAAACTTAAAGGCGGACTTTCTGGCTCATTATCCACATTAAAATTTAATTTAACTGGATTAATTTTAACGAATGTTTTATTTAATACTGGACTAGATATTTTATTACTGGCAACATTATTATTACTGGCAACACGTGTTGAAACGTCGTTGGAAATTAGCGGGCTTTTGTATGGTTGAATATGGGCTTTATTTCTTATATGTATTTGATTTAAAGGTGGTGGTTCGCCGTATTTTTTTAATTTATTAATTCTTTGTTCAGCTTCTTTCTTCTTCCTTAATAATATTTCTTCATTAAAACCCGACTCTACGACTGAACTAGCAATATTTAGATTAGAATTTCTATTTAATGGTGAATCTATGAACACTTTATTTTTAGATATATTAAAATCATTGTAATTCCTATAAGGTGAAACATCGTTATTTATGTTGCTATAATTGTTTTTCAAAGCCACACAATCCTGTATAAACTTGATTTTGTCCATTTTGTTGTATTTCGTTACGAAATCCGTCAAATTTGTTTTTAATTTTTCATATTTTGGTGTTTTCGTGAAATAAGATAATTCCGTAGCCCTATATTGTGGTATGCTTCTAGTATTTCCCGCTCTTTTTTGTATATTTACACACGCAACAACATTTCCTATATTCAATATATTTTCGTAACCGAATTTTTTGATGCCACCCCAGAAATTTATCGAAATTATATCTTTATTTATACCACTTACATATATATTTTGGAATAATTGTTTATTACTATCATAATTCTCCGGTTCTATGAGGAATATTGCACCGAATGTATCGATTTCGTTGTACAGCGAAGTATTTGTACTCTGTAAATCTTTTATATTGTAACATTTCCTTTCCAAAGTATGTTTTAACGTCGTCTGTCTGTCTGTTTCTTTGTATTTCGACTTACAGAACACTGATTGACGCCCCGCTGATATTTGGATCTCGGAATATCTGAAATAATAGTTATATTTATATATACATATAATAAATTATGTTTATAAACCTTTGACTAATATATATGTAGGATATCTGTATATACAGGGTGACTGGTGAATTACTATCGATATTTGAGGACGTGATATTTGACGATGATATATGACAAAATAAAAATTAATATAACATAAATATTAATAAACTTCTAAGTAAAGTTAACCAAAAGTTATGTAATTAATTACGCATCGTATGAACACCCTACAGATTAGGTATACACACACACTCACACAGACGCGGCGGCGGCGTAGTGTTGTATCAGCACGCCGCCGCACGCGTCCACACTTGGAACACTTGGAACGTGTCCACACTTTATTTATTTATACGGAAATTTGGTCAAAAATTAAGTACCTATATTTTTATACATCATTCGAATGAGAATCATGTACCGAGTATGCTTCTTAAATATTGATAGTAATTCACCAGTCACCCTGTATACAGGGGTGTGGACGCGTGCGGCAGCGTGCTGATACAACGCCACGCCGCGCACGCGTATGTGTGTGTGTGTGTGTATACCTAATCTGTAGGGTGTTCACACGATGCGTAATTAATTACATAACTTTTGGTTAACTTTACTTAGAAGTTTATTAATATTTATGTTATATTAATTTTTATTTTGTCATATATGATCGTCAAATATCACGTCCTCAAGTATCGATAGTAATTCACCAGTCACCCTGTATAATTCCACTGTGCGTAAGTCACTGAAGTCCTAAACGGCTGGACCGATTTGAATGAAATTTTTTGTATGCATTCATCTGAAGCCCCAGATAGTTTAGCTCTACATATCACGCTAACAGATGTCGCTGTCTGTATGTAAGTTATTTAATATGTAAACACTATCACATAGGTTACTCTATGTATTGTTTTAACACACTATATACTTCTCTGTACGCGCAATTCGGATGTTCACGCGGACAGAGTCGCGGGCAAAAACTAGTATTTATATTCTTACCGTACTGATGTAGGCACAGCATTATACACGTCGATCCAAGCGCCCTCTTTGATCACTTCATGTAAAGATTCGTTCGGTCTCCATATTGTTATTAGAGCTGAAAAATAGCTTAATCAATATTATAGTCAATTTTTAGGTAGGAATATATATAAATGCGATGCATTAATAATAATAATAATAATAATAACTTTATTCAGAAAAACACAATGCTTACACAGTAATATATCCTAACCAATAAAAACACAATGCTTACACAGTAATATATAATATTAGGTTGAGGTGCATTATGTTTCAATAAATTTTAAAATTTCCATTGTCTTTGGACCCCACACTAGGAGACCTGTATTGTGTGATTTTGTTGATTATGTAAATATAACGCGACGAATTTGATGAAATTGTATAATGTTATAGCATTCAATTGAGATAAAGCTTATGTCTTCAATATACTAGTGACATTTAGTGGGATATGTGTGTTAATTTTCCTTTTATCACAATATTCAAGACCAAAAGGACAAAAAGAATCGAATCATAGAAAAAAAATTTTTGAGGGTAAAGAAATAGTTCATATAACATCTTTTTTTATTAATTTATGTTTAAATTTTTCAGCAATGAGACAATGTTGAAATATTTTTTTTCATTCGCACTGGTCTCATAGAATATTTCGCCAATGCCATCGTTTTGACTTGTTGGATGAATAATAATCTTATGTACTGTGTGGAGGAAACATTTAGGAGTTTGCCGAATGGAATAAACATTTTTTGAAAGACCAGTAAAAAAAAATTTTTATAACTCATCATGACGTTACGTCAGATGTCATGTCATGTCACGTTATGTCAGTTTACGTCACGTCACGTTACGTTAGTGTCACCTGTAGTAACATCGTCTTGTAGGTCAGCTACCCGTATCTTCATTAGAGGCACCACACTCCTGGAAATATCAATTCCTCTCTTTTTCATGAGATTCTTGACTTTTTCTTGTATTTTTTGTATCAAAACCTCCTTTTGTTTGTGTGTGTGTTCGTCTAATCGTTGTACTTGACTCGATGTGAGGGTAGCCTGAGAAATATATATATATTATCCTTCAATTTTGACTTTTGTCTATATAAAAAGTTATTATAATGAGTATCATCAATAAAGATTTATTACATCTCTTTTGGCTACGCCATTGTAGATACGCCAATCCCTACTAATATTATAAATGCGAAAGTAACTCTGTCTGTCTGTTACGCTTTCACGACTAAACCAATGAACTGATTTTATTGAAATTTGATACAGAGATAGAGTTGACCTTGAGAAAGAACATAGGATAGTTTTTATCCCAGACTTTTGAAAGGTTCTCTTGGAAACGCGATATAACCGAACTCCACGCGGGCGAAGCTGCGGGCGGAAAGCTAGTTTTATTATTATTTCTGTTCATCACAAACCATATTTTTAATGTCACCTTGTATTCTACTGGGTCTCTGCTCTTCATCATAAGCTTAGATATTTGTGAGCCGGTGTCAAGATTGTCGTTCTGGGTTAATTGTTCAGAATCTTGAGATTCCTAGAAAATAAACATATATACAGGGTGACTGGTGAATTACTATCAATATTTAAGGAGCATACTCGGTACGTGATTCTCATTCGAATTATGTAAAAAAAATAGGCACTTAATTTTTGACAAAATTTCCGTATAAATAAGTAAAGTGTTGACACGTTCCAAGTGTTCAAGTGTGGACGCGTGCGGCGACGTGTTGATACAACACTACGTCACGACACGCGTATGTGTGAGTGTCAGTGTATACCTAATCTGTAGGGTGTTCACACGATGCGTAATTAATTACATAACTTTTGGTTAACTTTACTTAGAAGTTTATTAATATTTATGTTATATTAATTTTTATTTTGTCATATATGATCGTCAAATATCACGTCCTCAAATATTGATAGTAATTCACCAGTCACCCTGTATATACATTTATATCATCATCATCATCCTATCAGAGCCCACTGCTGAGCTTCTTCTCACATGGAGAAGGTTAGAGCATTAATCACCACGCTTGCTTAACGGGTTGGTGATTTCAAACTTATAATTTGATATTATAAATTCATGTTTTCTTATGATGTTTTCCTTTATCTGTTAGTGATGACTAAATACTCTTATAAAGTACATATGACTTGGAACAATCACATTGGTACTTGCCAGGATCGAACCTGTTCACTCATGCACAAGTGGTGGGCTTTTAACCACTAGGCCACCAGGACTTTCCAAGACTTAGAATCATTTATTTTTCAGTATAAAAAAGTGCTAATTTAATATCATTAATGCAGGTATATCTAAATAATGACCTTCTCAATCATCTTCTCCACTTCTTCATACAGTTTCTCCATCTGAATTTGTTTCTCCGCTTCATATTTCATCTGATGCAGGAGTTCCAGTCGTTCAGAACGAGTTACTGACAACAAATAGTACTATATAATATATCTTCTATATATACTAGTCAAAACAAAATAAGGGCCACTTGTTTATTTTGACGTTTGAAGCGATCTAATAGATTTTAAGCTATCGGTACCGGTTAAGTTTTTTTGTGACGTTACATTAAGTGTTGACAAACATTATGAGAGTATATCACTTACTTAATTTTTGAAGTGGGTCGATTATGAATTTTTTTTTTCGAAGTCACTAAAAATTACTCTATTTGAAGTCGACTTTTGGAGTCATTTAAACTGTCGAGTTCTTGGTGAACTGCAGGAATTCTCTTTGTTAGTGCGTGATTATCATTTTTAAAGAACAATGCCGAGGATTCGAAGACATATGGACATACAGATCACAACTATGGCCATAACTACTGATTCAACAGGGTCATTCGCAGCGTTCTGTAGCTCTACAGCTGGGTTTTTCACGGCGAGCGATCCAGAATGCTTGGATTAGGTTTCAAGAGACTGGGAGAGTTACCAGAAGACCAGGATCAAGCAGGAGTCGAGCAACCACAGCACAGGAAGACCGCTACATACGGTTAACTGCGCGCAGAGAGCGAGTCGTCACCGCCCGTTCCTTACAAAACCGCTTGCGCCAAGCGACGGGCATCCGCGTAAGGGACCAAACGATTAGGAATCGGTTGCATGAAGACCAACAGTTCTCTAGACGATGAGTAGTGCGAATTCCACTGTCATCCGCACATCGTGCAAGGCGATTAACGTTCACTAGGCACCACCAGACCTGGAACATTGATGATTGGAGCAAGGTATTGTTCGCAGATGAATCCAAAGGAAATTTTTTAGTGATAATCGTCGCATTAGAGTTTGGAGAAGAGAAGGAGAGCGATTTTCAAATGCTTGCATCCACGAAAGTGACAGACTCGGGGGTCCCAACGTAATGGTGTGGGGCGGAATCTCGCTATCAGGTTGAACCGAGCTCGTAATTCTCAACGAAGGCACGGTAACGGCTCAACGGTACATTGAGCAGGTCATAAGACTCCACGTGGTGTCATTTTCATAGAGAATTGGTGCAGGATTCCAATTAATGCATGACAATGCCCGCGCTCATACAGATAGACTACTGCCGAAGCACTAGAAGAAGCTGGTGTACAGATGCTTCCGTGGCCCGCCAATAGCCCGGACGTTAACCCTATTAAGCACATGTGGGATTTATTAAAAAAAAGCGTTCGTGACACAAATCAACCGGTAACTAACGAACGACAGCTCATCAACGTGCTAAAGACAAGCTGGGAACAAATCCCTCTGGAGACAATACGACACCTGGTGGAGAGTATGCCTTCGAGGCTTGAAGAATGTGTTCGAAAAAGGGGAGGACACACACGTTACTGAAAAAAATAAAAATTTCAACAAATGTTCAGTTTTTTTAAAAATTAGACACTTTTTTCATATTGTGCATTTTAGGTTAAAAAGTCGATTTTTCCAAAAAAAAAAGAAAGGGATGATAATTTTAGAGTAATAAAACAATATCTGCTGCTCTTTACATTAAAAATTGATTAAATAATTTAATCTAATCATTTTCATATCCCTAAATCCCATATTACTTTTAATTCACTAAAAAAACATGTTGGCCCTTATTTTATTTTGACTAGTATATATAAAAATGGATTGCTGTTCCTTAGTCTCGCTAAAACTCGAGAACGGCTGAACGGATTTATCTTATCTTAGTCTTGAAATGTTCGTGGAGGTTCAGGAAAGGTATAAAAGGTGAGAAAAATTGGAATAATTGCCGGGAAAACCCTAAAAACAGCCCTTTTCTATTTCCCATACAAACGCTTTTTTTGACATTAGATTTGACAACTAACTAATATGTCAATCATTCTGTTCGATTGAAACAGGAAAAACCTGATTATTTATGGCCTCTAAGACAGAATAGAGTTCGCTCGGTCAGCTATACATATATTACTAATGACGAAACTAACGCGGACGAAGTCGCGGGCAAAAACTAGTATATATATATATATATATATATATATATATATATATATATATATATATATTAAAGAAAAATATTCTTTTATATACTTTATGTGCATGGAATATTTGTTAAAACACTTTATCTTTTCTTGCATAAATTAACAGATTTCTAATTCATTGCCTAGTTTTTTGTATTTAATATTTGTTAAAACTCTATTTTACTTGCATAAATCATCAGATCTCTAATTTACAATTTATGAATTGTTTTTAATTAATTAATTAAAAATACAATTACAGAAACGTGCACTATATAAAAAATGTATTTGCGGATATTCATTTAAATGTAACTAATATTATCGGATTACTACATACGCCTTATTTATTGTTTTTAACTATATACTCCCGCCATTTCGGTTACTTTGAAATCGTGATCACGGGCAGATGAGATTAGAGTATGCAGTTAAGATATTAAAAAAACGAAAATATTACTTATATATACAGGGTGACTGGTGAGTTACTATCAATATTTAAGGACGTGGTAGTTGACGATCATATATGACAAAATAAAAATTAATATAACATAAATATTAATAAACTTCTAAGTAAAGTTAACCAAAAGTTATGTAATTAATTACGGATCGCGTGGATACCCTAGCTGCGTTATCGACACAAAACAGTTATGTACGTAGGTATATGTAGTTATCGCGCGGTAGTTTACCTACATCCAAACGCCGCGCGCCGCCGCGTGTTAGACCTTAGATAAACAAAAATGATCCAATTCCCTTCATACTTTAATCCTGGCTTAGGACAGGCAAAAATACCAAGATATTTCTTTCGTTTAAGCAACCAATTTACTGACTAGGTAAATGGTGTGACCTTGACACGAAAAATAATATGAACTGTTTACCTATCTTGGTATTTCCGGCGTATTTAAAAATGGAATCATTCTTATTTACAACAATTGTCAATCATTAAACTACCTATTTACCTACATAACTACACTAACCTTAACAAATGTTCAAAGGGAGCTCCTTCTCGTGTGATACACAGTTCGGCACGTTTACACATATTGTCTTTCACACGATTTAATACGAATGGGTCACTTTTAATAGTTTCGAAAGCACTATTGATTTTTAATTTCAACTCCTCTCTGTTGACATACATTGTAGCATACACAAGACGTTTCCTTGGGCATGTGTTGGAACACGGAACTGTCCGAAGTCTCGTAATCTTTGATTAGCGTTTAAGATGACGCTGGCCGTAGGTACTCGACGATTGGGGAACATCTCCCGGTACAAATTGATTGCGCCCCGCAAGCTTTCATTTGCACGCGCATACGCATAAACCATGTCCAAGTATTCTGCATTTGTGTATTGAAAAGCCATATTTAATTACTAATAAGTAATAACGGGTCACACGCACACACGACAGATTATTATTAGGTATACGCGTAAGATCGATCGCTAGGCGCGCGCGCGGGAAGACGAACGTACGGACCTTACGGCGGCGCTCGCGCGACTAATAGCCGACTAATGGCCCGCTAGCCACGGGGCGGGGGTTGGGGAGTAGCGACACACTGGCGCCGGCAAGGATGAGTACGTATCCAAACTTTATTTATTTATACGGAAATTTGGTCAAAAATTAAGTACCTATTTTTTTTACATAATTCGAATGAGAATCATGTACCGAGTATGCTCCTTAAATATTGATAGTAACTCACCAGTCACCCTGTATATTAGTTAATCATATATAGTTGATTGAATCAATACTTAATGTACATAAGACGTAATTAATACTAATAAATAACATTATATGTGTCTATTTATAATTTAAAATTAACAAATTCTCACTAAACATATTCAAATGTATGCATATTAGCACCGAAGATGCAGTTTGAAAATGTTGATCTACCTCATTGTTCCATCTAATCTCTGCAACGGCTGAACCGATTTTGAGAAAACTTTCAATAGCAGCTAGGTTAATCTCATGAGTAGTAATTTATTTACTTTTAAAAAGTTTTATAAGCATTTAACTCACCAGTGCTGCCATCTTCAAACTTCTCCACATACAAACAAGGATACACTCTAGTCACGAACACTCTCAGTTTCGACACTTTCCCGCCATCTATCCTGACAGCTGTCAGTGGGGACAAAATGGCGGCGTTGCCATGGAAACCGAGGCGGGCGTCCCACCGGGCGCGCTTGGTCGAATTACCGAATAATTTAAGGCGCACGGCATTTGTGTCCTGAATAAAATAATGTTTGTTTTTAATATAATCACCTAGTATCACATTAAAATGAGTTAAAACGTGGTCGTCATGGTAACCGATATGATTACATATCAGTCACTTGCGTCGTTATATAAGAGATGAAAATTCATAATAATTAATATACATACATATATATCCATTAAATTATTAATAAGAACAAATTTAAGTAAATTCTGTAAATATGATCTGTCACCTAAAATACAACATGTCATTAAAAGGGAGGCAGGCAGATCTTAAAACATTATTTTCCATTGATTTCTCATCAAGTCTCACTAGTCTTACTAGATATAATATTAACTACTGAAAATATAAAATAAAATATGTTCATGTCTTAAATATAGTATTTAAGACATGAACATATTTTATTTTTATCAAATAGACATTATTATCATGTGCTTTAATTAATTAATTAATTAATTACCTCCCATGGTGATATTCCTTGGTCACAATTCACCAACTCCGCTCCAATGACCGCCAGTTTCATTCCAATAACTATTTTTCTATCAATTATAAGTTTTTCTATCATTTTGTCTACAGTCGCTTTCACGCAGTACCAGCCGTCTGTGAGTAATAATTCCAAGTTTTTGCTGGTATTTGTAACACTGGAATGAAATATTTATATTGAAAAGTTGGAAAATGAATAAAAAATTATTGGAAAGTTTCCAAATTCCAACTTCCTATAGGTGGAATGATAGTCCAAGACTATTCAGTAGAAATTAAAATTGAAATAGCTATTGATACTAAAACGTAAATATTAAAAAATAATGCGGGGAAGAAGTGAAACTTCGTAATGTAAAAATGAAAATAGGAAAATTAGAAATTGATTTTCAGTGAACTAATATTGTTTTAAGACTTAATAAACATTGCTTACATTCACAATCAACCCATACATACTCTCGATCCGTCTCTTTCTATTCCCTAACGCGTTGAATGTTTAACGCAACATTTGGAAGTTGCGTTAGAAGTTTCACTTCAATAATAAACATTTAAATGAAACTAATATTTTTAGATTATACTACACGACTCGTCTTAATGATCACGGTAGCTGAAAAGTAACTTAAACGTCGGGAGTACAAAAATTAAATCCAAAATTAGTTTCATTTAAATGAAAAACTCGACAAATCTTATATAATTTCTTTCATACCTATTAACAATAATTCCATCTTCGTATATATTGACGACACAAAGTACCATCATTTTAGTGGATAAATCATCTTTCTCCAAAATTCTTCTCAACGCCGGCCTTTCAACATCGTACAATTCTTTGTCATACCTATATTTTAATTGTTCGAGTACATTTTTTACTGTACATATATATTTCATTGAATCAAAAAAGGTTTCGTAACAAATGAGTTTCCATATAATTAATCTCATGTGATTCTTAACCCAGCCTTGTGGCAAAATCTTATTGTTGACGTTATCTGTGAAATATTTCTTTATTTTATCTGTGCTCCAAACGTCACTGTCAATGTCATTTCGTTGGCCAAAAAAACGGAATTCTAGTAGATTTTCGAAAGAAAATTTCATAATATATATATCTATATTATATGTTAGGTTCTTCTTCAAATCTTTTAGTTTATATTTTTTAGTTCTCTTATAGTTTTCATTGAATTTGTATGTGTGTATAGTTTTTGGGATTTCAATGTTATTTATTATATTCCTATTAATACTTTTTGGTGGTTCGAACTTTTTCTTTTTAGCTCTAGGACATGATAGTATTGGACTACCTGATCTTTTCGATTTAGGAATTTCTTTAAAATTTTCTTCCACGTGTAAAGATTCGTCAAAATTCTTAATAACTTCTGTATTCAAAAGATCATCTATATTTAATTCGTAGTCAGTTATATCTTTATCTTTGGGTTTATCTTTTATATCTTTTGGACTATTAGTTATAATGGAATTGGTTTTTAATTTGGATTTTATATGATTTTTGAGTTCTTGGTCACAGTTTTGGGGATTTTTCCCAGTTTTAGGCCCAACTTTTGATATATTTTCCTTTTTGTTGCTCATTAGTCCGTTTAGTTCAAATCCACTTTCTAATTTATTCAAGTCTATATCTTCAAATATCTTTTTGGTTTTCGCCAAAGCTTCTTCAGATATTTTAACGGGTTTTTTGTTTGCTGTCTGAAAGCCTATAAAACCATCTTTAACGTTTAATTTATTCGTGGCTATATGATCACAATCGTCGTCCAAATTCCGAAATAATTCCTTACTCTTCATAAGCGCTTCTTCAGATATTTTAACTCTCTTATTACTTGCTGTTTGGAATCCAACGAAAGTGGTTTTTGTACACAAATTTTCTTTATTTTTATAATCTTTATCATCCAAAATCTTACTTTTAATGCCTTCGTTGTTTGAATTCTTCAAATTATTCGCATTTTGAATCGATAAATTCTCAATAATTCCTGTTTTTGACAAACTTTTCCTTTTCATATGTTCTACTTTATTTGTAAGTATATTATCCGATTTTACTTCACATATATTTTGAACCTTATTTTCATCAAAATAAGACGTATTTTGTATCCCATCTCCGTAGGAAATATCGTGGAATATTTTCTTACATCTACTTAAAGCTTCTTCTGATATAGTTACTGGTTTGTTCCTAGCTGTTACGAAGCCTTGCATTGTAGTTTGAGTTTTATGTTGATTGACTGAAGGTATAATTTTATTTAACATTTCTTTTCTTTCTATATCCTCACCTAATTTCTTTTTACCATAAGCTTTAAATTCGTCTTCATTTGTTTCAATATCTTCGAATATTTTCTTTGATTTTTCCAAAGCACTTTTCGATATGTACACAGCCTTATTGCTAGCAGTTTGAAAGCCTCTAAATCTTTCTGTTTCTATCGATTTATTTTTACCAAAAACGTCTTTTGTTATTTCAGTATTTTTAGTATTGAGTAATTTTGGTTGGTTTCTTGGAATTTTTTCAACAGATTTTGGTTCGCAAACTTTTATAGATTTATATTTACTATATTTATCATCGTCAATATTGTCAAAAATGTTCTTCGTTTTTAAAACAGCTTCAGCTGATACTGAAATTTCTTTATTATTAGCAGTTCTGAATCCAATGAAATTTTGACCTCCCGTTTCCCTATTTTCACTTAAAACATCGCGACATTTTGTCAAAGCATTTTCTGGTTTATTTTCTATATTAAAAACATCATTTTTATCTTTTTGCTTGTCCGAATTAATACATATTTTATCACTATTTTGGCTTCGTTTTGGTATTTTTTTATTGTTTACATCTTTATTACAAATTAAATCCACATCAATATCCTTAATTAATTCTTCCTCTATATGTTCTGCGTTATGATCATTAATATTTGCGAATTTTTCATACGCAACAGAGTTCTCATCTACTATATCAATAATACTATTTTCTTTGCAATTTTCGTCGACAATATCTCTAGATTTTTCTGATGTATTTCGTAGATTTAAACTATATCTATCTTTGATACATTTCCTATCAATATCCTGAACTAATTCAGTCACAGATTTATCTACCACTCTTCGATTAACATCATCAAAAATACTCCTCGCTTTATTGAAAGAATCTGCCAGAATTTGTATGGACCGATTACTAGCTGTTTGGAAACCAACATATAGAGTTTTGTCAAGAAGATCAGGTTCATTATGAGTTTCTACTACACAAGTCAACGGCAATTCATTTTCATCGTCACTATCGAACAGCATTTTGTCTTCATTAATGACTTTGACATCAAAACTATACTGAGTCTTCATATCTATAGCGCCTTTCATACAATCATCATCTTGATTAAGATTTTGAGTGACTCCGATACCCTTATCCCGATCATATTTAACCGATTCCGAATGTCTTTGGATAAAGTTTTTAGCTTTCACCTGCGTATGTATAACACGTTTTGCATCGTTGAAATCGGTGAATTCTTTTATTACTGGTGCAGCTAACTTTTCGAAATTGTCAAATTCTTCCAACGTACATACAAATGGCTTGGCCGTAGGTCTCGAAAAACTCAATATAGGACTTGTTGGTTCTTCCAAATCTTTTAAATCAGATTTGTCATAAATATCATTCTTATTACCAATATCACAGCATTCATCATTTATGTTTCCTTTACAATAACTTTCTTTATTAATTAATACTGAATTATCTTCTGGAATATTTTGTGCGTTTTCTACCAAATATGTAATTTCTTTAGCATTTTTGTCATCAGGAGATGTTAATTTATTTTTCTCTCTATTGTTTTCCTCTTGCAACATAGCTTCAGCGTTTCTAACAATATCAATGAATTGGGTGTCCATACTGCATTGTGAATCGAAATTGTTTTCAGTGTTCATCAACTATAAGACAAAAATATTATAATTAATTAAATGTTGGTTGAAAATATTTTATATTACATAGAAAAGTATTATAGTTGAGAAATAATCACAAAATTTAATATTGTATATCATTATTTGTAAAGAAAGTAAATGATTTTTTTTAATGGTTAGTTTTCTTTGTAATGCCTCAATTACAGCAAATAGTTATATTTTTATGAACAAATAAGCTTATTTAATACTGTGCACCTAAAAAATATTATCAAATTTAATCATTATTAATTCATTTTAATGAATTATTGACTTACTGTTTCAGCTTGAATTGAAGCGAGAGGTATAAGTTCACATTTCTTATGACTAGATAAAGTATTATTTTTTCGCACATCTTGATTGAGACAATCAGAATTTTTGATAGTCATTATTTGCTTTGATATTGTTTTCAAAACATCTCCCACTCTCAATTCGTCAAAAACCTTGGAATCGCTTCCGTTTTCACCGTACACAGAAAACGATGCACATTTACGATTTTGTAACTTATGAACGAAAATATCCGTATTATCCTCGTGATCCATATTACTAAAAGAATTAGTCTTAATTCGCAATAAATAACGCGAAAACTAAATATAACAAAATACAAATAAGACTTCAAGTAGTTTTTGTCAAAGTCAATCAATTATCAAACTTGTAATAGGTACTTAACCAATTTCAAATTTGTCAAAATCAAAAATATGAAGAACGTAATATAAATTAAAATTTATAATATTTACAATATATTGTTGGAATCGAGAAAATTATGGAATATAACTTACAAAAATTATATGAGATTTCTATTTATTTATTTTATAAATCAGTTTCTTATATATTAAACTAATTTTTAAATTCGTTTTGTATATAAAATAACAAATAGTTTATGACTAAATCTTGTTTATTGTTTTCAAAATATGTTACTCTAAATAAAATAGATTAGTTTCTGAACGCAAGCGTTACTGAAGAGTGCAACTGAACAGCGGTCAAGACTCAAGTCAATCGTCTAGCAATAGATATTTCTCGAAATTGTGCTATTTCGTTATTATTACTACATTTAAGTTAATATACAGTGATAAAACTTTATCGTTTAATTAAAAATGGTGATTAATTAGTATAAAATATTAATATAACATGTCAGAAAAATGGCGCTAAATAGGGTTATATTTTCAGTCCCACACAATTTTGTTGGTGCAGCCGGGCCCTAAGCCTGAGACGAGAACATATTCAGACTACGAGAGTGTTAATGATTGTATGGAGGGAGTCTGTAAAATATATGAAGAGCATCTGAAAAGGCGGAATCCTACGACTCCTACCATAACATACGATATATCGCAATTGTTTGATTTCGTCGATCAGGTTAGCCAGTTAAATATTAATTTTTATTATACCTAATGCTAAATTTCGTGTGACATATTTACTAAACTTAAGACGCTTTCAAAACAATATAAAAATGTTACTCTAATAATTAATAGTTTTCCATTATAATTATCATAAATAAAAGAGGCTCTAAAGAAATATTTTTATACTTTTGTTAGAAGAATAAATGAAATTATTTCGTATAAACTTTTTAAGTGATACGAAAAACACTATACACGTAAATTACTGTATTTTTAAGTTATATAAAAAATATATATCATTAATAATTGTTATAAAATCTTTCAGCTTGCAGATTTAAGTTGTCTAGTATACCAAAAGTCAACAAATACATATGCACCATATAATAAGGATTGGATTAAAGAGAAAATATATGTCCTTCTCCGTCAAGCGGCCGGCCAGAGCGATTGAGAATTTAAATGTTTTTTGTGAATTTTGGGCATATAAATTAACATAGGTAAAAGTGTACTTGAAATTTATTAACACCAGATTATTGTACATTTGACATTGTGACTAAATTTCATTATGATATATTTTATTTTGCTTCATTATTTTGAGTTAAATTTATCAACGAAACTATAATATATTATATGGATATAATAAATATATATCATCGGGATAGTGCAAATCCTATAATGTAACTACCATGAGACAATTCCGAGTATCTACATTGGAAGCAGATTATCAGAAGAATGTTTGAGATGAAATATTTTCTATATTGACAACTTTTAAGGTATTTTTCACAATGAGTAATTATTTAGTTTTTAATTTATTACTAACTTACTGTGCCCCGCGGATTTCCGGGATGTAAAGTAGCCTATGTGTTATTCCTGGACATCAGCTTCCTGTATACAAAATTTTAAATTCAAATTCGGTTCAGTCGTTTTAGTGTGAAGAAGTAACAAACATACACTCGCAAACTTTCGCAATTATAATATTAGTAGGATTGTGAAAAAATTAACTTAATACAAAATATTTCAGTTCAAACATTCTTCTGATAATCTGCTTCCCATGTATATACATGGAATTATACAATGCTAGTTATGTGGATTTGAAGTATCCCCGACGATATATCTTTTCTTGAATGTATAATTCAGTATATTTTAAAACCTATTTGGTTGTATGCTCAAGATTTTTTAACGTGTATATAATTAATGCTGGGTTTACACTATATTAAATCTTCTAACACATAGTCTATTTAAATTTTAAGTTACTGTCATATATATATTTATATATATATATATATGTATATATATAAAATGAAGAAAAATATATATATAGAAGAGCTTTTTTTCAAGAATTTCATACAAAACTAGTTTTTACCCGCGACTTCGTCCGCATTAGTTTGGTCAAGAGTAATATATGTAGGTATAGCTGACCGGGCGAACTCTATTCCGTCTTGGAGGCCATAAATAATCAGGTTTTTCCTGTTTCAATCAAACAGAATGAGTGACATATTAGTTAGTTGTCAAATCTAATGTAAAAAAAACGTTTGTATGGGAAATAGAAAAGGGCTGTTTTTAGGGTTTTCCGGGCAATTATTCCAATTTTTCTCACCTTTAAAACCTTTCCTGGACTTCCAGGAGTATTTCAAGACTAAAATTAGCCAAATCGGTTCAGCCGTTCTCGAGTTTTAGCGAGACTAAGGAACAGCAATCCATTTTTATATATATAGAAGATGACTATATAGAAGGTTTAAAGTGTAAGATCTTTGAAAACTTACATTTCAACTGATAGATATTTTTGATTAAAAGTTGGTCAAAATAATACTTAATTTAGTGTAAACCTGGTTAAGATTAAAATGATGGTGTTTAAAAAAAAATGTTCTCATGTACAAATTATTGAAAACGGGCTAAATTGTATCAATAATTGATTTATTTGGACAAGTTCATTATTCCTGTAGCCTGATAAACAACAATATATATATATATATATATATATACACATATAATTTAGTAATCTTCATTAACAGTATGTCAATTTAAAAGTATTCTATGACAATGACTTGATAAAAGATTAAAGATGTATGAACACTAAATGATAATGTTTTGAGAATACTTTAGTATAAATTACACTACAGTATGGACAACGAAACAAGATAGAAAATGTAAACAATATATTATATAAAAGTGGCACTACACTTGGCGTTTATTCGCGGAATTGTCCAAATATTTGTACGTAGTCCAAATAGAGCAAACACTACATCCACACTTGGCATGTCAACAACGTCTTTACGCGTTTTCGCTTATTTGTGTATGTGTCTTATTTGTGCAAATATGTCAAATGAAGACAAATAAATCATCCACACATTGTCTTAGTTTGCCGAACATAAATAAACGCTAAGTAAAGTGCACCTTGACAATTATGACTCGGAAAAAGATTTTTTTTTTTTCATTTAATTATAACATAATTTTCTCAGTCATATATGTTTAATACTTATAAGTGTTTCACTTATTTAAATCTGAGTTAGTTATTAACTCGACTCATCTATCGTACTGACACGTGTGATTTTGTTTTTCGATTTGTTGAATTTAGTTGTAAGATATTATTAAGAATAAATAATGAAAATTATATTGATGTTGGTTTAAAATTTATTTATACCCAAATGCTAACAGAAAACTGATAATAATGGCTTAATAATATGGTATTCTTTCTTAGAACGTACTTCGAAGGTATACCTAGTAGGTTCTTTTCAAATTTGGTAGAGAGAGGAGCTTGGCCGGTGGAGGTGATTGTTTAACTTTAGATAGGGACCCCTTAAACCTACACCTAGGTCACAAGTCCCAGTCACTGTTGAAGCTCCTCTCACTACAACGATGGACCCGACACACGCACCGTGAATACATTGAATGATGAGAGGTTTTGTTTCTGTGACCCACAAGTCTCTCATTAACTAGTACGGCGGGTTGAGTCCTAATAATAAACAATGTGAATACATATTTTCAAAGTTTTATTCTTTCGCAACATATTTTACAGTTTTGGTAAATTCTTATTATAGTTTCAAGTAAATTTATTATAAATTAGATTTTTCTAACATATACATAGACAATCAGATTTTAACCTACAGTAGTAAGGTACATAAATTGGTTAATATAATAAATAAGTTTTTTGAAAGATAAGTAAAAAGTATGTACAAAAATGGTGACTTTTAAATTTTTGAATAATTTTTGGTAGTTTTTTTTCTAATTATCATGTATAGTGTGAATAATTCCACAACACCAATTTACACAAAAATCTATATACATATATTTATTGAAAAATTATTTAATCTTAACACATTATTATGAAAAACTGCATTCTCTCATTGACACTATGGCTCTGTGGTGATAAATCACTTAGAAGTCCAAGATTCAGATACTAAACATTTACATATGACTAATTAAAAACTTCAAATAATGAAATATGTTACAAAAACTTATATAATATCTAAGATATGTTCCATGACCGATCAATGGCATGGTGGGTAGATCTCTAATCCAAATACATGAAATAATGAATTAATTAATCGCTGCCCACTTCAACCTTGATTTTGGGTTTTGGATGTACTTTATATATATGTCTCCTCAATTCTCTGGCATTTAAATATTTACACGGACACAATTTGCATATGTATTTGAATTCCTCTGGGTCCCCGTGGAACCTTATGAAGTGTCGATCCCTGATATTCTCGGATACAAATGATCGGTGACAGGTTTTGCATTCAAACGGCTTTGATGTACTGTGGGACTAGAGATATATGTACATTAGTATATATACATAGTAATTAATGTGTTTAATCATAAATATAACATTTATCTCTAAATATTCCTTACTTGAGAAAAATGTAAATCATAATGTATCTATATACATATATATAAGAGATTTCCACCTATATATTGACTCATCACGATATCTCTGGAACCATAAGACGTAGCGACTTGAAATTTGGTAGGATTATTACTAGTAGATGTCAGCTAAGAACGGATTTTACGAAATTCCACCCACAAGGGGGCTTGCGGGGGGTAAACAATGGAAAATACGCTTTCACGTCTAAACCACTGAACTGATATTAATGAAATTTGGTAGAGATAGAGTTGACCTCGAGAAAGAACATAGGATAGTTTTTATCCCAGACTTTTGAAAGGTTCTCTTGGAAACGCGATATAACCGAACTACACGCGGACGAAGCTGCGGGCGGAAAGCTATATATATATATATATATATATCATATATCAAAAATATATTTTATCTTATTAAAAATATAATATTTTATAATAAATGATCAAAAATATTAATATATCATGATAATTTAGTATTTAAAGTCTGTGGAAGTGAAATTCAAGAATTCGTAGATTCAAATCCAGTTTGTATAAAAAAAAATATAAATATTTTTGTATATATTTCTGTAAATTGATATTATTATGGATTTAAATGAAACTAATATTTTTCCGAATATACTAGTCAAGGATATTTTTGTACATATCACGTTATCTGAAAAGTATGTAGTTTTTTTACAAAAGTATATCCGAAAAATATTAGTTTCATTCAAATGAATACTCGAGAGTCTTAGATGTCAATTACGGACTTGTTACTTTTCTTAAATATGGGTTTGATAGTATAAGTCTAGACTAGTATAGATCCAGTCTAGACTAGTCTGGTATAAGTCTATACTAACAACTTTCAGATGCCGTTTCAGACTGCTGTTTGTGCCGAAGCTAGTGTTGCATATCTCACACACGAACGGCCTTTCATTTCTATGAGTTCGTTCGTGAGCCTGGAAAATAGAATTAAATCATTACTTTTATAAAACATATTGTAATTTATTTGGACATTAACTTTATTATTAGGAAATACGAATTTAAGTTTATGTCTTGTAATAATTTAGTTTATTACTATAATCATATGTACTTAAGAGTATTTAGACATCACTGACTGATGAAGGAAAACATCGTGAGGAAACATGGACTTATCAAATTATAAGTTTGAAATCACCAACCCGTGTTGAGCAAGAGTGTTGATTAATGCTCAAACCTTCTCCATGTGAGAAGAGGCTCAGCAGTGGGCTTGGGCTCTGGTAGGGTGATGATGATTTTTATACAACTACCATTAATATAAATATTTCTTTAACTAACCTGAAGGCTATAACTTTCAAAGAATCCTTTTCCACAATAGCTACATCTGAATGTAGCTCCACGAAGAACTCTTTCATGTGTCTTCATATGTACATTAAGTAGGGCCGTTGAACCAAATTTTTTTGGGCATTGAGGACATTCTTCGGTTTTTTCCTGGAATATAAATATTAATCATAATATCTACTAACAAGAAACAAATAATTAATTTAATTCATACAATAATACCAAAAAACTACTAAGATTTTCTCAAGTTTCATTGATTTAAATGAAACTTATATTTTTCGGATTATAAAAAAAAAATCTCGTCTGCCCTTGATCACGGTTGCTATAAAGTAGCCGAAAGGTCGGTAGTATGTAGTTTTTTACAAAAATAACTCCGAAAAATATAAGTTTCATTTAAATAAATACCAAAAAAAAATTATTCTATGCTATTACATACAAATTTATCTCTCATCAAGTATATTGACAATGATCTGGAATTTAGAACTTGCAGGTGTTAGAATTTCCTCAAAAAAACCAGAATTAAGTACTAAAACATTAATATTGTGTTAAACGAGGGCTTACTAAATGTGTGTCTCTATGTTTTGCCAATGAGTGGGCATATTTGAACCATTTTGGGCAGTCTTCACATTGAAATCTAGATTCTGTGGTGTGTGTAGCCATATGAGCTTTCAGAGCTGCCATCCCAGACATTGTTTTACCACAGATCTTGCAATCTCTTAGACGGGTCGGGTGATATCTGAGAATAAGTATTATATATACATAAGGATTATTTGTTGAAATAATTAAAATCTATAGAAGAATGCTATTTCAAGGTAAAAGACTATGGCATCCTTTATACCTAAAAAATCACTTTTTTTATTTCAAAGAAAGGCACATATGTTTCACAATATTTCCTGAATAAGATGTTTTACGTATTCCCTTAAACTTTAAAGTCACAGATTAAGTTTGACTTGACTTAATTGACTCTTTATATATACAGGGTGACTGGTGAATTACTATCAATATTTAAGGAGAATACTCGGTACATGATTCTCATTCGAATTATGTAAAAAAAATAGGCACTTAATTTTTAACAAAATTTCCGTATAAATAAACTAGCTTTTGCCGCGACTCCGTCCGCTTGGAGTAGTGACTTCCGGCAGATTTTTGGTTCTTCCCACATAGTTCCCGTTCTTGAGGGGTTTTCGGGATGGTCGAATTCCCGTAGAATTTTCACCATAAAACCTATGTTTTTTTTAAAATTCACAATGAAGTACTCTTAACTAACAACATATTTATTTGTTTATTTGAATAAAGATTTTATAAAATTATTTCGACCAAATTAGGTACCATAAAAACGGTTTTTGTGAGTTAATCTTAAAAGATAGACATATACTGTCGCGGACTGTTTTTTAGATCATTAAAAGAACTATTATTCTTTAACACATATTTTTGTGTATCTTGAACCGTTTTCACGGCGCACGCAACGGAAGGCTTCAAAGATGAAATAATTTCTCCCGTTTTTTACACATTTATCACTATATCTTTGCTCCTATTGGTCGTAGCGTGATGTTATATAGCCCACAGCCTTCCTCGATAACTGGACTATCCAACACAAAAAGAGTTATTCAATTCGAACCAGTAGTTTCGGAGATTAGCGCTTTCAAAGAAACAAACAAACAAACTCTTCAGATTTATAATATTAGTATAGATAAAGTGTTGACACGTTCCAAGTGTTCCAAGTGTGGACGCGTGCGGAGGCGTGCTGATACAACACTACGCCGCCGCACGCGTATGTGTGTGTGAGTGTATACCTAATCTGTAAGGTGTGCACACGATGCGTAATTAATTACATAACTTTTGGTTAACTTTACTTAGAAGTTTATTAATATTTATGTTATATTAATTTTTATTTTGTCATATATGATCGTCAAATATCACGTCCTCAAGTATCGATAGTAATTCACCAGTCACCCTGTATAACTAGAGAAAATTATAAAGAGCAAAATTCATTGATATTTAAAGTTGGTTGATGCATATAGTCGGCGATAGTGCAAATCCTCGTAACTAGCATTGGACAATTCCATGTATCTACATTGGAAGCAGACTAATTAATTATATATCAAAAGAAAGAAGAGAGATAGTAATTATTTTGTGCTTAATTTATTACTAAATTGTGAAAAAATTACCTTAAAAGTCTTTAATTTAGAAAATATTTCATATTAAACCTTCTTATGATATACAATAAAGATAATGATTTGCCAATTAATATAAATTCAAAGTACAGTTGTATTTATACATATAATATCAAAAATATTGTTTACTATAATATTAATAAGAAAATTACATACTACCATATACATTATACATATAGTGCTAAGTAACAAGAATGATTAATAGAACAAAAAATAGATATATTTATATATATACATATATATGTATATATTACAAATTTAATATAGTTTTATTCAATACTAATACTTACTTCCGCCTATGATTCATGAGGCTCGGTGTATTGGTGAACGTTCTCTTGCAATCGGTACAAGGTATGAGAGCTTCTTCGGTAATTTCCTCACTACCGCTAACTTTATACTTCCTGTTTCTAGGTTTGACTATCTTCTCCTTCTGCGATCTAAGTTTCTTCTCTGTTATGTATCCAAATGTATGCCATTTTGTATGAATTATGAATCTCTTTGCGTTATTAAAGAATAGTTTGCAGTGTGGACATTCAAAGTACGTCGATATTAGTGAAGCACCTGAAAAAAGGTCTTGTTTAAAACTGGATAAAATTAGATTAATGAAATTAAGTTAGTGTTGGCCTAGTGGTTAATTGCCCGAGTCTCATGCATGAGAGCGGGTTCGATCCTGACAAGTACCAATGTGATTTATCCGAGCCATATGTATTTTACAAGAGTATTTAGATACCACTGATGAAAGAAAACTTATTGAAGAAACATGGACTTATAATTTACAATTAGGAGTTTGAAATCACAAACAGGCTTTAGCAAAATGACAATGAGATCTAAGACTTTCGCTATTCATTTAAATGAAACTAATATTATTCGGATTACTACGCGTATTTTATTATTTCAAAACTACATAGTCCCGACGGTTCTGGTTACTTTTCAGCAACAATGATCACAGATATAATTTTAAAATAATATGTTTCGCGTAGTAATTAGAATAATATTAGTTAGTTTTTTACATGCAAATAAATATTTCATTTATAATGGAAACTATTTAAAAAAAAGAAGAAATGTATTTGATAAGTTTTTGTTAAATTAAAGTTGTAATATGTGTAATAAGCCTGATATATATATACATATTTTCAATATAATGACTAGAAAAATTAAGCAACTTGCAATAAGAAAATTATTATTGATATCTAACATTTTTATGAGTAGAGATTTAAAATGGAACTCTACTATTTTGGATTAATTTAACTTTTAAAGGGAACTACATACATATAGTATATAATATATGAAGAATTATCTATACTAATATTATAAAGCTGAAGAGTTTGTTTGTTTGTTTGTTTGTTTGTTTGTTTGAAAGCGCTAATCTCCGAAACTAATGGTTCGAATTGAATAATTCTTTTTGTGTTGGATAGTCCAGTTATCGAGGAAGGCTGTGAGCTATATAACATCACGCTACGACCAATAGGAGCAAAGATATAGTGGTAAATGTGTAAAAAACGGGAGAAATTATTTCATCTTTGAAGCCTTCCGTTGCGTGCGCCGTGAAAACGGTTCAAGATACACAAAAAATATGTAGTAAAGAATAATAGCTCTTTTAATGATCTAAAAAACAGTCCGCGACAGTATATGTCTATCTTTTGAGATTAACTCACAAAAACCGTTTTTATGGTACCTAATTTGGTCGAAATAATTTGTTTAAGTTGTATCAACATAATAATATTAATCTTTATTCAACTAAACAAATAAATATGTTGTTGGTTAAGAGTACTTCATTGTGAATAAAAAAAAACATAGGTTTTATCCTGAAAATTCTACGGGAACTCGACCATTCCGAAAACCCCGCAAGAACGGGAACTATGTGGGAAGAACCAAAAATCTGTCGGAAGTCACTATTCCACGCGGACGAAGCCGCGGCAAAAGCTAGTCATTTATAAATATGTAATAATATAGATGTTAAACAAATTACATCCCATACTTATACTTCTTGAAAACTACTTGTAGTATTGATATAAAATTTTTCCTCTTAATTAATGAAATCAGTACCTTTTTTAATAATTTCCTTCGCAACATTTATACTGCTCTCAGCTCCGATAATATCGTAGTCCTTGATCTCATCGCCCTGCACTCCGTGTGTGTCTTTAAGGAATGGATTGATTTGTTCAATATTTAATATTGACGGCAGCAAAACCGTTCTAGATGAAGTCTCTTGAGCATCTTCGGTAGATATTTTGCTATTATTACATAACCAATTCTCAGTTTTCACACTACTGAATAGATTGTCTAGTTGTTTTGTATCTGTTTTGCTTATACTTTTATCGTCGACATCATTATTATCACATTCGCTTATAACAAACTCTGTTTCTGATGTTTCCGATAAATCTTCGTAATTTTCGGTCTTAATATTCTGTTCCAATTTATTTTTTCTTGAATTTGACGGATGTGATATAATATTTTCTATAATCTTGACTGTATTAGCTAACCTTTGCCTAGACTCATCTCTTAGTAATTTGTTACTTGAATCTGGGATACTATCTGTACTTACATTATTTACAGGTTCACTTGATAAATCTACTTCAATTTTATAACTAGATTCTTGACTAATTCTTGTTATTATATCACTCTGTGGTTTAATATCACTTGTAACAGTATCTTCATTGTGTTTACGTAAAGTTAGCGGCAAGCTGGGTGTGTTTACGTGATTTACATCGTAATTAGATTGATTATAGCTATTTAAGTAATTATAATCTATATCCATTTGTTTGTGATACGCTTTTGTAAACACTTGTGGATAATTTTTGGTTAAAACTGAATTATTCTGTAGATTCAAATCCAATGGGTGACCATTGTTTTGATAAGTTTGTGCACTCACTTGGTATCCAGAATTGTATGGAGTGAGTCCTAAATTCACCTGGTACGGCACATTAAAATGTATTTGTTCGGATTGATCACTATTGGACATAGTATTGTTACTAGATAGAATTCTATCTTCAGACGATAAATTGTTTTGATTGTTCGACTTAAGCGGCACTTCATTCTGATCAAATGTTCCCGTATTATGTAACATCTTAAATATTAACTGAATTTATTATATTAACTATTTATTAAATATTACAACAACTCAAAATAAACATCACTATTAACCATTTTGATTTTGACATCTTCTGTAAAATATGGTGACTGGAAACGCCTGTCTGGGATAAGTTTTTAGTTTTACTCTATATTTTATTTTAAAATATTTATTTTAGTAATAAAATAAAGTAATTAGTTAAATTTCAATATCATCACATTGTCACAACTTCTTATTGTAATTTATTCTGTAATCTTTTTTTTTTATTGCCAAATGATTAATTTTTAAGATGTATGTATTACGTTTTTAAGCAATAATTTAATTTTATCATATCAAGTATTTTAATTATTATATATCGTAATTATACAAATATTAAGATAATTTCAACATTTATAAAAATTTTTTAAAATGTTTTTTTGATGGAATCATACAATAAAAAAATTGATTTGGAGGGAACGGAACGTTTCCCAAAGTAACGTTTTGAATGTAATTCTTTCATAGTTCATACTTAATTGGTCATTTATTCGATTATTTCACAATTATGTATTTTGACGTGAACGTAATCGGTTGTGCATTTCCTATTTGTAATCGCAATTAGTTATATGTAATTACATGATTATTGTATCAATAATCAAATATTCTGAGTGAAAAAGTTATATTTTCGTGCAATTATGGCGTTAGGCGCTATAGCTGATGAGTATTTTCGGACCATGAATCCCCTGGCTTCTAAAATATACGAAGATATAACGGAGACTAAAAACGCTTACGAAAATATTTGGAATACGCTTACGGAAAAAGAAAAGGTATTTTTATTAATTTCGAACATTTTAAGTTTAATGTGTACAGTGTATATTAATAAAATACAAAATATATTTTCTTCTAAAATCCTGATCTTATGCACATTTTTCTGCAGACACATAAATATAAAATAGATCATAATATAAACAAATCTAATTATTTTTAAGTATCAAAACATATTGATGCACGAGTTTAGACGACAGTATATACATTTATTTACAATTATGACTCACTGAGAATTTATTATAAAAATCTTTTCAGGCGGAAATAATAAACGAATCTATAATAAATCCAGATATAGCTAATAAATATGCTTTATTAGACTCACTGGATTTCGATATAAACGACCCACCGGTTCAGAAAGATAATTTAATGTCTTTCTTTGGCCGTGAGCATGGTTTGAAAATAATTCAAGATGAAAACACGTCTTATAGAGATGAACACTCTGCGCCCTTCCTCTATCAGACGAAAAGTCAGTTAAATCTGTGCATTTTGAGCGAGCACAGAGTTACGAAGGAAGTGAAATGCACATCACCACCACCGATTATGACTGAGTTAGCTTTATCTCATTCAAAAGTCGTGAACGAACTAAAAAACGCTCTCAAATCTCACGACGTACTCAAAAGTACGTATAAAGAGAAAAAAGATGACCGAGAAGTGTCTCAAACGGGTTTCATAAGTAAATTTATAGGTAATTTTAAAACTAAGGATGAGGAGAGAGAATGCCTGGTGCCGTCCTTGCCGGTAACACAAATCGTTGCATCATCGGAGAACTTCTTTAGAACAAATTTCAAAAGTCCGTCGAATGAATGTAAATTTGATAAGGAGTATCGGAATAGTGTCGCCAAATCTAGTAACGGTGAGTGTTATTCACATAATATATGTTTTTTAAATATAAGTTTCTATTAAAATAATACTAATTCATTTATGAGAACTTATTAAATAATTGAATACTGATTAAATACTTCCTCATATTTGAATTTAATGACGATATCATTCTTAGCTTGTAATTAACAAATTAAACAAATATTTAGATATCATTAAAAATTTTATCACAAGCAATACATTAAATAATGTAATTTTATATATATATATATATATATATACCTACATAAGAAACTAAGTCAGTTTAAAGTTAGTGTATACAAAATAACATACATAGTTTCTAAACCTCCCTTGTATAATATTATCGTTTTGTTAAATCATAATACCTATTGTTATACCTACAGATTATTATACAACAATATATATATAAAAAACTAACACAATAGTGTCAGAATAACTATTTCCTATGATTTCTCTTTGGTGCATGTGTTTGAATTAAACATTACTGAAATTACCGATATTATTTCTAGTTTAAATTGAACTAAAAATATATTTAGTAATTATCTTCTTCTTCTTCTACCTGGCAATTTCCCAGCTATAATCAGGGTCTGCCTTACATGTGGTGAATATTTTTGGCTAATTGTTTTTACGACCGGTCGCCTGCCTGACATCAACCCTCTTTGGGAATGCATTAATCAGTGATGTCTAAATACTCTTAGAAAGTACATATGACTTGGAAAAATCACATTGGTACTTGCCAGGATCGAATCCGAACCCTCGTGCATGAGAGGCGGGCCTATTAACCACTAGGCCACCACTGACTCTAAAAAAAACCACTACTGAACCGATTTTAATAATGTTTTGTATTCAATACTTACAATAATTGTATCAACACAACCCAAGAACGAGTTGCGGGATAAAACTAGTATGTTACGAAACTGTACTATTTTCGTGGATATGTTTGTTAGTTTCTGTATAAGAAGTAATGTAAACTATTTATTTAAAATTATGCAATGTTGCATTAAATTAGAAATATGTAGCTTGTTTGTTAAATATTTATACTCCGGTAAAAACATCCGTGAAAAGCATACTAAATGAACTTTGAACGTTTAGTACGATTATTTAAAGTAAATACGAGTCTTCTTACGTTTTAGTTTTTTGTGGATAACGACGAAACTTTAAGTGTGGTTGAAAAAATATAGTAACGCGTACTTAGGGCAGTTTAGTTTATTTTTAATTGTATGTTAGAAATTTTGATATTGGATTTGATATGTAAAGTGGTTATTAGTATTAGATGTATTTTTTATTATTTGTGTTTTTAATGTTATAAGGAAGAATTCGTCCTATAAATACTTCACTTGAATATTTTTCTATCAGTGTGCGTTATATAAAAATTACCTAACTCAAATAATTAGATATCATAAAATATTTTTTGGGAAATTGCAAAATATTAATCTAAGTCCAATATTATAGATGGACATTAAGAGTTGGTACAGTTGTTTTAATAGTAATTCTGTACAAATATACATTGCGTATCATTTGAAAATATAGAAAAAGTATGAATTACTTAAATAGCTGATTCGATTCCCGCTAATGTAAATAATGATATAAGTTCGTCGTAAATTTGTACTATGTAGAAATAGGAGCGAGAGATATAACAGCTAAATATCTCTTTAACCTACTAAAAGACTTTGGTCTGTCCAGAACTAATATCAATTCATTCTTGGAATGTACTTCAAAGCCAGTCCTAGTAGGTTCTTTTCAAAGGTAGAGAGAGGAGCTTGTACGGTGGAGGTGAGCGTTTAACGTTAGATAGGGTCCCTTAGGCCTCGGCCTCGAATTTTGCGGGCAGCGGAGCGGCAGCGGCGGCGGCACGAAAACGCATACATTCCTCCAAAATAGCGGGCAGCGGGCACCGCTGTATTCGAGGGTCGGTCCATTTGATTATACGCGTAAGATCCTGCCGCTCCCGCTCCCGCTCCGCTGCCCGCAAAATTCGAGGCCGAGGCCATACTGTTCTCCAAACTAGCGGGCAGCGGGCACCGCTGTATTCGAGGGTCGGTCCATTTGATTATACGCGTAAGATCCTGCCGCTCCCGCTCCCGCTCCGCTGCCCGCAAAATTCGAGGCCGAGGCCATACTGTTCTCCAAACTAGCGGGCAGCGGGCACCGCTGTATTCGAGGGTCGGTCCATTTGATTATACGCGTAAGATCCTGCCGCTCCCGCTCCCGCTCCGCTGCCCGCAAAATTCGAGGCCGAGGCCATACTGTTCTCCAAACTAGCGGGCAGCGGGCACCGCTGTATTCGAGGGTCGGTCCATTTGATTATACGCGTAAGATCCTGCCGCTCCCGCTCCCGCTCCGCTGCCCGCAAAATTCGAGGCCGAGGCCATACTGTTCTCCAAACTAGCGGGCAGCGGGCACCGCTGTATTCGAGGGTCGGTCCATTTGATTATACGCGTAAGATCCTGCCGCTCCCGCTCCCGCTCCGCTGCCCGCAAAATTCGAGGCCGAGGCCATACTGTTCTCCAAACTAGCGGGCAGCGGGCACCGCTGTATTCGAGGGTCGGTCCATTTGATTATACGCGTAAGATCCTGCCGCTCCCGCTCCCGCTCCGCTGCCCGCAAAATTCGAGGCCGAGGCCATACTGTTCTCCAAACTAGCGGGCAGCGGGCACCGCTGTATTCGAGGGTCGGTCCATTTGATTATACGCGTAAGATCCTGCCGCTCCCGCTCCCGCTCCGCTGCCCGCAAAATTCGAGGCCGAGGCCATACTGTTCTCCAAACTAGCGGGCAGCGGGCACCGCTGTATTCGAGGGTCGGTCCATTTGATTATACGCGTAAGATCCTGCCGCTCCCGCTGCCGCTCCGCTGCCCGCAAAATTCGAGGCCGAGGCCTTAAATCTACACCTGGGTCACAAGTCACAGTCACTGTTGAAGCTCCTCTCACTACAACGATGGACCCGACACACGCACCGTGAATACATTGAATGATGAGAAGATTCAATATATATATCTAATATTGCAGATTTGTCTGAAGAGAATCGTGGTCTTCTATCTTCAAGTCAAGCTTCTTCATCAGATTTCCCATCAACGGACACTTTGACAGAGACTTTACCCAAGACCGGGTATGATTTTCTAGATAATTGGTAATATATATATATATATATATATACCTTACTACAAGTTTCACATACTGCTTACTACACACGCGGCGTTTTCAGTATTTCAGTGATTAGGGCGGTTTCAGACTAGCGTTTTATACGCGCGTATGAACTGGTTTTTGGAAGCGCATGTAGGCGCGTATAGGCGCGCCTTTTGGCACACGCTCAACTCGTACGAGCGTTGACGCGCTTCTAAGCTCGTATAAGCGCGAGCCGAATAAGTAACGCAAAAAGTAATGTTTCTTCGTCAGAATCCATGTTGATACTGACACGATACCACCGGTTCGAGCGAACACGCCGAAATATGCGCGTTTACGCGCGTCCGGTTTTTTGAAGCGCGTAATGTAGCGCGCGTGTAAGCGCGTATACTGAAACGACCGTATACGCGCTGAAAAAAACGCTAGTCTGAAATCGCCCTTACGATCATTTGCGTAGTTTAAGTAATGTTCAAAAACAGAAAAATCGTTCGTCGTGGAACTTGTATTAAGGTTTGTTTTTAAAATAATTTCGTGCAATGTAATTTTATGTTATATGAATCTCATTTTTATATATTATTATGGGTACTCGTATTTTTCGTGTACATTTCATTAAAATACTGAAATGTTTGGTAGTTTTAAAACTATATGATATTGTTACTGTAAGTTCTGCTATGAACTATATACAGAGCGTTCTAAGTTTTATTACACAACTGAAAATTCGTATTTATGAAATATTTTGTAAAAGATACTCATATATTCTGTATTATTTGTAATAATGGACCCTTTCATAGGTTAGATATTTTAATTTAAAACAATTAATTCTTAATAATGAACTTTTTCTGAGGTCGGCTAATGTTCAAAAGTTTGCTAAAAAAAGTTTCATTAAATCCAAAGTAGACTTAACTTCGAAAACATTACAACATAAAAATTTTATTGAGTTTATTTACAAAATTTATCTCGTATCGTTGGCTGTTATAATTATTGATTCCAAAGCCAAAAAATGAATATATTATGTAAATACTTCATTTAAATGTTGGAATCTGTTTAAAATTATTATTATTTATTAAATAAAAACAAAGTCTGTACGTTGATGCTCTCAAACGTGTGCATTTATTATTATAATATTTTTTAATATATTTTTTTGTATTGTAAATCATGTGCTATTGTGAATATAATTAAATTATATACAAATATACTGTTTTTATTAAAAACTCAAATTATATAGGGTGGCTACTGGAGGTTCCAGGAAAACTACGAAACATACTTATATGTATATTATAATAAGAATAAAACATTAAAACTTATAACTTATCTAGTTCGTTAGACTTAGCTGAGATTTGCATTTGTGTGAGTGAAAGTAAAAGTAGAGTTAGACAAAAAACTATTAGAATTACATTTTTAATATATACATAATTTAAGTGCTAGATCTATTCCAGATTAAAAATAAAATAAACATACTTGTAAAAGGCGAGATGGAAATTTTATGGAAAAATATTTATTACGTAATAATTATTTTGAAAAAACAATACAAACTTTTCTTCATTGACATTTAGTTCGGTCAAATCAGACCAAAAAAGAAGAGTAAAGTTACTTAAATTCCCACCAAGCTGAAAATCGGTAAGATTGTTTAAAATATCATTAAAAACAAAATTTGAAAGTTCTCCATCTTTCCCCTGTAAGGAAAAAATTTAATTCTAGGTCAAAGGTAAACATAGTGAGTCGCGATTTTCAGCAAATCGGTAAGTTTTATCATAAAACTATTACAGACAAAATTGTAGATCATAAAATTATCTACAAAGAATTACCTAATTAATACTTTTTTTTAAGAGCCGCCGTTTTTGAGATATAACGATTCAAAAACTTGTTAAAGTTGTTCACACGCTTGGTGTTCGTTCCGCGGAGTCACTCGTTATATATTTTATACATACAAAGACATCGCCCCGGCGATGTTTGTTTTTTTTCATATGTAGCGTGTACATAACACTCATAATGGATGTATATTGTTTGTAAATATTTCAAATTATGTCTATTTTTATATGAATGAAAATTTAAAATCCTTTGGGACCAATAAGAGGCCTTATGCGTTTCATTTTAATATGGTAGACTTTAGCAGTGTTAAAGCAAGTAAGAGAAAAGGAAATAAAAGCTTTAGGAAGAAATTGATTTGTAGTTTAACAAACAATCTAGGATCAAGTATAATATCTATAACTTCATCATCATCCTATCAGAGCCCACTGCTGAGCTGCCTCTTCTCACATGGAGAAGGTTTGAGCATTAATCACCACACTTCCTCAAGACGGGTTGGTGATTTCAAACTTATGATTTGATCTAAGTCCAGGTTTCTTTACAATGTTTTCATTCATCTGTCAGCAGTCTAAATAATCTTAGAAAGTTTCATTTGACTTAGAAAAGTCATATGGTACGTGCCAGAATCGAACCCGCGCCCTCGTGCATGAGAGGCGGGCTTTTAACCACTAGGACACCACTGACTACATTAGAAAGATAATTTACTTCTACATCACAATTCTAAATAAGATTTTAATAAATAAAAAACAACAGTTCTAAATATATTTATTCTTAATAAACGTCAAACGTTTCCATTATATGTATATATCCTTAGTAGCCTACAATGATCATTCCTTTTTCCACTTGAGCCGACTTTTCTTCACCGCAGAGCATTTCAATCAGCTTTAAACCAAACCAATAGGCTGTTCCGGGACCCTGGATAAAAGAAAAATCTATACAGGGTGACTGGTGAATTACTATCAATACTTGAGGACGTGATATTTGACGATCATATATGACAAAATAAAAATTAATATAACATAAATATTAATAAACTTCTAAGTAAAGTTAACCAAAAGTTATGTAAATAATTACGCATCGTGTGAACACCTACAGATTACGTATACACACACACACACATACTGATACAACAACACGCCGCCGCACGCGTCCACACTTGGAACGTATCCACGCTTTATTTATTTATACGGAAATTTGGTCAAAAATTAAGTGCCTATTTTTTTTACATAATTCGAATGAGAATCATGTACCGAGTATTCTCCTTAAATATTGATAGTAATTCACCAGTCACCCTGTATATATAAAAATGAATTGCTGTTCCTTGGTCTCATTAAAACTCGAGAACGACTGAACGGATTAATCTCATCATAGTCTTGAAATGTTCGTGAAGGTTTAGGCAAGGTTTAAAAGGTGAATTTTTTTTTATTAATTTCCGGGAAAACCCTAAAAACAGCCTTTTTCTATTTCCCATACAAACGTTTTTTCGATATTAGATTTGGCATCTAACTAATATGTCAATCATTCTGTTCGATTGAAACAGGAAAAATTTAATAAATACCAATACCTGGTTATTTAAGACGGAATAGAGTTCGCCCGGTCAGCTATACATATATTACTATAAATGACGAACCTAACGCGGACGAAGTCGCGGGCAAAAACTAGTAATAAATAATTATTTAAAATACAGTTTGTATTGATTTTTAATGTTCATTACTTCCAGTTATATCTTACAAAGTATCTGAAGACATAATTTATTGTTTACAAACACATGATACTCATGTTGATACATTAAAATGGTTCAGTATTATTATTAATTATTATCAGTCATACAAATAATTTTAAGGATTATAGTATATTAATTAGTATGCCACAGATGGCGCCACTTGTAACATATCATTCCTCCAAAGAAACAAATTTTAATTGTACTGCAATTGTATCCCATACTAAAAACAATAATTTCAAGTCGTTTATCTATGGTAAGTAATTATGTATGTGTGTATGTTTGTCACAATCATACTCAACAATGGTTATATATAAACAAATTTTATCAATATGGCTCTAATTTGTATTGTATATTTGTAGGACACTTAATTATATAATGTTTTAATATTCTTATGAGAATTTAAAACGGTTTTTCTAACGCAAAAAGAATAGTGTTATGAGTTGATTGCCATGTCTGAGATATTGTAACTCTTAAAAGGATGGACCAATTTCGATGATATTTTTTCTCTTAGCCAGTTTCTTTGCGATCTCAGCTATGTTTTGTTAAAATCAGTCTAGCAGTGTATTAGCTCTTTTTAAAAATCATGTAAAGCATTTTTAGCCTTAAAATTAATAATTTTATCATGTTTGATAGTTTTTCAAATGTATTGCCAGATTTTAATGTAATTTATAATACAAGTAGATATGACTTAAAATGATGTCTGCTTTTCAATAATATTTTACTTACCCTGCTGGTAACAATATTGCCATCAACAACTACTCTCTCCCCTTCAATATATGTGTAGTCAGAAGTTATTTTGTCCTTAGTTGTGGGGTAAGACGTCACTCTCTTACCTATGGCAACACCATGCGCTACGAACGCGGTTGGGGCTGAAAATTAAATTAAATAATATAAGTACATATATGATAATACCTACTAATATTATAAATGCGAAAGTAACTCTGTCTGTCTGTGTGTTATGCTTTCACGCCTAAACCACTGAACTGATTTTAATGAAATTTGGTACAGACATAGAGTTGACCTTGAGAAAGAACATAAGATAGTTTTTATCCCAGACTTTTGAAAGGTTCTCTTGGAAACGCGAGATAACCGAACTCCACGCGGGCGAAGCTGCGGGCCGAAAGCTAGTTAATATTTTCACAATAATAGTTCAGTAATATTTAGCACAACTCTAGCTATTTTTGAGAAAAATAAATAGATTGAATAAAATAATTGTATAAAGTATTGGTGAAGAAAACCTAGACTTATAATCAAATTATAAGTTGGAAATCACTAATCCGTCTTGAGCAAGCGTGGTGATTAATGCTCAAACCTTCTCCATGTGAGAAGAGGCTCAGCAGTGGGCTCTGATAGGATGATGACATAATGACAATAAGGTATTTATCCCCATATATATCTTGTATATTATATTATATTTACCAGCGCATATAGCTGCAACAATTTTCCCACTGCTCTCATGTTCTTTCAACAAACTACCCACAATATTGGATTTAGAGAGACGTTCAGATCCTTCAAGACCTCCGGGAAGAATTACCTTAAAACATATAATTATATTAAAAGAAAAAATATATATTATTAAATTTATATGAATATATTGCTTTATTGTTATAAGCAGATATAAATAATAATATGTATTGTAATTTAACACTTTTATGAATAAATATTGTATTCTATGTCATGAATTTCAAAATCGATATATATATTAATGAATCCCTTTTTCCCTTGGTCACGTCATCATGCGTGAATGGCTGGACCGATTTCACTAATTCTTTTTTTGTTGTATTTGTTATTATTAGGAGAATGTCTGATGTAAGAAAAAGATACGAAAATTACTAGAAAAAATAACTAGAATATTTCACTTTTTTTAATTAAAATAATATGTCACTGGCAGTACTATTTACGTAGTAAGAATAATAAACACTTTGTTTTTGGAATAATTTTGATTTGTTAATATACCAATTAGAATTCAATAATCACAGTTAAGACAGAACACTGTCTGTCGAGTTATCTATATTTAATAAAGAAATTAACTTCATTCAGATAAAAAGGTAATAGATATTTCTTGATTATAGAGCGGTACGAAGTTCGCCGGGTCATCTAATAATGTTATAAATTTCTGTTACATAAATCTCAAGTATATATGACAATAAAGCATATTTATGTGTGTGTCTGTCTGTCTGTGTGTGTGTTTGTGTGTGTGTGTATGTGTGTGTGTGTCTGTGTGTGTGTTACATACAGCATCATACTGTGGTTGAGCTGCCAGCGCATCAGCCAATGACTTATCAGGGACGAGGGTAACTTGACGTGAGCACAACACCGAGGAATCCCCGTCCAGACCGGCAAGGGTCACTGACACCTGAAAAAAATATAAAATTTATTTTTATTCCCAAAAGAGAGTTGATATGTCAGGCAGGCGGCCGGTCGTAAAACAATTAGCCAAAACTATTCACAACATGTAAGGCAGACACTGGCTGAAGCTGGGAAATTGCCAGGTAGAAAACACACATATATTACATATATTATACAGTTATACAGAAGAAAAATAAAATTAAATTTGTAGCAAGGGGGTCAATCTCAGTATAAGCTGTGCTAATGCACAGTACTGTACTGAAAATCAGCATAATATAATATTGGATAGTATTACTAGAAAAAACATACATTCTCTAAGTTAATGGATCTTTTGAGATATGTAACTTACTACTTCTTTCTTGTTGTAAAGTATTTTATTTTATGGCTTAAAATTATCACTTTGTTATTGAAAGAAATATCATAGATACTTTTGAATTATTGGCTGTTTAAAATCGCCACATTTAGTCCTACTAATATTATAATTGCGAAAGTTTGTGAGTGTGTGTGTATGTTTGTTACATCTTCACGCTCAAACGGCTGAAACGATTTTGATAAAATTTTGTATACAGGAAGCTGACGTCCAGGAATAACATATAGGCTACTTTATTTCCCGGAAATCCCGAAACGCCGCGGGGCGCAGCTAGTATTACATACTTGTGGTAAAGAGTATGTTAACAATTTCTTTGTGTAGTTTGCTCTTAATCATGAGATATACATTTCATTCATGGTTATCAAAAATCATTTCCATTTTTTTATAAGTTGAAAACATTTCTGTTATTTTCTTTACATTTAATATCTTATTATTTTAATGTTTATATTGATGATTATTAGTATTTTTTTTTCTAATCTTCCTTTGTGCAATTAATGTATTGTAATTTTATATGCATGTTACGTGTCTATTTTTCTTTGAAATGTGTGAAACACCTATAATTAAGACAACATTTTGATTTTATGATTATTATGATTAGTATTTTTCGCTTTTATTAATGTATGTCTTGTTGGTGTTAATAAATAAATAAAATAAAATTTTACTTTTACCATACTTTCTTTCAATTCATTTCTATCTAACCAATACTACACTATTAATCTTCTCTAATTACTTAAATACAATGTTTTTCAATACATTTAATTATCACTTACACCGCCTCTCCTCAACATATCCACTGTTATAACAGTCTCCATTTCCTCCGCTCCTTGAGCAAGTATCACCAATGCTGACTTTGACATAGCTGACGATAATCTATAATCATTAGATCTTAGTATAAAAAACTTTACCGAGTCATTATCATAAAGTATTCCTCTTGACAGTAATTGCATTAAAATTATAATTCTATGACAATAAGTAAGAAATAATATAGTATGTATTTTAAAAACAGTTTACACTTAAAAGCTATATGAGAACTAAAAGATCACTAAATAAATATTCAGTACATGTTTGTTTGAGAATTATGTATATTAAGATTATAAACACTACTGATTATATCCTATATGGTACTATGTAATTATATTATTAATATTATAATAAACAGTATTTTTGATAAAATAAGTTAAACTGTATTTTGAATGTATATAAATTGGCAAAATCATTATCCTCTTCTTTTCATTGCACTGTTGCATACAAAGAGCTTTAAAATGTTATAGGGTATCAATAAATTTGAATAACACAAATTAATAAACATTTCACTGTCTTCTGAAAGTTCAAGATTGCTTTAGGCATTTTTATTCAGATCCTTAATATAACTTTAAATCATTATTTGATCAATATAATTAAAAAAATAAAATAAAGATTAAATAATATTACCTACGTATAATTATTATAATTTCCTATCAACGTAAGACTTGCATAACTGTTCTGAGTAAATGATAATCCAGTTTTAAGTGCAGACAAATAATTAATTTATTATTATGAAAATATCGGAATTTCGATACTTCCAGTCGCTTACTAAATACTTTAAATAACTTAGTTATATATAGATTTTTTTTATAAGCTACAGGAAATAAGAATATTGTTTTAAATGCTTACTTTCTTTGCGTATGTAAAACAGAAGGCACTGAGTGAATTATGACAGAACTATTCGAAAATAATTTTGAGGTTTCAATGCAAAATCTTCTCACCGGTAACAAAAACATTAATATCAGGTAAACTGTCAGTTTCAAAGTCGTTTGCTCATATCTAGAATATTCGATTATATAATAGTTGTGTAATATGTAAACATAATATTGAAGAAATGTAATAATTATATAAATATATATCACTTTATTTATATTAAATATATTTATGTAAAATTATTCTAATTATAATAAACTAAAGAGTTTTTATATGGCAGCACCTATCAAATACAACGACAGATGTTCGTTGACGGATTTTCTACTTTGTCTACGACCAGCTTCCTTTTTTTTCCTCCGTCAAGCGAACAAAAAAAAATCTTTTTCTTTTTATTAGTTTTACGAATAAACTTGACCTTTAAATGAAACATGTAATTCCGTAACCTCTTCAATATTCGAACATATTTTACAAATTTGTGTGAATGTTTTATGTTAATAAATAATAGTTTGGTGCATACTTAGGTTATGATTTGAACGTTAGACTCTCTATTTAATTTAAAAGTTGTTTAGAAATGGATTTTGTTAAAAGAGAGGATAATCATGTGTTGGAGGAAGAGAATTATAAGTTATATATGCAAAACGTAAGTAAAAGTGTCTTGTAGAACATGATTTTAAGGTTTTAAAATCAATTACATTGAAAATATCCACTCTTGTTAAACGACGTCTTTAAAAGTAAATACTTAACATGTAAATAGAAAGATTATTATTAATAAGGCTGGAATATAAATCCAAGTATATTCTTAATAGTTTAAATCATATTAAAAAGTATTACAAACTTCCTAATAGTATTGAACATCTAGTTTTAATCATTACTCATATAAATATTATTTTACGTATAACTACGACAATTGAACAATATAATTTAAATAGAAGGTTTTTTTTGGGAACATACTACTTAAATTTTAATTTAGATATAATCATAAGACCAACTACTTTTCAATATTACTTGAATGAGTGATTTTCAATATTACTAAAATAATTAAGTATTGATAATAATCTATATTTAAGTACATCCAGGCTTTTCCCCATACGTGAGTATATTAAAGTCGAAAAATAAATAATATTGGTTAATTAAATACTATAATTTTCTATTCTATTGTAATTATGTTTTTAAAGTTAATCTAAATTCAATATTATTAATATTGATCATTAAGTGTTTATAAAACTCACTGAGATACTTAAATCTCATCTTTGATCTGGGTTTATGTGAGAACCAATAGATTAAGTTCTTCTCTAACTTTCCAACCTATATAATTTTATTAATGTATATAATTATGTCAATATTAATCAAACCGATTAGTAACTTATAATAAATATTATATACAAATTTATGTATTAAAATCATTATTTTCTATATTCCAGCTACAAAAATCACATCAGATCGATGCAACCGAATATCAGCATACCGCAATATCAATGGAACAACTACATCAAGCGGTACAGTCAACACTTAATAACGGATCGTTGCACAACTTCCAATTACCGATATCACCTCGTCAAATGTCCACACTCATGCTGAAGACCAATCATCTTACACGATCACTAGCTTACAATGATCTACCGCCACATCTATCAAAGAATCTAGATATGGAATTATTATCGATGCCAAATGATATTCAACAAATGCGCCACGAGGATATACTAAGCCAGAATCTATCGAGGAATCTCGATTTAACATTAGCACGTAATCTTAATAATGAACTTGAACTACAGAATAGCTTAGCTCAGATACAGAGTTTGCATGAACATGAAATGACAAGGAATGCGGAGATCACTCAGAATTTAAGTCGAGTTAACGAGTTGACTCAGAACATTGGTCGGGAAATGCCACATGAGCTTAACGAAATAGATTTATCCCAACTCAGTAGACACATAGATCAGAATATGTTAAATCATGATGAAGGAAGACGAAGTCCGATAATTCATTCGGTTGATAATCATTTATTGGAGCACCATATCGCTCAAAGATTGGAACAGAATATTGCATTGCGATTGGATTCAGAGAGGTTGGACCAAACAATATCTCAAAGGTTGGATCAAACATTGGCGCAAAGATTGGATCAGACATTGGCTCAACGTTTGGATCAGACATTGGCTCAACGTTTGGATCAGACATTGGCTCAACGTTTGGATCAGACATTAGCTCAAAGATTGGATCAAACATTGGCGCAAAGATTGGATCAAAGACTACTCAATCCCGGTGTCATCCACGATCATAGAGTATTGGAACAAAATGAGAACTTACTTCCCATGCCATTCCACATAAAGTCTGAACAAGATGACGATAGCTATTTCTATGACAACCTGAATCAAGGCATCAATACCGCTTCTGTCAACAGTGAGTATACACTTTTATCATGAAATATAAGATTAAGATACAATTTGAAGTTATTTAGAGGTATTTTGTAAAGTTTGGCTATAGTATATGTTAAATTTAATTAGTATATCTAAAACTATGATAGATTTTTTACATATATGTTTTATAAACATGTAGATAAGTTGTGATAAGCATACTCTACATACTCAATGCTAAATCATATGATTATAATGGGGATGCAATAGCTCAGTTGACGAAGTTACTAAGATTTGATATTCCAGTCTATGCAAGTTCGAATCCTTCTCAAAATTTGCATCAAATGTTTTGCTTGATTTAAATTAAACTGATATTTTTAATACTACCGTAACGGCATTCACATCTCGTCTTCATGATCATGGTTGCTGAAAAGTAACTGAAACTTCGGGAGTATGTAGTTAAAATAACAAAATACACGAACAATATTAGTTTCCTTTAAATGAAATATGAATACTCGTGGAAGTTTTAAATGTATAAAGTATAAACAGTACATAATATGTTGACTAAATGGTAGTGACATATATATGTTACCTGTCCTCATACATTATATATTAAAACTTTTAAGTCATTATATACAGGAAGTACACGGAATTGAGGGAAAATTGTATGTCTTATTTCTTATTCTTACATCTGAGGTATGTTGGTGTAGTTTCATCAAAATATGTTAAGCATTCACATGTGAAAAGCAACAAATATACATCGTTACATACAAAACTAGTTTAAATATTTGTATTTGATAAAATTTTCATATAAAAATTTAATATATATAATACACTAAGATACAATGTTTAAAGTGTTAATACTAAAAACGCATGAACTTGTTAAAAATTATACATATACATAAATTAAATAAGAATATATGTACATATATATACTAGTAAAATTTAGTCTTTCTGTGAGTAATTTAAGTCTTTTAACAGTTTTTGTTCAAAGCCAAGTAACCTTGAGATTTCTCTCCATTTTTACAGAACTGGTCATATTAGGAACAGGTCTTAAATATTAACTTTGACATTCAGAGCAAGTTTATATATATTTTATATAATTAAAAAGACTTCTTTTATTTTCTTTGTATACTTAAATTTGAGACTAAATAATTAAATCATTTCATATAGAATAATTTTGATCACCAATTTAATATGAACATTTAAATATTTATATAGGTATATAAGAAAAGACTGTTTTCACTTTTAAGTCCATTCAAAAATTAAAAGGAGTATATTTGGAAGCATGGTGTAAATTTAAGACTAAAACAATCAATCTGGTCTGTAATTAATAGTTAAAAATTTTTATCGAAATAGTTAAATGATTTGTTAGATATACATCTCTTCAACAAAGCTGATGTCAAAATGTATTATAATTTTATTAACTATAAATTATAATATAACTTTGTATGCAAACATATTTTAATCGGAATTTTTATTATAATTTCAGATGAGCTACAACAAAACGATCACAGTCAGACGAATTCAAATCAACACGAACAAATGTATTCCTTGTTCAATAATCCATCAATACCGGCTCTAAACTCCATAGATTTATATTCCCGGACCCCATATATACAGAATTACCCAGAAACTGCGCGGGAAAATCCACAGAATCTAGTCGTAAATAAACAATTCGAAAACAACAGTCCATATGCTGAGGAAACGAAGAAAAAACAAGAAGATATCAAAAAAGAAAGCAAAATTGAACATCCGAAAGAGAATTTGAAACCGAACGATCAAAATAAATTATACTACGATTACAACTATTACGTCAGCGTCGAAAGAAATGAAAACGATTCTAGTTCCCATAACAAAATTAACGATGAACTAGCGTTGAACATAAAAGGTGAATACTCGTGTTACAAGTGCAACGAAGTGTTTCCATCGAAAAGACTATTAAAACAACACTCAAAAAACTGTGAAAGTGCGGACAGTGATTTAGATAAATTGGGTAAATTCAGTTGTTCCCAGTGCGCGTATAGATGTCAATCACCCGCGATTCTGAAAATACACGAAAGAACTCATACGGGCGAAAAGCCATACGCGTGTACGTTCTGCGATTATAAATCAGGTCAGAAGAATAACGTGGCGAAACATATATTAGTGCACATGAAACAGAAGCCTTTTAGCTGTCAGTATTGTGATTATAAATGTGCTCAAAAGAATAATTTAGTTGTTCATGAAAGAACCCATACGGGTTACAAACCGTTTGCGTGCCCATACTGCGATTACAGAACCGTACAGAAGCCTAATTTAGTCAAACATATGTATTTGCACACAGATCAGAAGCCTTTTAGTTGTGATATGTGTAATTATAGATGCGTTCAAAAGACTAATCTAACGAAACACAAGCAACGCCATTTAACTGAATGCGACAAAATGGACATAAAAAATCAAGTCAAACCCTACAAACCCAGACAGAAATCGGTCAAATGTGCCCACTGTTCGTATAGATGTGTTCAGAAATCTAGTTTAGACAAACATATGCAATTCAAACATAGTGACGTACAAACAGATTTGCAATTCAAACAAAGTGACGTACAAACAGATTTGCAATTCAAACAAAGTGACGTACAAACAGATTTGCAATTCAAACAAAGTGATTTACGAACGGATTTGCAATTCAAACAAAGTGATTTGAGTGATGGTGTTAATAGAGCTAGTGATTTTGATAGTATACAGAATTTAAGCATAAAAGATATGTGCCAGGATGTTTGTTCTTGATATGTTGAATTTAATATAAGTGTAACTAAGTAAAACCTAATTTTGACGGATTTATATATATATTTAGTTTTCATAGTATTCCGATTTTAATTAATACTCTGACATTTTATATGCCGATATATAGTGTTGCTGGTAACAATATTTCTACGTTATTTTCATTTAAAAAGTATGTAATAGATTGCCAGTGAAAATATTTTTTTTCTTAATTATTGTAATCTGGCAGTGTTGCCACATCAAAAAGCTCAATTGTACTTGAAGTACCTTATTTTTATATTTAAGTAGGAATCCTTTACTAAGTCTTATTTTAATCATGTATATAGCATTTTTTACTACCAACACAATAATTGTATATTTTAAGTAGCGCATTTAAAGTTTTTTTTAATCAATATTCCTGTATTCAAATTTCTTATTATGCATATTGAGATCAGACAAAAATTTAATTGCAAAATACTTTTTTTTTTCTTTATTCTTGTAATTTTTTGTAATGTAATCAGAATTATGGAAGAAAAATCAAATCAACATATTGTACACAACCCACCTTTCTATTATAGTACAATTGTGTATGTATATTATATATACCTATTTTTTTTACATAATTCGAATGAGAATCATGTACCGACTATTCTCCTTAAATATTGATACTAATTCACCAGTCACCCTGTATATAGTTATGTATCAGAATTTGTAAGCCTCAACTGTACAATGACTATACAAATAACCAATTTAACCACATTATGTATCTATATAAAATATTTAATACAATTTCTCCCTATATGTATGTATTACCCACACCTATATACAAAACTTGATCCACATTCAGAATATATGTTGTTAAAGACACATAGATTTGTTTTAGTAAAGTAACACAAAAGTATCTATTGCTATAATAATTGAAATCATTAATTTTAAATCAGATTTTTTTTATATATTAAATTGGTTTTATATATGTAATAGCACCACTATCACAATAAGTTTAATATTTCAACTTATTTATTATTAAGAGAATTTGGTTGTGTCATAAAAAACAAGGTCTGCTTCCCGACTTTGTCTGTAATCAATCAATAATGCACACATATCTTTGTAAGTAAAATTGGGTGCTATTTTATACATTTTTATATTCTTTTAATACGGCCAACACGAATTTCGAGTTATAATAGTTTATCACTGCCATACGATTTGGTTAACTCAAATTTAGGATAGTATTTCAACACGAGCAAATAAAATTTGATATGACAAAAAGCTAGTTAGGTTACGAATTTACTCACAAGGGTGTTGAAATTTACTCATATGGGGGTTAAGATAACTCATATGGGGGTTGAGTTAACTCATATGGGGGTCGCGACCCCTATCTGGGAACAACTCTCCAAACGTATTTTTATATATGCCTATAGGCTGTGATGTATTACTATAGTGTTACCAAGAGATTGTAGATCATAAAGCATCACATACCTAAGTATAGAATAAGGTGATCCTAGTTGTATAATGTTGAAAACTTTTTTTGTATGTTCATTTATTAAATGCCTCACCAAAGCAGGACTTTGTTTTACTTTCCATATGTTCCACGTTTTTAGTTAGAAGAAATTGTTGACAAATTTTAATACTGGTATGAATTGTTTAAACTCTTTTATTGAGTAATTGAGGAAAAATAATATCTAAGAATTTACTTTTATTGTTATAAGATTATTCATTGAGTTTGGTTTCATATACCTTGTTGATTTTTTTGTGATACAGTTTAAACCTTCATAATTTTCTAAGAGTTTTGATTAAAAATTTGAAATACTCACGTGAACTAAACTGAATTTTTTACAAGTTTAAATCGTCACACTAAGAAGGGAGCGTAAGTTAGTATTGGTAGTGTCACTTGGAAACGTTTCGTGAATATTACAATGCAAATTTCTCTTAACGATAGTGTTATCTTAAGTCTATATTTCAATTTAAGTTCATATTTCTTAGCAAAAGTTTGCATCATCGCCCCATATGCCCAAAATTTCTGACTCATTTAATAACCTACCTTAATGCTATAAAGTACGAAGATTTTTGAATGTAAAACAATATACAAAAGCATACATATAGTATATGCGTTAATTCTTCATGGCTAAAATATCACCAACAAACAAATTCTAATGTTTCAATTAATTACTGTGTATGCTTTATTAAAAAGAAGATTTATTAATTAATGACATACCTAAAGATGACATCAACAAAAAGATAGTGTCTAAGTATAAGTAACGTGTTTTTACTACATATGATAACCTTTTACATGATTATTATTATTAAAGTTACAGTGAATAAAATCTCACCAAAAACATGGGTGTTAAAAAGGGGGCCAAGTTCCAATCGGCTATCGGGTTGAAATCCAATCCAATCTAATGCCAACATCTATATGTACTCATATTATTAATTATTAATATTTCATCATTATGTATTTTATTGTGCTGAGCTAAGCGCCTATATATTTTATATATATAGATATAGATATTATTCTATACTTTTGAGTTTTAGAAAAACTTTTTGTCGTCCGGATATTTTATCGTCCCGATATTCCTGCATTATTTTTATCTTCATATTCTTCTCCTCAAACTCTTTCATTTGATACCCATATCACAGCAGTGCATAAGAAGCTTGTTAAAAAAAAGGAGAGTTACATACATACAAACAAACAAACATACAAGTGATGCTAATATACAGCGTGTAATAAAAATTCGATATTCGATTAAGCCAACTCACGCTTGACCAATTTCTTAAATTTCTTAATTTTTTGTTAATCTACATATAACACACAACCTGTGTACCTAATTTCATAATGCTAAAACATTGGGAAGTGGCCTAGAGGTTTTGATTACCTGTCAGTGAGTCAGTGCCAAAATTAGCTATTTTCACAGGGTCATATTTCAGGATCTACTGAAGCTTTATCTATGAAATTAGGCATACTGCTTTAGTTCTAGTATATGATTACGTAGGTACAATTTTATCTCTGTACTTGCAATAGGCACTGAGCTACAGGGGGGTCAAAAGTGGGTCGAAACGGTTCGTGTAAATAGTGCACGGCATGCGCTCGGCCTGTGGAACTTGACCGGCGCACTACCGTGCGCTTAGATATATTGAGTAGAAATGTACGGCTAGGATAGATTTTAGTATAGTTTTTGTACATTTACTGAGATCTAAGACTTACGCGAGTATTCATTTAAATTAAACTAGTATTTTCGGATGTACTAAATTTTTTTCCTCCTTTAAGTCTCCTGATGTTTTGATTACTTTGTAGCAACCGTGATCACGGCCAGACGAGAAGATTTTTATCTCGACTGCCCGTTAAAATATTAGTTATATCTTGTAGTACACTTACTAATGTTCTAAGCTGGTTCATGATATGTATAGAGGTTTGTAATCATGTAAGTACGTTGATCTTATGAGAACGAACGAGTAAATAATGTTATAAGGAAAAAAATAGTGATTTAACATTGAAAGTAAATAAAATCATATAACTTGTAATAAGGGAGGAACAGTACCTGTGATAGAACAGTTAAGTTATTATTATTACTTATTTACATTGTCGTATTCCACGTAACGGGCTATATAGACCGCTGTGGTGGATCTCAACCTATCATCTTCAAGCATCTTCAGTGATGGTTGGAAAATCCAGTGAAGATGTTTTGACGCAGAAGGTTAAGGCTGAGAGAGAGAGAATGGAAGAACGATCCTGTTGCTTTGTCATTCATCAGACGAAACAGGATATTTAACAGAAGAACTATAAACTGATAGAAGCGCGGTTGCGTACGCGCCTACTTCTGTTTGTGTCCCTAATACGTTAAGGGGTCTGCGGGCAGGGCTCGCTCATGGGTATGTTTGGAATTCTTCCGTAATTGTTGATAATCCAAGCTTGCAAGATCCTACAGCACCATTACATAGGCGATGAGGTACGCCGAGGGTTTTCTTCTTCTTCTGTCTTCATCATCATCATCATCCAATCAGAGCCCACTTCTGAGCAAAGGCCTCTTCTCACATGGAAGTGATTTGAGCATCAATCACCACGTTTGCTCAAGACGGATTGGTGATTTGTGGTAACGTTTTTCTGAAGCTCCCCCCCCCTTTCTCAAAAAGTTACGTAACACTCAAGTGATTAATTTCATCCAAAGTCATAAAACAATACGTAATAGTTTGGTATAGTTTTAATCTATAAAATGAAAAAAGATCATTGAGACAAATCTCCCTCTTCTGAAGAAATTACACTATAAACAATAATATGAACTCACGGATAAACACTAACGAATACTGACCACGGAAGCAACGTTAAAAGACTTACAATACAAACTTGGAATATCAAATAAAAATATCAACCAGACTAATACAATCTGGTCAACATAGTGTAACGTATATGAAAAGAGTTGCTAGTTTGGGGGTTTTTATTAATATTTTTTTAGAAACAATGCTACGTAACGTTTTGTAAGAGACACCCCCTCGTGCCCCTGTAACGCATCGTAACAATTTACGAGACCCCCCTCCCCCCAAATTGCGTTACGTAATATTTGAACGCTCCTTTATAATTGGAAGTGATTAGCCCAAGTTCCCTTACGATTTCCTTCACCGTCTGTTAGTGGTGTCTAAATACTTCTGCCGTCACAGGGAGTGAAAGTTAGACGGAGTTAGCGCGATGGGTGCCTCGTTTCCTTAATTCGGGTCGTGTGATAATTTCTTGGCAATGTATTGACGCTGTTTACATGAAATCGAGTTTTCTAACTGCCAAGATAACCTTGATCCATTGCTGTATATGAAACCATGTCCTTGTGCTTTAGAAAGCGAAGATTATTATAATAGCTGGAACGAATACATAACATTAACTTTCTGTATAAGGGAAAAATCAACTCAATCTACTTAAAACCTCCCGAAAACAAGTTTGAATAAAAATGAAACTTATATTTATTAGGATTATACTACACGTATTCTACATATTATTGTTGACAAGATCTCGTCTGCCCGTGATCACGGTTGCTGCAAAGTTACCA